ACTTATAAGATAATATTAATATTTATACTAGTATTGCGAAATTTCTTAAAAACTACTAGACTTACAAAACTACTAGACTTATAAGATAATATTAATATTTATACTAGTATTGCGAAATTTCTTAAAAACTACTAGACTTTGTAAATTTCTTAAGACTTTGCTGTAACTACGTACTTTTACTAAAACTACTAGACTTTGCTAAAAACTAAGCGACTTGTTTAGACTTGGTAAAAGTTCTTATTTAGCTTACAAACTACTAGACCTAGAGACTTAGTTAAATTCTCTAGCTAACGTTACTACTATAACCGAGCACTTCTACAAGTACATTAATAGTAGTACTTAGTGACCACAACGCGACTAAACCCCATCCTATAGCCTTGTCCATTCTCCACCTGCGCACCGGTACGGCAACAAGAAGTCCAGCGAGCGTCGCAAGCAAAGTAGCTCCTGATATCACTAAGGTCGTGCTTACGGCGATGTGGTAGGGCCTGAAGTGAACGGACTGATCTGGGTGTTTTTCATGACGATGCTCGCCCTTGGTAATAATCATGTAACACCCGCTCAACCCTACACCGAGTAAGATGTTTAGCATTGGGCCGCCAAAGCAGGCTGAGAGGGCCATGATGGGAAATCCAAGCCGCGCAACAGTGATGTCGGCAACGAGATCACCGAGCGAGTTACCAACCGCAAAGATAGTCAACCCAAGGATAGCGTCGGACATGTTGAGGATAACACCCAAGGTTCGCAGAACACCAACGACCTCGTTGGCAATAGTGCTGATCCAAGCAATGGCGACGGCAAATCCAAGAAAGCAAAGTGCTGAGCGCCAATTCGGTGGGCGATTCGGCGTGGTGGTGAAGAGGATGAATGCAAGAACGCTGAGGGAACCGACCAAGCCGTAGAGCGTATGACGAAGCAAGGTACGTGGGTTGTCGGGTTCAATGTTCGCCCAAAGGACTAGGACGAGGAAGAAGGGAGCTGTAAACACCTGCACAATTACGAGCCAGCGATTCCATTGCTTTGGCTCGATAGGTGTAGGGATCGTCGGAAGCTGCTCGGGTGACTGTGCTACAGTATCTGAATCCGTGATATACACCTGCGGTGGTGGTTGACTGGTGGTCGTGCTGAAGGATCCACCATTAGATTGTCGGGAAGGAAGATTCGCGGGCGATTTGGACTTCGATAAGCCCATGTTTGCAGGTGTTTCCGGTGGCAGCACCAGTGATATACTACGGGTGTGAGAGTCCCCGCTTCCGCTATGCGGCGTGGCCGCGGGTGGTAGACCGAAGTCTAAAGAAAGCTCTGCATGGCCTCCATCGTTCTCATCTTTTTGCGGCTCGACAACTGGGAGCGTGATGGTGAGTAAGAAGACGGGTAGACTTGCGACGAGGCCCAAGATTTTGTCAAACATGTTCTTGTCTGACCAACTGGTCAACGTCGGGAATAGGGTAGAGACCAGGACGTGTGGAGTTGGTACGATCCCTGAGGGCCACCACTTTGGTATCTTGGCTGCTTCCATATGACCGAACGCATCTCTGGGGAAGAAACTTGACTCAGGTGATGCGCTGGGCGAGGGTAGACGAAGACTCTGGGGTCTAGAAGTGGATTGCGCCGACCAAGGATAATCAGTATAGGCAGGGAATGGTATTGGTGGAGAAGCGGCATCCGGTACGGTCAACTTCAGACTAGGGGGCTGGGATCGAGGATCACTTTCTGTTACCGGAGTCGAACGAGGGCTAAGTGATGGTGAGATTGTACGGAGGGGTGCTTGATCCTCAGGACCCGGAGGCGCCAGCCTGTTAGGGGAAGGAAGTCGGTCTCTCGGTGCGACAGGACTTGGTGCTCTGGAGGAGCGGGAGGCTGGCGGAGACAACGAGATGGTCGGCGATGGAGGCGCATCCAGCATCCTGTTTTGTTCATTGGGGGTGGCGGAAATGAAGGCAATGTCAGGTACGCCTTGTCCCTGCAGCGTGCTCGGGTGTAGGCGGACATTGTCGATGTCATTTGTGGAAACGGCTCGCGCTCGGTTGCCCAGACTCTGCTGAATGTCGAGATTCGGTCGAGTCACATGCAGTGATGCATTGGACGCAATTGGGTTCACGTCAAATGGAGGCCGATCCGCTGGGCCTGCTGTTGAGATGTAGTTTTGCTGCTGGGCAGTCGTATAAGTAGGGTCGTCCGAATACCGCCGCAAACTGATTGGCATCGACTGAATGTTGCGCGACTTTTGCAGGGAGGAGAGTACCGCTCTGAACTCCAAAGCTCCCACCAAACTCGGTCGAATGGGGGTATGAGTGTTGCGTCGGGACATGTTGGGGCGATTGACGCGCATGTTATTTGTCAGCTCGCCCATCCAGCGTTCGCGCTCTTCTTCGTTGTCATCGTCATCCATGGTATTGTCGCCGCCAGCGCGTTCGAGCATGGAAAAGTCGTCGATGGATACACCGTGGCCCGGAGTCCTGCTACCAGCACTGATTTCATCGTCATGGTACTCTGGGAATTCTTCTTCTTCGCCGCCGGGGGTAACATAATGGCTCCTGATGGCGGCTGCCCTCGCTCGTCGCGCCTTCCTCAAATTGAGCCACCAGTGCCAGCCGACGACAAAGGCGACGTAGAAGAGATAAAAGGCCACCATAGTGACCGACTCCCACAGATGCAGTTTCCCGTCAACGATGAAGCCCATGCTGAAGGCAGCCGCGACGAGAAAAAAGCCGACATCGCGAACGAAGCTCTTGCGCGCGACCTGGAATGGGCGAATCAGAGCCATGGAGCCCGAGACAACGGCCGTTATGAAACATGCAGCACCGATGAGCTCGCCTACAGCCAAACTCGCAGCATGAGTGCGGAAGGCGGCAAAGGTAGAGAAGACATCGGGACTGCCATTGCCAAAGGCAAGCAGTGTCACGCCAGCCAAACTCTCGCTCATGCCCAGCATGCGCGCAATTGTATTGAGGTTGACGCAAAAGAAGTCGCTCGCGGCAATGCCAATGGTGCTGAAGAGAAGGGCGAGCCAAAGCGTCATGAGGACGAAGGCAAAGGGCTTCGCATGCGGGAGGCGACAGTAATAGAGGGTCAGGTAGGATATGACGCCGGCTTCTTCATCGGGGCAGTTTGCGCGCACAAAGGCGCATTGGTCTCTGGCGTGGTGAACGAGGCGACACTCCTCATCCTTGATGGACAGGTCCCTCTTCTGCAATGCGCCAACTATGGCGTTGCCGTCTGCAGCTTGCGACTTGGCCCATGCTAACAGCGATATGAGGGAGATGGCGAGGATGGTGAGGGCGAAGGGTCGTGCCGAGTAACGTGAGCGGCGCAATCGCTGGGCGTGCTTGAGTATCATGGAGTCGTCCATGGTCACGACATGTTCTTGGGTGAGTCGGAGAGGCCGCGCGAGGGGGGACGAGGGCGGGTTTTAGGTGGAGGGGAGCGTGAAGGCGGCGAAGTGCGATAGCGTAACAGATAGCGGAGGACGGTGCGCGAAGCGTTTGGACTGGATCGGCTGATGCGCGACAGCAATGCGTACGTGTGTGGCAGTGTTGGCGATTTGCGAAATAACGAACGTCATCGGGGCATGATAGCGATATGGGGAGAGAAGCCCGGATCTTGGAAGTTGGAAAGAAGGGCGACGCGGAGCGATAGAAGCACAGGGTTTCTGGATGACGGTGTTCGTCGCGCTAACAGACATGGTAAAAGTGTGGCGCAGGCATGTGGCTGAGTCCTTTTGTGGGTCGTTAGATCTTCACAGGCTTCCGCCTTCGGCTATTTCCGCCGCTCAGGTGATCGCTCAAGGCGCCGATGAAGTATCATTGCATACATCTCCCGTACATTTCTGGCACCCTGAGATCTTTAGAGGCTCGATAGTCTCTATACTAGGCAATACTAGCTTCGTCAATGTCACGCAGTAGGCTATGTCTCTGTTACTCGTGGGCCTCTGCCTTTACTCTGTACGATCGAGGGTTCACCAAACCTTTAGATATATGCTTGCCAGTATAGACAACTTCGACCCGTTGACGTTATCACCACATACAAGACAAAAATGAAGTGGGTACAGAGACAGTATGCCTCACCATGAAGCCTACATTGAATTCTGAAACAGAGCTTGATAGAGACGAAATGAATTGTAAGCTTCTAAATGCTCTATGCCTACATCATAACGCTTAAGAGATACTAGTAGTAGTGTCAGGTATGATATATTCCGATAAGTATCCATCTTTTCCTTCTGATAGGGTGCATAGCGACCTTCGTTTTATCTCGCTACTGCTCAGAATTCTGCAAGGTACCCGGATAGCCAGCTCCACCTTCAACCCACATCCCTTTCCAGATCTGTATCAGCTCTGGTGAAAGTATAGCCATATCAAGGTCTCTCTTACTCGCACTTGCCAGAGCCTTCCAGCCCTCCACGTGCTCTGCGCTCGTACTGTCGACGACATAGGTGTAGTTGTCGAATTTGTCAGACCCGACACACCAAGCTTGGCGTCCATACCGCTGGCAAATCCGAAGACGGCGAGAAGCTGTTTGTACTTGGCCCAGTTGGCGTCTGTCATGGGGATACTGATTGTGTCTAGGCGTAGGTGGAAGAAGTCAGTGGGCGGTCCACACACACGCAAGTCATACAGGCCACTCACAGACAACGTTCGGAAGAATGCCATCGCCTTCCACAACCGTATGCAGAGATTCGGCCATATAGCTGACAATAAAGGTTAAGAGCCTTTCGCGGTTATGTAGATAGAGAGCAGTCCCTGTTTCGCGGATTATACGCAGAGGGCCGAGAAAGAGACGACGCTCCTTAGCCTTGAGGTCAATTAATTGCACAGCTTGAGAAGTAAAGAGATTGGTCGAAGCTCACATCACATCCAGGTGTGACTGCACGACAAGGCGGAGCTGCTTCAGAATGAGGATCCACCCCGTCAAACACGGTTGTCTTCCGAGTCACATGATTATGAGCTACTGCCATGCTGCCTGACCCAGTGAAAGGAGTCATATCATTGGGTGAAGCATACGGGAGAAATCTATCAGAGGCTGTGCATTTGCCTCCGCCTCGGTAGCCGACGATTCGATAGTCAAAAGGTGATCTGTATGATCCCTTTTCCCACCCATGTTCTGGCCCGCCAGGCGGATTCAACGCGGCCTGACGCATTGAGTGTGCAACCGCTGACGCAACCGAGCTCGCTGCTATTCTTTGCTCTCTATACGTAATAATAGGGGTAAAGAGGTGCTTGCGTGTGCATGAAATTACGCGCTTCGGAGAGCCGGTTGCCAAAATCAGGGTGAACAAACCGTGTGCATTTGAAAGGCTACACCGATTGCGGAACCATTGACGAAGACGGAGATGGCGAAGTCTCGTCGATGCGATGAGAGATATCCATGTCCTCTAGTTGAACGCGATTGAGAACACTTAAGAATTGCGCTAGAACTTTGGGGTATAATATGAGATGTCTTAGGAGGAGTAGTGGGTAAAGCGAACGAACATTGGAAGCTCCCAGCTACCTTACATTTGCTTGAGAAAGAGCACTGTATCTGATTCGCCACTATTAGTGAAAGAACCCAACGACCCAAATCAGCCATAGTGTCAAGCAGCGACTCACATTCACCGTCAGACTCTAGGAAATCTCGGTTGTTTCTCTATCTTCATCATCAGCTAACGAGGGTATGCATGCCCGCGTGAGCCAACCTCGCTATAGTGTAGTCCATGTATTGGTTCCTCTACCCACTGACGAATCAAATACACTCAAAGCATTCTTCAAAGTAAAGCACCAAGAACACCCACAGACCCGGCGTCCTTGCTGAGGTGTACAGCATGCATTGTCGTCACATCAAATGGCGGGCGCCATGGCAGAAGCGCCATCTATCAGTACTAGAGGGGTTCAGGCGGAAGACGTAGCTAAGGAAAAGGCTGAAGCTGCTCAGAGGCGTCGAGATAGGACTGCTCGTGTATGTCTCAAGACAGTCCACAACATCGATCAAACTAGCTAAACTAACATCTAACAGCGTGTCACACTTGGGCGTCTTGAGAAACCTGAGAGCATGTGGAATCGCTGCAAGCGCTCGATACGCTCTTCTAATGATGGAACGTGGTTAGAAATACACATCAAGCACAGGTCATTGATCAATGGTGGCGAGACTGCTGAGATAACCAAAGATGGAAAAATAGGTGATGAAGACAGATGGAAGGTCAACAATATAATTGAGGACTGGGAAGGCGACTACACGAACGTACTGGCAGAGTATGAAAGCTTCTAACAGCAATTAAGGATTGGAATAGTAACCCTGTAGCCGATGTTGTCAGGCTGTTTATGTTGTTGTATCTTCGTGCAACTCACAATCTTTGACCACAGAGATAAGACGCCACTTGTTACTGGTGTTGTAACCGCATCACAGTGGAATTGGAAAGAGTTCTACCTATAGTATGAACTTGAAAGCAGGGGAGGGACCAAGTGTATACGATTGACTATGGAGATTCTTACTTGACGTCACACGCGCGTGTCGCTAATTGGATTGTCTCATTCACGAAACACAATCATTCTGCAGCAAACGAAAGTTTTTCGATAGCCTTCGATGGCCGATGAGTCAGCTGAGAATACGCAGTAATGGTGTGGGCAGGGCGGATACATGAGCGACATGATTCTCGTGCTCTGTAACACAGGCCATTCCACAAACAATCTTTCACACAAAATATGCGAGCGTAGCTCTCTATCTCTGGTTATGATAGAATGGCTCGATCGATCGCCAACGATGAGTTACCTTTTTTCCTTATCCCGGTAGCCTTAGGCGTGCGCTCGCGCCGCCATCTCGTCTTGATTCGACGTGTTGAGGCGCACATAAAGGAATTCCAAGAATACATCCAGTCTGCAGTCGGCGCTAATCAGGAAGATTGGACTACATTCGACTGGTCATATGTTTTTGAGAAGACTTCGCTCGTCCAGCAAGCAGTGGATGAACTGCTTGTCTACATTACCCGCCGTCCGAGGTCAAGGATCGCCTGCCGATTGTCAGTCGTCATCAGGCAGTTGCGGATCTTAAAAGGGTTCCTCGAAGGAGAGGTAAGCTCAGAGCAAGCTTACTGCATGGATTCACATTTCTTGGGCTGACTTTTTCAGGACTGAATTAGCTACGTACAGTCACCAGAGATGATGGCGAAAGGGACGAGACGCCCATCGACTATATTTTGTACAAGAATTTTGTCTAATCCTCTCGTTGAGGGCCTCGATATAGGAATCATAGTCGCGAAAGATTGTGTTTCGCGGCAGTGCTCTATAGGTCGGAAGAGGTTCACATTGCAATTTGACCAGACCTGGAGCTACTGAGCTGGTCTGGTCGCTCGTCGTACATGTGGGCGATTGACCTGCTCACGGCCATTAGTCGGTCACTTTGCTTTTGCTTAGCAAAACAAAAATAAGTGTTTGAACAATGAGCTGACCTTGATACCTTGCACGTGATGTGCGATTGCGCAGGAGAGAAGAGGTGGGTTGTTTGGCATCGTGGCGCCTAAGATCAGACGAGATACGCCAAAGACGCTTCAGTCGTATACTGTGATGCCATCGCCCTTCACTGGCGTCCGTCAAGTACACTTCACTAGGCCCATATTCCATTCTTTGAATGTGCATCTGCAAGGACACTTCTTCGTTCTACGCTGCTGAGGGATTGATTCTCACTATGGAGACTAGCTATGTCAACAGGACCATACTCGTCTTCGTCCCTTCCATCTCAGCCGTCTACCTTCCAAAGTCCAATACGATTCCGCTCAACCAAAAGTCGAGTTCAGCGGTCCAAACTTGATGTTGCTATAGACAACTGTAGCATCAGCGTGTTGGCTTTCAACATCTGCTGGTACGCCACTTGATGTCTCGCACTCTCCCCTGCCAGTACCTAGATCGGTATCTGGGTTCTTGTCCGTGGGATACGTCGAGTCAAGCCAGAGCATGTTGCTGTAATGGTCGTCCCACAGACTCATCACAAGGACCATACCGTTGGCAAGAGCCTTTGCCATGTTCGCCATACCGCCTTTGTCTTTAAATGTGTAGGTGTCTCCGAAAACGGCCTTTTGCTGGTCGCAGAATTTAGTTGTGATAGAGTTGCCCTCCACGCCAGGGACGGCAGATGCAGGCTGCGCAATAGTTTTGCCGTTTTGGACATAGAAGCGCTTGATCTCCATGGCATCACCAGTGCCGACAAATTGCGTGACCACGGTGAATTTCTTTGACGTGTCGACAGTCTTGCCCTTACCATAGAAATCTTTGACACCCATGCGATAGCTGTTGAAGTCGCAGCCGTCCGGATCGCATACGCCAGCGTAACGGTCGGCAGAATACGTACCGCCGCAACCGTCACCGTCGCAACGAGTTTGTTCGATTGTGGAACATGAGTGGGGGGTAACTGCCGTGCTGACAGAGTTCGCTTCCCAGATATCCATCTCAGCGCAGCACGAACCGTGGCCTCCAACACCTGCATTTGCATCGTTGGAAGATGGTTTCCAGCCCTCAACATTGCCCTGCGTATGTCTAAGCATCAGAAGCAAGAAGCTAGGACCGATCGGGACTTACCTCGCCATTGATGAACTTCAGATCCCGTGGACACTGGGCATCGCAATACCCTGTTCCATACTTGGCGCCAGCTTTGTTAGTCGAGTACTTCTTCAATCCGCCGTCTGCATCCATGGAAACGAAGTATAAGGCACCATTGAAGCCACATGGCAGGTTCGACACGTCAACGTCGAAAGTGAACTCTTGATTTCCTGTAAATTTGAACATCTGTTCGGATCTGATTTAGCATATGATCGCATGCACCCATGACTCGCTTACCTCATAAGTAGTGTCATCCTTCATCAGGTATGTTCGAGAACCGATGTTCGTCGAATAAGAGCCCTTGGTGACGAACTTCAACTTCAAGGAGTTACTGCCGGCGGTAATGCCATATGTGCCACTGTAATCGGCACCGTCGACGGCACAGTTAGCAGCACATGCTTTGTTGTCTGGGCAGGCCGTCGCATCCCATTCATTGCCTGTATAGCAGTTATCGTAGCTTATCGTCCGTCAGCAACGAAATTTGCGCCAATTATCATCGAACATTACCCTTCTTTCTTGTGGAGCCATCGCCAATTAGCATCGATGACAATCTTGCCATTCTTGTTTGTGCAGCTACCCTTCGCAGTGCAAGACTGCCATGTCATCCCGGGATGGGTTTCTGTTTGCTGCGTACCAACGAGCTGCCCATGGCCCACTTGGAGTAGAGCGGCAGCAAGGACGAAGTACTGATACATGATAGAGAGTACAGGCTTTGGAATCTCTGTGTCGTGGTGCGCTGGGTTCACAGAATATGCATACAAACTGTGGAACGCACAGTGTCAGTCGTCTTTTAAGTCCTGTTGCCCGGTTGAACCCATTCGCACTTTGTTGTATATGCTGTATATTTTGACTTTGAATTGATGAAGTGGTAACTAGCAGATGACACGCGTTGTATGCAGCGATTGGTGGTTCGGTGGTTTGTCCACCAGCTACTAATGTAGCGCCATTCACCATCGTCTAGAGACAAATCTACATTGATGTCAGGGAATATCTTACCACGGCTGCAGGCAGCACAAGTGGATTGGAGACACCACCTGTTGTTACACCGACCCTCACGGATCCACAGGACAATCTCGGTGTAATATAACTGGAGGGGTAAGCCACGGAATAACGCTGTGAAAGCTGGTAATATTGATCCGACGGAGGGTGCAATGCCACCCCATCGGGTGCCCGTCCGGCTAAGCATACGAAGCACATCGAAGCTCAATGCCATGCGCTGGGCGCCTAGCAATTCGGAACTAACACGACGAAACCAAGCCGATGGCAGATTTAGAGTGACTACAACGCATCGTAAAGCGAATGCCGTGTTACATGTCTGAACCCTTGATGGGTCGTGATGCCGCCGCCTAGCAGTGAGTCGCTGCGTGGACGAAGAAGCGATTATGAAAATTGCTGTCTATCGGAAATCGGTAATACGTATAATATTGAGGGGGGTTTGACGACGCAACGGTCCTTCCGGCGAGTAGATGAGAAGACGGCCACGAGACTGGTGGTGAGAAACGACTGGGATTCCCCGCTTTCGACTCGGAGAAATCTCTATGCACAGAGAAGAACCGAACTGCCGGCGAATCACATTACAGGCGCATCAATGATGGCGGTGCTGCATCATGACTGGATGGGTGAAAGGTCGGTCGAGCCAAAGTGCAAGAATGTGGTTGGTGTTCATAGATGGCGCTGCGAACTGGATTTCGCGTCCCTGCGCCCAACTCCCGAAATTAAGTCCGACAGCAAAACTTATGTAATCAACTGTGATTAGTCAAGAAGCTACAGCTCTGCGCTAGTTCTCTGATAGGCTCATGAGTTCTCGGGACATTTTTGCAGGGCGCCTGATTCATGAGACAATACGTTGGGATCATTGATCCACCGACAACACCTGCCACGCCCGTCATCGCACGTCATAGTTACCATCTATCATTTACCATGTCCGCTCCGGCCACCGAGTGGATAAGCGATAGGTCTCGCGGTAACTCTCCAGAACTTCTCAACTCCACAGAAGGTCAAGATGGCTCGTCTCAGCGACGCACCAGCAAAAAGCGCAAAGTGTTGTCGTGCTACGCATGTCGCAACCGCAAGATGAAGTGTGACCGTGTGTTTCCAGTGTGTGGTCGATGCCAAAAGACTGGCAGAGGCCACGAGTGTACATACGATCCTCGGCTGCTGGAAGAGTCCCACTCTGACGCGGGCGCTGCGTCGATTGCCCTCGCCGAGCGGCCAGCTGATAGCAACCCTTCTTCAGACTCACCAGATGCATTGCAATGGAAGCTCAGAACCCAAGAGAGACGGATTGCGATGTTGGAGCATAAGCTTGCCACAAGGGACGACACCAGAAACCCCTCGCGATTCGAGGCCGTTGTCCCTGATGAGCCCGAGATCAAAGAAGAAATCATGTTTAGAGGCAAAGGTTTCAAATCTCACTTCAACGGCGCAACGAGCATTATGAGCATGATATCCATGGTATATTTCACATGCCCAGACCCAAATGCCCGTGTACCAGCGGCTGACCATCATCAAGAATTACGAGCTGCAGGCATTTACACGGGAAGCCTTGACTGTTGACCACTCTATCATGCGCGTCAAAACTGACTTTAAAAACTTCCGCGACCAGAGGAAAAAGTCCGCAAATGCCAAGATCGCCAGATATTCCGACATCGACTTGGAAGTCTTCGCTGTCCTCCCTGCGAAGAGTACGGTCGATGCACAAGTCGCTCTCTATTTCCAGACCTGGGAAACGAGCTACAGGATTCTACACGAGCCATCTTTCTGGAAAGAGTACCGCATATTCTGGGAATCAGATCAAGACAAAAAGAGCTCAGTCAGCTTTGCCGTCTTACTTCTCCTGCTTGTTGCAATCTCAAAGTGTCTCGCCCCAAAAGATGACGTCTTCATTGGCGACACGACTGCAGACCGGCAGGCAGCCCTTGAACTCATCGATATATGTGATGCCTGGATCGGTGAGCAGCCCCGCAAGCGGGTCACTTTGTCTTTCTTCCAATTACATTGCTTGTCGCTGCTTGCTAAGCGTGTCAATTGTGTCCGACTGAAGCAAGACTGGATAGCGTCGGGAGACTTACTTCGACTCTCCATTACATCCGGTATGCATCGTGATCCGTGTCTAGTCGGGCATGGGAAAATCTCACCTTTTGATGAGCAAATGAAGAAGCGACTGTGGGTCACTGTCATGGAATTGGAGCTCCAATCTTCCATCGAGAGCGGGTTTCAATCTGGACTTACCGGACTGTACTTCGACACTCCTGCGCCTGCGAATCTTGCTGATGAAGCTTTCTCACCAGACACACAACACGTGCCGTTGGGTCAGCCCACTGAATACTTCACGTCAGCATCATACCTTGCAATGACTCTAAAATCACTTCCACTTCGTATTCATCTCACGCAGCTGCTGAATACACCTTCTAGTGTCCTCCGTTACACCGACGTACTGCACTACGATGCGCAGATCCGTTCTGCATTGGCAATCCTCCCCGTTTGGAATGACGATAGCGCACTTGTGCCTTCTACACTTCTTCGTTTGCAACTGCGTCAGTATCTTTTGTTGCTACATAAGCCGTACGCAAAACTGGCTAACACAAACGATCGCTATCTGAATTCTTTCACGACGTGCGTGGATACCTGCAGCTCGTTATTGGCAATGCACGATTGCCTGATATCCAGAGGTATCCTCGCACTTCACAACTTCCGGAACGATGTGATCAGAGTTGGTCTGGCACTCTCTCAAATCGTATACCACAATTGTGCTCGTCGGAAGGTCAAATCGTTCACGTCCTATACAGCAGAGACTGAGACTCAGGATGTAGACCATCATACACATTTTGCGGATCTTACTCTTCCAAATCGTTCAGTTGGCCCGGACTCACGAATGGATTTGGACCTCGCGATACTGCCACAAGATCCCTTTCTTACAAGAACACTGTGCACATCTTCAATCGATATCTTGGAACGTACGAGGCAGATCTTCGAAGTCAAAGTCTTTCGACTTGGTACCGGATATATGGAGTGCTGGCTGTACGTACCATCGCAGAGGATTCATATGAGACATTTGCTAATCTTTTTTGCCCTCTCCCGTATAGTATGTCTGCTGCAGTAGGCATGCTACCCCCTCCTCCTTCGCCTGCCACTTCCATAGCATACATCAACAACGCAAGCGATGACATACTCTCGAGATGCCGAAAAACTCTAGACTCATTCACCACGTTGGCTTTTAGGGTGCTAGCTCTACAGCAAGACCCCACTAATAGTTTAGCCTCCTCTCTTCGCTCTACTATGGGTACCACAAGAGAAACGGGATCTACGATTGGAAATGCCGAAAGTGCGGCTCCCACTTCGATGGACAGGCTGGACATGAACCTTAATCTTGCCGATGGTGCTAAAGACATCAACGGGACCTTTGATGTGCTGCAGGATATGCAGGTCGATATGAGTGGCTGGTCATTCCCTGATTTCTGGGCGTTCGATCTCGGTGGTGACTTCTAACACAATTACAAAGCGGAGACTATGTATGCACGCATAATCCCAATTACGTATAGTCTTGATAATGCGAGCGAGAAGGGAACAGTCTGATTATATGGAAGCAACTCTCAAGGATGATTAGGAATTGGCCAGAGCCAGAGCAGCTTGACGACGTGATTGCGTATGCGGTATGATTCCCTTGATTCTTAGCACTCTCGTATGGCTGACTGGACGGGATTGTTGCATGAAATATATGTTTTTCGGCGAAGGTCCATCAAGGCAACTAGTACCTAAAGCATGCAGAGCCAACAAGCAGTAACAACATGGGGCGACAACGCGTCAAGAGGACATTTTATATTCCATTACACTAGGCTATCTGGAAGACATGAAAGCTTTGAGTGAAATAGGACAGCTGAGTGAGATGAGTCCTATAACAGCGGAGTTTCCGATGATTAGAATTGATATCAAGTTAGGGGAAGTTTAATTTCGTCTGACCCCTTTCGAAAAGGGTAATTAGGAGTTCTCAAACTTTCAACCAAGTCACTGGTCAGTTGTACATTCCGACTATGTAGATGCTATGGTATAATCGAGACGCATGGTGCAGATCAACGTCCTGGCATTTAGGGTTTGCTGTGACCTTTTTCTTTCTAAAAGCCTCTGCGACATGCTCGAATTGTTTGCTTCTTCCATGCTGCTCAGGCAGATGAACTTACTTGTCGCCTAGGCGCGATGTACCTTGAGACGGACATTGGCTCATGGCCTGCGCAAGATGAAAACGGACCCTAAACGTTCGAACAAGATATCTTCTACTTTGGGTCCACTTTCTGGTGGTTCCGGTGGCCAAAGGATGATATTGGGAAGTTCTGGTTCGGGGAATATCTCGATAGGTATATACCAGGCCAGCGGCTTTGGGATCACTCTATTCTTTTTCTTGCGCTGATCGGGTTTTGGCACCAGGCGTGGCACAAGGTCGTCGTCTAACGCTCCAGGCATTTTTTGTCGATGATCCTTCCCTATCAAACCTTTCAGCAATTTCATATTCCAACGTGTTCGGTGACAACACAATCTCCAGGCTCAGAGAGGAGAACGCCAGACGAAGCATTTTAATGCCAATCAGAGTCACAGTATGTGAGAACAATGTAATATACTGAGCGAGGCACAACGTCGTATGTTCGGGCAATTTCACAATGTGGACGTATGATATGAAACAATTAGTCAGCCGTAGTCCCTTGAAGAGAACCATTCTTAGTCAGAGCCTTACCTCGTATATCTTTGCTAAATACGAGGAGTCCCTATACTGACAGGGGCAATACGGGAATGAGAATGAAACGTGTGAGCTGCTTGGACCCAGGTATCGATTGCATCGCATTTTGTGATTGGAAATCATGAAAACTATCTCCCAGGCACATAACACTCTACAAATCACAGCCATTTGATTCAAATTTCTATCATCGATCTCAATCATTTATGCACACCTGTCTGGTTGTGTGCGTTCTTCAGTCCGGTACAATCAGTGCAGTTGGTGCAACTATAACTGTCAGCCTTCTCTGCGCCATTCCAATCCATGGTCTCACTGAGCAGGCGCATATGATGCTACGTACTTTATGCAGTCGGTACAGTCAGTACAATTGCGACATTCCTCACAATTATCGCAGCCGGTGCAATTATGACAGTAACTGCTACTTTCGCAATCCGTGCAATTCTGACAGTATGTAGAGTCTTTACAGCGCGTACAGTTACGACACCCAGTACAGTCTGTACGCAAATTAGTCCGCGGTTGTGAAAGATGTCTGATAGCAGGAAGTGGTCAGGGTGACCGAAGAGACAGATGATTTTCAAGAAGGTGGCATGAAAAACCCATATTTTTGCAACCGATACGATTGTGGCACGAGGTGTCCTTGCTACAATCGATACAGTTCTTACAATATGAGCAGTCTGAGTAGATAAGCCGGAATCAAATCCTAAGATGTACTGATCATAAGGGCAAGAGTAGGTTGATCACGCCATACCTAGGTAACGTGCGGCGTATGGGGCGTGGGATCATAGAATTATGGAAGCACCATTGCCGAGGGCGTACCTTTGCAATCTGTACAGTTTCGGCCTACAATCGTTGTTTAGAGTTAGACTTGAAGTTTCTCGAAGCATACTACAAACTTACAGTCCGTGCAGCCAGTGCAGTTGGTGTTATTATGATTACCGTCGCCGGAACCCGAGGAAGGTACTGCGCGGAGTGACGATTCACCACAACCCATGTTGAACGTACTTTCTGGGCTCACAATGAGAGAATAAGAGTTCGATAAGACTACGAAGTATCTCTAGAAGCAAAAGGCGTATGGATATGCATAACTTGTTCCCCAGTTTATAGGTGAGGGGGCGTGACGGGAAGGGCATGCAGCCACGACGTCATTTCTGACATGCATAGGTATGATAAGCTTGAAAGGCCATCGGTACCGATAAGGCGCCCTTCAACATCAACCTGATATATGATATACCGATTGGAACATTGGTTAAGATTATTTGGGCCCTAGTGCCTGACCTAATTACACATTGTGGCTCAAAGGTATAACAGATATTCCTTTGGTGGCGCATATAGATGACGCCATTAGGCCCGCTGTCTATCGTTTTGGGATCCTTCGAACAAAGATCGCGGGAGTGCGGAGTATCTCAGGATCAGGCGTGTTTGTTACGAACTCCGATTTCGTCGACAAGACCACTACAGTTAGAGCAACCAACACATGACCGACAATCATTGCATCTCGAGCAGTCCACCAAATCCGTAGAGTTAGTACAACGACTAGAATTGACGCAATTGGTACAGTCTTCGAGCCGACTGGAGTTGACGCAGCCTGTGCAGTTGGTGAGTCTGCTTGAGTTGGTGCAGCCTGTGCAGTTGGTGAGTCTACTGGAGTTAATGCAATCTGTTGACCTTTCCATTCGACTGCACCCAACGTTATTATCGTCCAAGCTTGGAGCTAGTCTTTCCTGAGTCCCAGATGGAGGGGCAGACTGTTGCTGAGGTGGTATTACAGGACTTTGGTGAGGTCGAGGCCTCCGAGGTATTTGCGCATCTTGATGGGATGATCGCGGCCGATGATTCTCAGGGGGAGAATTTTCTGACGGTCTCCGTGAATATGCCTCGATTGGATTCTGGTATCCATGATCTTGGAAACCTGTAGGTGAGCCAGCAGCAGATGCTTGTGAAGGTTCAGTTCGATAAAGAGGCTGGACAAGAGGAGTCGAAGATGCCGTAGACCGATAATCAGGCGCAGGGCTGTATGCTGGAGGAGGTCCAAGCAATTCTGACGAGGCGTCGTTTGGAATGCCGGGACGACCTTGATGATCAGCATAAAGCCCAGCAGGAGGTGGTGTGCCATCGATGCGAGCGCACTTTCGGGCTGTGTGATATATCAGTCATGCATCTTAGTTGCTACAATGGCCGTGCATTGAGATAACCGATACACACGTACAGTGTTGCTCAGCCATACGGTAAGTTGTGTCATATAGCCTGGTGGGTCACTTGAATTAGCGGTAGTGGCAAGTCCGTCATAGATGAACATACAAAGGTCCTTCATTAAAGTACACACAAGCATAATCGGACAAACGCAAGTTGTTGTGGCACCTGACATCAACTTGCGCGTCAGCAAACCCTGAGAGGATAACTCAAGCAAACCGAAATAGATGACCGAAGTAGATGGAATAGCTCTCGAAAGCCAGGAACAGGTTTTCAAGACGTCGTATGGAAACTGGTCTGTCGGTGTCGATCTTATCGTTCTCAAATCCTGTCCCGTGTCGAAACCTAAATTCCGATTTCCATTTTTGTTTCGCTGCACCTCGAACAATTTACTTCTCATCAAGGGCCCATAAGGCTGTACGAGATATCATAGGACAGTTGTGGCGTGGTCGCTACGGCTTCCCATTGTTGGAAAATCAAGTCAGCCACTTCGTCTTTGTACCTAGGTAGTTTAGCGGTGGTCTCGCAATTCGCTGCATAGGGCAAGGATGTGCTATTTCCTTATTTCCGTGACGTGCTCAACAAAATCTACCGTCAACCTTTGCAATCTCTGCGCATCGCGACGTGCAATGCCGCTTCGAACCTGTCTCGTTCTTTATGCTTGCTTGTAATCACGAATAGCAAGTTACAATGACGGACCGAAGTGTCGACGCAGAAAAGCATACAGACCGGGAAGACCTTCCCACCACAAAGACTGTAGATGATGTGCAGCGCAACCTACAGACATGGCCGAGCGCGCACGACGTCGAGATACAAGAAGCCACATTGGACGTCGGAGCCGAAAATCAAGCAGCGCAAAATCCGCAGGTTAAGTCACATCAACCTGCTCTTACACGCATGCTCTCGCGCCGCTCGGCAGCATCGCTTGACCCCGGTCCAGCTCCTGACGGTGGCCTCACAGCTTGGATCCAGGTCCTCTGCACCCATCTGACAATTTTAACCACCTTTGGTTTCTTTACATCATTCGGCGTATACCAAACGTACTACGAAAACACACTCGGAATCTCGCCTTCGACGATATCATGGATCGGTTCCCTCCAGGTCTTCCTGCTTTTCTTCCTTGGTACTTTTACAGGCCGTGCTACGGATGCTGGGCTCTTCCGCCCAGTTTATATCGCTGGCGCATGCTTCCAGATACTTGGCATCTTCACGTTGGCCGAGAGCAAAAGCGTGTGGCACGTCTTTCTCTCCCAGGGCGTGTGTCTAGGCATTGCAAACGGGCTGCAGTTTTGCCCTTCGATGGCCCTGGTATCTACCTACTTTGTCAAGCGTCGTGCCTTTGCGCTCGGTTTCACAGCCCTCGGATCCTGCACTGGCGGTGTCATCTTCCCAGTCATTGTGCAACAATGCTTGCCTAGCTTAGGCTTCCCGTGGACCATACGTATCATTGGCTTCATTATGCTGCTCATGAACGCCATTACCGTTGCCTTATATCGTACACGGCTCCCACCTAGAAAGACCGGTCCGCTAGTGGATTGGGCAAGCTTCAAGGAATTACCCTATGCACTGTACTGCGCTGGCGCCTTTTTCAGTTTCTGGGGCTTGTATTTCGCTTTCTTCTACATTGGGAGTTACGCACGGAATGTCCTTGACGCAAGTTACCAGCAGAGTATCAACCTACTTCTTGTGCAGGTTTGCATGGGGTTCGTCTTTCGCCTATTACCTACGTATTATGCTGATAAGATTGGGGGCCTCAACGTTCTCATACCTTTCGCTTTCATCTGTGGTGTCATGATGTTCGCGTGGATTGGGATCAAGTCCATGGCTACCTTGTACGTATTCGCTGTCATATACGGCAGTGGAAGCGCCGTTATACAGGCACTTTGGCCAGCCGTGATCGGCAGTATGAGCCGTGAGAAAGACCTGAAAAAATCGGGTGTGAGGATGGGAATGGCTTTTACCGTCGTGAGCGTGTCAAGTTTCACAGGGCCACCTCTAGCCGGCGCGCTCATCCAAAGTCACAACGGTAGCTATACGTACGCAAACATCTGGGCAGGTATGTCGTTCATCGTTGGAGGCTGTCTACTACTGGCTACCAGGGTATCTCTGGTGGGCTGGGACTGGAAGGCAAAAGTATAGTGATAGTAGATCTAGTTTAGTTTTCTTTAGACTTTCCACTTTTGACTCTTTTCTTCTGTCCCTTTCCACCTAGCCTCTGAATCTGCTACTGTCCTTCTTCTTCCTATTTTCCGATGGTGATGTTGTTCACAGAAACCCCCCTTCCTGCCCCAGCTAACACATGTGTTTTATACGATCTACAGGTCAGTGAGATTCTCAACCTTTGTCATCATGGAAAGACTTGTGTGCCACGTTCGAGAAAGTTATGCCTTGCTTACTTATTGCTCTGGAAACTGTGCTTGAACTATCAGCCCTTCTTGTCTCCTAAAGTAGTGACCCTTGCTAGCAAACCAGGTTGTTCTCTCTCCTTGGTCATTTTTGCATGCCAGTCCGCCTCAACTTTGGCTGCATTTTTCTTGATTCGCGCTGTATTCCATCTCATATAATAACAGCAGAGTGGGAAAAGAACAGTATCTGCCATAACCCAAGCGAATAAGATGCCAAAGTTTAAGCCGACGCGCGGATGTAGATCGTACAAGATGGATCGTGTGAGCTCTACAACGTTGTGCATAGGCCATCCATAACCCCAGCGATAAAAGCCTGGAGCTAGCTCAAGGGCATAGAAGCCAGTTGCTACATTGCTGATAACCCAGAAAATCAACCACAAGGCTGTCCAAGGAGTTCCCAGAAGCATAGCCATATTCTCACTGGCCAAACCAAACGCGATCATGCCAATCCAGTTGCCCATCCAATATACCAAGAAGGTGCCGCTGCCGTATGCGTTGGGATTATCGGCAGGTTGATCGTGGGCTGCTTTGGGCCGGTTCATAGGCATGAGAAAGGCGAGGCTGACGAAAGAATAGACGAGTGAAAGTAGAAAGTAAGATGCGACAGTTGCAACGTAGCGCCACACGATGAGCTGGTGGAAGTGCAGCGGTGGATGACCTCTAGGCGAGAGGTACTTGAGATGAATGGGTAGAAAAAACGTGAAGCTGAAAAAGGAGATGATGACTAGGTATTGTAGATCAAGTTAGCGTATGTTCAGAGTGTTGGTTTTACGGGGAAATCACTAACTTAAGTAGATCAGGCCTATACTGACCGCGGGTGTCGCGATAGGTGGTCCAAAGGGACGCAGATCATAGATTGTGAATTCGATGCCTGGAGTAAGAGCTTGGGGCGAAACGTCAACGTGCATCTCGATAACTGAAACGTTGTTCTTGAGGAGATGTGCGATCCACGCGCGACCGAAATCAGTCACGACACGCTTTTGGAGCGTGTTCATACTGGGTATGATATAAGTCGAGGACGTAGTCTGATCACGCGCAGAGTTATAAATAATCTGGCAAGCGCCCAAAGGGTCGTAACTCGCGTTGGCTTGCCTCACTGCAGCCTCGAGCATTGCTGTTGCATTGGGGTTGATCACGACGGCTGCCCAGGCGTGGAAGTCGTAAACACTGTCTCGTACTTTGAGTGGATCGTTGTCGAAGTCCCCAGGTGGAGCAAAAGTATAGCCCGGCACCACACCACCGTCATGAACGATGTTGCGAATGGCCTGAGTGACGAATGGACCGATGAAAGGTGTGGTTTCTGTATAAGGCGGTTGACCGTCGAAGTCGACAACCCAGACGCTCAGGTTTGAAACATTCGCCTTCTGACAGAACAAAGCACCCCAAAAGAGACATAAGAAGGCCATGATGGCAAGTGCGAGGATCAGGTTGGTGCGGAGCCAGAGTTTGATCACGTGTAGTCTGACACCAGCCATGGATGAGTGGAAGAACCCAACAGGCTTCTGATCGAATTCGATTCGGCGGCTGCTCTTCGTGCGGCCACGCTGTAGTACCATCGGCCTTACTAAAGCAGAGTTGATAGCGTGGTTCGTCTCACGCTCGGAGGGGGCGGCCTGCTGCTGTACGCGAGTGGAGTCGGTTGTTGTGAGCACATGCTCTCCAACGTCTGACTCGCTGGACTCGCTGGAGTCATATCCGTGGTGATACTGCGGAGCAATCTGGCAACCAAGCATGGGGTTAGACATTTTGAGTGCCGTGAGGATTTACAGACGGCGCTTCAGTTATTCTTAATATGTCCTGAGGCCGTGGCGGTTAGTGCTGCTGAGGATTGCTGACTGATCACCTTAAATTCACTAGTGTCTAAGTTTTGCCCATGAACAATGCTTGGTCATCGCCAGGGCTGACTTAGCCACTGATATCTGTGCCAGATGGTACGCTGGAATGACAAACGACTTACCAAAGGACTTGCTGAACGGAAGGGGGACTGGAATCATGGGAGGCGCCTCAGCTGTCGCATGAGCACCTACCTTCACCCAAGCATCTGCTTTCGCCTAGGCATCTGCTGCCGCCTGAGCTTCTACAAAGCTGTTAGCAAGAACGGCGAATTGCTAATGCAACGTCGCTCCACATCTTGAGCCCCCGATGGTCGCTCAGGTTGTCCCTAACGAAACATTAGGAAGTAAAGGTAAAAGATCAATAGACGTAGAGTAAATGAGATTAGAGTAGAGATAAAACTGAGGTGGAGTAGAAGGCAAGAGAGTCAAAGTTGTGTGCTTTTAGGTTCAAGTACGAGGTGGGAGTGCTTAAGGATGAGAGAGATTCGCGAGGTAACGCTGACTCATGTGAGAGCGTTTGTGAGGCGACGTACACTACATTGAGATTACCACCCACCGATGTTTTGTCCCTGCTCAATTATCTTTCATTTCACTACGTTGAGCGTGTAGTAGAAATGGAAGTATTGCTCGAGTGGTGGGTTATACGGGTTGCATTCCAAGGTTGGCTGACATAAGCCCCGTTGAACGGAGGGAAACAACTGGCCGCGGTTTCGCGACGCAATACGCGCCCTATGCCCATTGCGCAACGCTCGTTATGACGGACACCTATACATGTTGCAACCCTCGCATTTGCACAGTACCTGATCGTCGGTACTTACTGCTTTACGCATCTACAGAAAGGGGGCATGTTGGGTAGAGAACCCAGGGGTGGTCGCGGCTTCCGACGCAGCAAAGGACTGGGTAGAGGCAAGACACAGATAGTACGATACAGCCAAGTCGCGGGAAACATTGCTAAGTTGTATCGCAGTGGGAGTGGGAATCATACACGCCTGGCGCTGAAGTCTACGAACAGCTATGGCGCGTTCGCAAGGAGCCTGCAATCGTTACCGCACGGCTTCCTGACGACTGCCCCATACCAAATGCGCGAACACGAATACTCTACCGTCGGCAGACCGAGGATGCTATAAAGCGAGAGCGATACACTGTAGAAATAACACACATCAGCCAACCTGAAGACAGACATGATAGTGTTGATCGCACGGAGGTTGAGGATGTGGACTTTACACGTATCATGCAGTACGTGTCTCCGGCCGAACTGGAGCGCTATGAAACAGAGCAGTTCAGACTCGAGGCAGAGGCCGAGGCAGTCGCGATACGCACAGAAGCTGAGGATCTAGCACGTCGGCAACTGCATAAGAACACAAAGCTACCAAGCACCAGCAGAGGAAGTCGTATGTTCAGTGGGCTGGAAATTGCTGTCAGTTTGCCCACAAGAGCTAGAGGTAGGCCCAGAAGAAGTCGTGGAAGAGGTAGGGGAAGAACGAGAGATCTGGTATTCGATTCTCGGCAGCTTGAGGATGAGACACGCGAAGAGTTGGTCGACAGCGAGCCCATCACGACTCATTGCCTGACCGACTACATTAGGCAGCCAATTCAGACATCTCCCGGTGTGGCCCGTTCAGCCTTTGTTGCCAACAGCGCCCTGCCTGTATCATCAATTCCAACGAGACTTTCTACTTCTCTTCCTCAGCAGGGACATACAGGGCTTTCGAATCTGGATAATGACGTGGGCCTAGCCCGGGCTAGCCGCGATGCAAAGCCTCTGTCCAACACCTCAGACGACATTCTTCTACACACACCGCTTCTCTTTGATCAGTCGTCGACTACAGTGTCTGACTCAGATGACACTATCCCTGCACATCCGCCGCCGCATCACGAATCCAATGGCGACGTGGACAACGATACCATACACATGCACACAGTGTCGTCAGACAGCCATTCACTTGAGTATAGCACGAAAGATGAAGAAGGTGCAGAGGGCGCAGAAGAGTACGTGGTTGAAGCCATCGTCAATCACCTTCAGCAGGATGGGAAGAAGTACTACCTCGTCAAATGGGATGGATATGAAGATAGTCACGATTGGCTTCCCGAAGAAGATCTTGAGGGTGCGGCGGATCTGGTCGCTGAATACAACAAGCGACTTGGAGGCAAGAACAAAAAAGTAAAGTTGAGATAATGTAAGCTGCGATTGAAGCCCCACTTCTATTTCCACCGCGACGTCGTAGTGTAGCGATGAGAACATCAATCTTTCCAGTTTTCATGGCAAGCATGAAGGACTCACAGTTCACTCCGCTGTAAACCCCTATCGTCGCAAATGCTCTATGTCTATGGTCAATGCAGATGTATCGATGCTCTTCGCGGATATATGCTATCGTTGACAGAATTGATCTTCCAATCACTTTGCATATTGCTTCTTACAATCACCCGTCTTCTCTTCTTGTTTGTTTTTCAGCTTTTGAAAGTAAACGTCATGGTGACACAGTTGTGCGTCGGTGATCCATGTCACTGTAATGACATCCGAGCAGACATCCCCATGGAACAATGGAACTCCTATGATGTGTACGGAAGGATCTCCGAATGATTTATTCCACATGCGTGATCATCATATGTTCACTGGGTCTCGGTGTACATGTTGTATACAGAAATAAAATTGATGACAAGATTAATAATACAGGTGAAGGTTCTCGGGAAAGTAGTATTCGCGGAGGCCGCTTGCGTCTGCTGTGTTCATTGCGAGGTCGTCTGGTTGCAATCGACAGGATGACATGGCTGGAACAGAGCTTCGCCCGTGTGTCTTAAGCATCTTGATTGGACGCTCGACTGTATCGGTCAAATCAGAAACCATGCTCTGCTCTCTTTTGCCAGTTGTTTTGGTGCGTGAGTTTTCTTCCTGGCCTGTATCGTCCCACTCCTGCGTCAACTGAGTGGAAACTTCCTCATCGTTTAGGAACATATCCTCTATATCCTCCAATCTCTCCTCTCCGACTTGCGCTTTTGAGGGCTGCTGTGAGAGTTGAGTGGCTATCTCTTTGTCGTCTAGGAAAAATGCATCATAATCGTAGTCTAGCTTTCGAGCGGGCGTTGGAGAAGTAGGCTCGGGTTTGACGTTGGCAGAGAGTTCTTCGGAGTCATGGCTTGGAGACGATGTTACAGAAGTTGACACTGAAGATGGTGTAGCTTCGTCGACTTCCTTCGACGAAGAGCTGAACTCTGATGGTGATGGGTTCAGTGGAGAGGGCTCAAGACTGCATTGGTAATTGCTGACGGGAGGAACCATGTATGGGTCGTTGGAGATTTCTGGTTTAACGAACTCGTTCCCAGGACGAGGTGATAGAAGCAAAGCTGAATCTTTCCGCGTCCAAGGTTCTTGTCGCGAACCATTGCTCTGATGGCCTCGGTGTGGTTTAGACGGTAGTTGTCTCAAATCCTGCAGGAAAGGGCGTAAGAATTCGCTCTTCTTTGCGTGATCTAGAGGAATTGGGTTTTGCCTTTTGTAGTCGCGGAAAATGAGTGGATCCGAGAAGGTTCTGATTGTTTCTCCCGTACGGTACACATCAACAAAATCCACAATGTTGACGTACGGTGGACGTTTTAGTTCGTCTATACACTCTTGGATGAGGCTGTGTACCCTCTTGCCTTTCTGTTTACACTCCTTGGTAGATGAGTAACTTTTGGCCATCATCCAGGCGAATTTGGCCACTGGGATGGTTCACTTGCCAATGATGGAGGCCTTCGGGAAGGTAATGATATATAATCTTGTGGTGAATCGCATCGACAAAGGCTTTGTTCCGTTTCTTTCCTTTGAGCCGTTGGGAGCTTGCAAATGCGCCAAGTTCTTGCTTGAACGAATTAGACGGCTGCGGTTTGAAGCTGCCCTGCTCTATGAAGGCGCGATTGAATACTCGTATGTCATCATCTGGTACACGGCCGACGTTGAGCATATGCTCTACGGCAGACTTCAGGTTATTGCATGTTTCGACCTGGGAGCCTGGAAAGTCGATGACTTGCTGTTTTGCCTCTTCAAAGGAGTTGTACAAGCCAGGCCTTTTGCCTCGAGTCACAGCGTGGTACTTTGTAACCATGATGACAGGCAGGAATAAGCGTCATGGAGAGTATGTATGAAGGATGCAATATCGCAGTGCAAACGCGTCGCAAGGCGTCAAGAGTATATATGGTTAGAAGTTATGAGAAGGCAGAAATGACACGTTGGCACAGTTCAAGTCAGATGCGGTTTCGTGTCGTCAGGGTGTAGATGCTTTTGCGGGATGAGCAAGGGGGCGCGCGTCGCTTTGGGCGGAACCGAGGCATTCTGAACTACCGGTAGTGAAGTGACACATGAACACGGCCTCTTCAGCACGCTGCAACAACATAGACATGAACATGGCCTCTCCAACACGCTACGCCTACCCCTTCGCTGCTTCCCCTGACATTATCCGGTCACACCAGAAAGACGCCTACTTCTCTGGTGTGCTGCTGGACCAGCTATCGACACTCTTGCGCAAGCTCTATGGCGCGCGCATCGCGCACACGTACGCATCCGAGACGCGAGTCCTCGGAGAGCTACTCTATCTCGGTCTCACCACACTGATAGGAAACCGGACGCTAGGCGAGGAATACACAGACATTGTTCAGGTGGAGAGCGAAAGCGGACGACTGCCGGCTCTGGGACGGAGAGCGGGATACATACTAAGCTGCATATTGGGGCCATATCTGCTTGGGAGAGTATTGCCGGCTTTTAGACGAAGAGTGCGTGCAAAACTCGAGGCCAGTCTGCGATGGTACGCGCGACAGCAAGCACGAGCACAGCAAGAGGCACAGGAGAATGGGAGCAAAGCACGGATAGGACGGCCTCTTGGTATGCGCCTGCAGAACTACATACTCGAAAACCTCGATACCATCACGTCGCCATCGCCCGTCTACGCCCTCTCTCTGGCGACATTCTACTTTTCCGGGAGTTACTACCACCTCTCGAAGCGCATATGGGGCCTAAGATACATCTTCACGCGACAGGTGCCCGAGGGCGACAACCGCGCTGGCTACGAAGTTCTGGGTGTGCTACTAGTGTTACAAATGGCGGTACAGGCATATCTACACTTGCACAATACTGTCACATCGTCGACAGCGGCGGTGGGTGGCGGCCATCCGCAAGGCACGTCAGCCATTGTAGGCGGCGGTGCGGAAGTCTCTCTGGACCCCAATGCCTACAGCGCCAACAACGCGTTGCTGTTCGACGCGGCATCTGCCCTCCCTACAGCGGCGCCGTCGGACGTACAAAAGTGGACACACACACCTGCGTTGGAAAAAGCAAGATATGAGCTGGAGAACGAGGAGACAATGGGATGGATTGGTGGTGGCAATCGGAAATGCACGCTTTGCCTGGAAGAGATGAAGGATCCGAGTGTGACGACGTGTGGACATGTCTTCTGTTGGACGTGTATAGGGGACTGGGCGCGGGAAAAGCCCGAATGTCCACTCTGCAGGCAGACGTGTCTAGTGCAGCATGTGCTTCCGCTCCGAGGGTAGGTGGGCAGCATGTAGAATTACAAGATCTTCTCGGCCTCGTCAATCAGTCGCTCTACCTGAAATGCGCTGTCTCCGCGAGTGAACATGTTGAGCAGTTCGCTGCGTCCCTTGCCCTCTTCCGTCTGCACATAGAACTTCTGCATGCACATGACGAGCCATCTGGCCTCGTCGACGCTCACGCCTCTGTTCTCGATGACCAGGCCCTGGCCCAGCACCAGGTTGTGGCTCTCGGCGAGCTCCTGGTGGAAGGTGATGGTGGTGTGCGGACTCGCGAACTCGCCCCTCAGCTTGAATTCTGCCAGCGTTGTGAACATGAGCGTGGTTGTGTCAAGGTGCGGGTGGGAGAACTGCAGATAGTGCAGCTCAGCAGCCTGCTGCGTCTGAGCTTGTTCCGGTGACGCGGACGAGGCATCGGCGGGTATCTCGCGGGGGACGGGGAGCACGAAGGAGGGGTGTTGCTTTGCGCTGCGGAGGAGTTGGGCAAAGGTCGTGGCCGGAACAGCGAAATGGACGCTCTGTGGGTTGGCAGCGTGTCGTAGGCGCCATAGGGCCTGGACTTCCTTCTCGGGGAGAGTCTTGACTTTGTCGAGGTCGAGGAAGGAATTGAGCGTCTTGACGCCTGGCGGGGGCGCCGAGGGAGAGCCCGAAGCAGAGGGCGGCGGAGGGGGCGACGGCCAAGGGCTCTTTGGTTGTTGTGTTGTGGTTGTTTCTGGTGGCGGCGTCAATGGACCGGTTGCGCCGGGCACAATGGCCTGCTTCCTCAGCTCCTCGATCTTGTCCTTGTACTGTTCCTTGAGCTCGTCGAGGTCCTTGAGGCCCTTTTCGCGCGCCTTGTGCTCGAGCTTCTCCTTGTACTTGGCGAGGATGCGCTCCTGGGAGTCGTGTGTGACGAGAAAGCGCACGTCCTGGACGCGGGCAAAGCGGCGTTGGGTAGCGCGGGGGTTGACGAGGGGCTGGCGCAGAGCATGGCGCAGCGTGGGGATGCGCAACGGCATGTTGGATGTGCTGTCGACAGGTTTTGAGGCGGCGGTGGCACATGCGGCTTTTGCAATGGGGACGGAATGCACTAAAGAAGCGGGGCCCAAATGCAGGGACGGGAACGTTTACCTAGGCGGCATGGGCTGCTTTGTCTACTGCACTACGCTTCTGTAACGTTGTATCCTACCCGACATATCTACCCCATATCCACCCCATATCCACCCCATATCGTATACCCGATCCATGCAGAACCCGCCCTTGCTGCAAACGACCCGTCGGCCCCTCTCCTCGTCGTCGCCAGAGACCTCGTCCTCGACGGGCTGCTGCTAGCGGGCATGGGTGCAGTTCACAGCAAGTCCAGCGATGCAGGCGACCTCTATCTGCGCGACCAGACTCGATGTAAGCTTCGACCTGCGCCTGTCCTCGGCCGCGCTCTGCTAACACGACCCCCCAAGTCTCGGTGGCCTCGCTCAACATCACCAATGCCCGCAACCGCACGCTTCTCAACATCTCGCCCAATGCTTTCCCCGCCACCCGCTATGCTGCCAGGCGCGACTTTGGCGACGACAGCGTCGTCGAGTACATCCAGGACCCCGAGCCAGCCCACCATCACGACGGCCCCCCAGCCTTCCTCCTGCGCCTGCCCAACGACGAGGAACTGACCTTCAACTTCACCTTCATCCTGCGCCAGCACCTCGCAGTTCCCACCAGCTACAGCGCCAGTACCGCCTCCCACGTCGCCCCCACCGGCCTGGTCGACACCAACATCAATGGCTTGACCTTTATCTTCGCCCCGAGCTCAAAGGACCTGGATAACCTCGTCACGCGCGAGTTCCACGCCAACCCCAACCTCCACAAGAACCCCCAGGTCGAGCTGGTCGGCGACTACTCCACCGGCGGCCATTCGTCGGTTCAGTTCCAGTGGTCGTGGAAATGGACGCCGCCCCGCACCCCAGAGTCGCGTGGTGGGGGCTGGCGCACAAGCTGCAGTGTGTGTATACCATCCCCTCTCTGTAGCCGCGCCTGCTGATATCCTCTAGTTCGTCGAGTATGACCAGCGCGCACACCGGCTCGAGACGCTGGCGAGCTTTACATTCTGGGTCCAGAGTCCGTATCCTCACCCCCCGTTCCATCCCCAACATGCCCGCTGACCACTCCAGACACGGCGCGCCAGCTGCAGAGCCCAAAGTCGCCTTCACCGCGCCTTGAACTTGGCGTCCCTCCCCGACTGCGCGTGCCCTCGGCACAATCGATAGAGTCTCGAGTGAGCGACTCGGCGGGCGAAGACCGCGAGTGGGACAACATACCCCCGAGATCGCCAATCTGCGAGCCCATTCCCGAGCACAGCCTGGGCCTCATACCAAGCCAGACGACCACTCTGTCAAGCGGGAGTGCGCCGGTGAAGCTCGACGTGTCGCGTCCGGGAGAGGATCTCAGTCTGACCGATGATGGGCCGCTATTCCGCGCCACAATGAAGTCGCTCGAACAGAAGACGGGCAACATGCGCACAAGATGGAAGAAGGTCCTCAAACGCGCCGAGTCGGCCATGGAAGCTCAAGTGGCATGCAACAATGCCATGGCCGACCTCATGGACGCACTCAGAGAAGCCTCGTCGTCCAATGCAAACGCAGTGCAGCCGGCTATTGATCACTACTTCGACAAGATTGCCAAGGAGATCCTGGGATACGAAAAGTCAAACACCACCAACATTCAAAAACTCATTATTGATCCCATATACAAGCTTTACAACATCGACATCAAGCAGGCCGAGACAAAGCGGAAAGACTTTGAGGAGGAGAGCAAGGACTACTACCAGTATCTGGGAAGATACCTTGGGCAACGACAAGACTCGCTGAAAGAGAAGAAACGCGCAGAGACCGATTCCAAATACCAAGCAAAGAGGCGCAACTTTGAATTGAAGCGCTTCGACTACTCGTCCTTTATGCAGGACCTGCATGGAGGCCGGAAAGATCAAGAAGTCCTCTCCCATCTCACGCGATATGCCGATGCCCAGGCCAAGCGCTACCTAGAGACTGCAAAGAAGATCGAGACCATGTTGCCACATCTTGAGGCTCTGAGTTGCGAGGTGAAAGAAGCAGACAAGGAGTTTCAGATTCAGAGGACCGAAAGAGAGGAGAAGAGGCGAGCACTCGAGACGATCAAGAAGACTTTCGACGATGTGCCTGCGCCTTCGCTCACATCTCCCGCGGCATCATCAAGTAGCGTACCCCGGACAACGTCAAGATCCGACCCAGAGCCGCCTCCTGGCCGCAAGGGTAGCCTTGTGCCCATGTTCCAGAGTACAGTCATGCCTCCTCAGACTACTTCATCTACGAGCATCCCCTCCTCAATAGCATTACCACAAAGTCCTGAGGCTACCAAAGCGACTCTAGCCATGGTGGCACCACAGCCGGACAAGTTCAAAGGGATCAGAGACCTTGAAGAAAAGGATCCTGTTGCAATGGCCGAAGCTGGTTCAGGCGCACATCGCAAAGAAGGTCTTCTGTGGGCACTGAGCAGGCCTGGAAGTCATGTGGATCCCAAGGGCCTGAACAAGCAAGCCTGGCACAAGTGAGTACATTTTCTTGAAACTAAATGAACGACGCTGACAATGTCCAGATTCTGGATCGTGCTTGATCAGGGCAGGCTCTCAGAGTATACCAACTGGAAGCAAAGTCTGGAGCTCCATATGGAGCCAATTGACCTTCGCATGGCTTCGGTAAGGGAAGCGCGTAACGCGGACCGTCGGTTTTGTTTCGAAGTCATCACTCCACAATACACTCGAGTGTATCAAGCAACCAACGAAGAAGACATGAAGTCATGGATCAGTGCAGTCAACAATGCTTTGCAGACAGCCGTTGAGGCAGCAGGAAAGCCCGACCGGCCATCAACCGACTCGCTGCCTGGGCAAACACATCGCGACATCGCGTCAGTGCTTACCGGCAAGAGTCCATCAATGTCAAGTCATCGCAACACATACGGCTCCAAGGCACCAGCGCGACATGCTACAGTGGGCGATCGGCCTGGCGGTTACCGACGGGAAGAGACGTTTGGCGACGAAGGCAAGCTGCTCAAGCAAGTACGAGATGCGGATGCTGGCAACAAGATGTGCGCGGATTGCGGTACTGAGATCAAAGTTGATTGGGTTTCCATCAATCTTGGCATCATCATCTGTATTGAGTGCAGTGGTATCCATCGGTCACTAGGCACACACATCACAAAGGTCCGCTCCCTAACGTTGGACGTTACGTCGTTTACTCCCGATATCATCGAGATACTGCTCAAGATCGGCAACCGCATCAGCAATGCTATCTGGGAAGCAAGGCTAGACCCAGGGCTGAAGCCAGGGCCAATGTCGACAAGAGAGCAAAGGCTGCACTTCATCACGTCTAAGTATGCTGATCGGGCATTCGTGGCACCCATAACACCAAACATGTCACACTATGCAAACCCAGAGGAGACGCTGTTAGCGTCGGTTAAGAAAAACGACATCCAGAACGTACTCTACGCGCTGGCACTCCGAGCGAATGCCAATGCACGCGATCGGTCACGAGGCACACACGCAGTATTTCTCGCGCTTGCAGCCGCCGACCCAGCATCGCCTTCAGCGACAGCATCACCTGCAAGCTCTCCAGGCTCAGCCACTCGCCCAGGCACAGCACAGCCTACCCGCAAAGCCTTCCCCGTCGCAGAGCTACTGTTGCAAAATGGCGCAGAATTACCGATGCTGCCTGCACCCATCCCACTTGGGCACTCGGCACGAAGCTATCTTGACTTCAAGACAGAGCAACGTGCGGGCAAACGTCCAGCACCTATGGTGGGAAGTCAGCCCCCACCCAACGTAGAAAAACTGCCGTCCTTGCCGCCTATCATGGCAGGCAACGGCAGCTCTCCATCAGAACGGGCGCGTGAACGGGACGCACGACTGCAAAAGCGAGTCTCGGCAAGCGGAAGGTTGGTCAAACCCCCGAACATGGATTTGGGTGAAGGTAAGCGCGGCTCGTAGGGCTAGCTGATGCTTATTTGTTTTCTGTTCTTCTAGCGTATACCTTCCCTGGGCGGCGTGTGGACTTGTGCGATGGGCGTCAACGGGCTGAAGACGTTGTCATCGACGCGACGAGGAGAGTGCAATCTAGTCCAGGTTGGATGGAGGCGCAGTACTATTGGGGATGCGTGTGTCTGTGTGTGTGGCCTTTGATGCACTGTACCATGTTCGCAGTGAACGGCGATTGGCTTGTTCTTCTGGGAGTCATAGTTGACTCAGTGACCTTGGAGTCATATTTTTTGGCGTGCTGTGTGTATAGTGTAATGAGTAATGGCAGAGCATGAGAGTCACTGAGTTGTGAGACGTAAAGGCTGTGAGCCGGAATAGCGGTCCTTAACGACCCCACTACCACTACTGTGTCTGTGCGCGAGACCAAAATTACTTTGAAAGTTATAAGCGCACGCACCCCGCCGCCGCAACTGCAAAGGCACTCAGTACCGCAATCATGGCGTCCGCATACTCGAACCTACCCATGGACGGCGACGACGAATTCGACGAGAGCCAAATCGACTTTACCGACATTGAAGACCAGTTCCAGGTGCGGCTCGACGAGGGGCTCGATGCCTTTGTCGTGATCGATGGATTGCCCATAGTGCCCGAGGACAGCAAGGCCAAGCTCGTCAAGTTTGTGCTGAGGAAGCTGAACAGCGTGGGCAAGGTCAAGGACGACGGCGTGCACATGCCCGTCGGCGAGGCAGGCAAGACGGAAGGGTAGGTTGCATCTGGCGCCGCGGACAATGGCAGACTGGACCTAGGCTGACGGCATCACAGATATGCCTTTGTCGAATACAGCGCGCCCGCAGAGGCGGTCGCGGCCGTCAAGCAGCTAAACGGAACTGCGCTCGACAAGAAACACACCATGGCCGTCAACAAGCTCACCGACATCGACCGCTACGGCAAGGAGGGCCGCATCGACGAGGAATACCACGCACCCGAGATCCCGCCATTTGAGCAGAAGGAGCATCTGAGGTGGTGGCTAGGCGACGCCGACAGCCGCGATCAGATGGCCATGTACCGCCAGGAGAAGGTCGGCGTCTTCTGGAACGAAAAGGAAGACCAGCCCGAGCAGGTTGTCGACCGCGAGAACTGGACCGAGTCCTTCATCCAGTGGTCGCCCCAGGGAACCTACCTCACCTCCATGCACGCCCAAGGTGTCCAGCTGTGGGGTGGCAAGGCATGGAGCAGGCAGAAGCGATTTGCCCATCCCGGCGTCAACCTCGTCGACTTCTCGCCCGGCGAAAAGTACCTCACCACCTGGTCCCACCGCCCACTCCAGGTCGACGAAAACCACCCGGTCCCATCGCTCTCGCTCGAGGAGGACGGCAAGAACTACATCATCTGGGACATCGCCACAGGCAAGCCCCTGCGTTCCTTTGCGACCATCGATGTACCCGGTGGCACCGACGCCGATGGTAACCCTGTCAAGAAGAAGCTGCAGTGGCCGACGTTCAAGTGGTCTTCCGACGACAAGTATGTCGCACGTATGACCCAGGGCCAATCCATTTCCATCTACGAGCTGCCGCGCATGAACCTTCTCGACAAGACCTCTGTCAAGATCGAGGGCGTCATGGACTTTGAGTGGGCTCCAGCAACACCCCGGAGAGAAGGTATCAAGACATACGAGCAGCTCTTCTGCTACTGGACACCTGAGCTCGGTAGCAATCCCGCCAAGGTCGGTCTCATGTCCGTTCCCTCAAAAGAGATTGTGCGCACGCGAAATCTATTCAACGTCTCTGATGCGAAGCTGCACTGGCAATCCGAAGCTGCCTACGTCTGTGTCAAGGTCGACCGCCACTCCAAGTCCAAGAAGTCCCTCGCCACCAACCTGGAGATCTTCCGTGTCCGCGAAAAGGGTGTGCCTGTCGAAGTCGTCGATTCAATCAAGGACACTGTTATCAACTTTGCCTGGGAACCCAAGGGCAACCGCTTCGTGCTCATCACTACTGGCGAAGTCATCCAGGGCGCTGCTGTGGGTCCCAAGACTGCCGTCTCTTTCTTCGCCCCCGAGAAGCTCAAGGGCGGCGCACCTGGCAACTTCCGTCACATCCGAACCATTGACAAGAAGAACAGCAACGCCATCTACTGGTCACCCAAGGGACGATTCGTCGTTGTCGCCGCTCTCCAGTCTCAGCAGTCTTTTGAACTCGAGTTCTGGGATATGAGCTTCGACAGGCCCAAGGAGGAGTCTGAGAAGGGTGACAAGGAAGTTAACGCCAACCTGCAGCTCATGGATACAGCCGAACACTATGGTGTAACCGACATTGAGTGGGACCCTACCGGCCGCTACGTCGCCACCGTTGCCAGTGCTTTCCGTCATCGCGTATGTATCTTTACTGTCACGTCCTTTTGCTTCTGCTAACACCCACCAGATGGAGAACGGTTACCATCTCTATGACTTCAAGGGTACACTCCTCCGCGAAGAAGCCATCGAAGGCTTCAAGCAGCTCCTCTGGCGCCCACGCCCCCCGACTCTTCTCTCCAAGGAGGAGCAGGCCGAAATTCGCAAGAACCTGCGCAACTACTCCAAGGTCTTTGATGAGCAAGACGTTGCCAAGAAGAGCTCCGCCAACAAGGCTGTGGTGGAAGCTCGTCGCGAGATGCTGGATGAGTGGCGCAGATGGCGCGAGGAGGTCACTGAGAGGTTGCGCGACGAAGGAGCCGACCTCGAGCTGGCAACCCTCAAGGGAGAGACGCCTGGTCAGGCGGATGATGGGCACCAGGAAGAGATTGAGGAGATTGTAGAGGAGATCATCGATGAGACCGAAGAGGTCGTGAACTAGGTAGTTGAATGAGTAGAGACGAGTGTGATGGTAACTCGAATGAACTTGCTGGGAAATGATTTCCCGAATCATACAATCTATGACAAACAATGGCATACGATGATACATCTCAACACGCTCACTATCGCCCGGTGTGTCTTGGATTAATTCTTCCTCCTTCCTCCCAACTTCGCCTTGTAATGCTAGACCAAGTTAGCATTCCTTGCTCTTCACATCCGCTGGGCCTATGCAATTTTTGCTCCAACTTACCTCACAACTGATTCTCAAACCCTCTTCCAAGCCGACTCGAGGTTTGTAACCCAACAACAATCTTGCTTTCGAAATACTAACATAGCGATCGCGGCATCCATCACTCACAATACCCCGACTAAGCACCCCTTCTGTTCCCGTCATCCAACTAACCCATTCAGCACAGTAACCCAAACACCACGTCAACCCTTCTGGAACTCTAACGTGGAACCTTGGAACATGACCGAATTCCTTCCATACTGCTAGACACAAGGCCCTCGCTGTGACAGGCTCGCCATTGGTAATGAACATGGCTTCACCAGCAGCAGTTTGCGAATTTAGCAGATTGCCGACGGCGAGGACATGTGCGTCTGCTACGTTTTCTATATAAACAAAATCTTGCAGGTTGGTTCCTGTGCCTAGGATGAAGGGTGTTTGGTACGCTGAGATACACGAGTGTATTGTGGGGATGCACACGGTGTCATTGCGGCCAAAGATGGGGGCCGAACGCAGAGCACAAGTCGCGAAGTCGTGCGTATTTGCGGAAAGAACAATAGATTCTGCGAGTGCCTATTACGAGTGAGCTTCTGCTTCTTCTTTTCCATTCCTTTCCAAAGTTTGGGTAGATGATTTTCAATGAGAGATGTTACGGTGGCTAGGAAGCAGTACTCCATGTGAGCGAAATGAATAGTTGAGAATTTCTGGTGTGAATCCTGGTATGAAACAGAGTGGTTCAAGAGAGAACAGACGTGTTCCAAAGAAGAATCAAGGGAACCACAACAGAAGAGAAACTCAGTTACCTTGCTCTGTCCATAGCTCGTGTGGACACCACCTGTGGGCCAACGTTCATCTACGTTCCTGAAATCGCGATCCAACTCATCCAGAACAACAGTCACACTACTCGTGTACACAAAAGCCTTTGCACCACACTCTCTGCTTGCTTCAATAACATTCCTTGTTCCCTCGACGTTGATCTTGAAGACGGCGTCTTTGCCCCGCATGGAGTATCGCTTCGTACCTAGGGGGAAGATACCCACTGTGTGAATGACGACAGCAGGTCGAGCTTCGGAAAAAACACTGGACAGAGAAGATGAGTCCATGATGTTGCAGCGGACATAGCGTACGCTGTTGGTAAAGGTGTCGCTGCCAAGCGAGGGCGGATTGACGTCTATGACCGTGACGGAGTATTTCTTGCTGTGTAAGAGTGCGGAGACGATGGCAGTACCTAGGAAGCCACAGCCGCCGGTCACCAGAACGCGGATTGAATCCATGTCTTGGCGTTTGAGGAATCCTCAGAGACGCTGTGTGGTGTTGTTGACGTCGGACGCGTTTTTTTCTCTGGGCGCATTCCAGTCGACCTGTCTTAATGGCATAGAAGCATAGAGCTTCGTATTTGCAGTATCTGCAGCGAATCTACTTATACGACCGCGTACGGTTGTTGCTGGTAGGATGTGACGTCGGGTCTGTGAAAGAGTAAGACATGATGAGGCGCGTGTCGCATGCAAGCATTGCCCAATGCTTTCCCGCTGTATGTCTCGCGCAAAATTGCACTTCCACGAGCCAATTCAAGTAAGGAATTATGCAATTTCAGCACTAGAACCGAAAAAGAACGAACTAGGTAGTGATTGTTGGACCGTATGAATTGTGTAGGCTATCGCCTTAACCCGGTCCCATCGTTGGTGTCCGGGCAAATGATCTTGACTGCGGCGTAAATCAACACTGTTGGTATCCTCCAACTACGACACATAATATTCGCCACAAAATATCTGGACTCTGAACAAACGAAACACGTGAGCACGTATGGTTTTGGTGTGAACACCAGATTCCTTAATCTTTCGCCTAGATCACATCTTCATGGTGTTCCATCGCCTTCACATTGAAGAACGATATTGAAAATTCAAAAAATTACCCGACGACCACCACCACGATGAAGATTAACGAACACCAGGGTGACTATTGCAAAAGTACTGCTCCATATTGTGATGCTGATTTTTTCCAGCTATCCTCACACCCCGCCTTCTTCTTGTTCCGTACAGTTCTCACCACGTCCCCACATACCACGAATGGATGCAAGATGAGGTATACCAAGAGCCCACCAAACTTCGCACTGTTGAAACATTTCCCAGGACTGACTGGAACACAGGAGTTGCAGAAGCTTACCGCATCCGAGCCACTGACGCTTGAGGAGGAGTACGCCATGCAAGCGTCATGGCGTCAGGATGCAGATAAATTGACCTTTATCATCTGCACCTCACCGAACACGCCAACAGCACCATCGGATCTTTCCACGATGGTCAAGGTCTCTCCCGGAACGGAAGATGCACCCGACCGCATGGTAGGGGACGTTAACCTGTTCTTGTATCCGTGTGAGGAAGGTGATGACGTAGAGCAACAAGAAGGCTGTGGGACAGAGAAGGTGGACACGGTCGGCGAGTTGGAGATTATGATTGCTCGACCTAGCGCTCGAGGAAAGGGACTCGCGAAAGAAGCCCTGCAGGCTTTCATCTGGTACATATCCACATCGTTGCCGGCTATTCTGGAGGAGTACGCAAAGGGAACAAATGACACGGGCAAGCTGAAGTCTCTAAGCTACTTGAGAGTCAAGATTGACAAAGACAACACTGGGAGCATCAAACTGTTCAAAACGTTGTGCTTCGGTCAAGTCAGCGGGCCTAACTATTTTGGGGAAGTGGAACTGCGGTCTATGGATGTACATGGTGGGATAGCGGATGCTGCTGGGTTTGCAAGAAAACTATTCTACGGGGACTGAAAGACAAACATGTCCAAAACAAGCGACATGAAGAGCACGGGACTATATGTCACGAGGCAAAGAAATCTGATTGTTGGAAGTACCTGGCAATGTACACGATATAGAACACACGCTTCCGCTACCCGCTCTCCTGAACCGCGCAAATGCAAAACCACTCAATGTTTATTGGTTCGTCTTGCCAGAGTTGTTTGGCTTGGGGAGTTGGTCGAGGATGCTCTTGTTTTGTGGTGGCTGGTAGACAATCTTCCGTGTCTTTAGCGGTGCCCACTTGTACCTGCCGTGATTGTTAGTTGCGAGTTGTAATGGTGGGGGTGCGGAGACTTGCCTCTTGACCCAAACACTGAGCGCGAACAGAACACTGGTGACGGCGAGAACCTTCCAGCCCATCTTCTTGCGGTCGTCCATCTCAGGCTCAGCGGTCCAGTTGAGGAACTCAACCACGTCCTTGGCCATCTGCGAGGTCGAAGCCTTGGTGCCATCCTCGTACTCAACCAAGTCGTCGTACAGAACACGGGCCATGGCGATTCCGGTACCAGGGAAGTAGGGGTTGAAGTTGAGGCCTTCTTGGACAACGGCACCGGCAGGTGGCTCCTCGGGGTAACCAGTCAACAAGCTGAAGATGTAGTTGCAGCCGCCGTGGCGGGCCTTGACCATGAGCGATAGATCGGGGGGTAGAGCACCGTTGTTGGCAGCGCGGGCGGCCTCATCGTTCTTGTAGGGGGCAGGCATGTAATCGGAGAGCTTTCCGGGGCGCTTCTCAATCTCGCCCTGGTCGTTGGGTTCTGTGTCGTACTCGTTCTCCTCGGCGAGCGCCTTGGCCTCATCGACTGTCATGAACTTTCCGACGACGGCGCGGTAAGGCACACGGGAGATGGAGTGGCAGGAGGCGCAGACCTCGCGGTAGACCTGGAAGCCACGGCGGAGACTGTGACAGATTAGGGCATGCGCATGTGCGGTAGGACTGGAAGGACGTACGCTGCATGGTCGAAGGTCTTGGACCACTTCTCGTGCTCCCACGGGTATTGAGTTGGGTGGAGACTGTAGAGGCATAGCGTCAGTACATGACTTGCGGTCGGATCATCTTTGGCGCACTCACCCTTCCTCGGCCGGGGTCATGGCATCGACCTGGCGTCCGTAGAGATGCCAGTACCAGGCAATCGAACCGACGGCGAAGATGGTGGCGCCTGCGGGGAGGGCGTTGTTCTTCCATGCCGAGGCGGCGCCGTCGGCAGAGCTCGATGTCGAGGCAAAGCGCTGTATCACCCATTCCGTCAGCCAGATTATTCAATTGAGGCGGGACAAGCCCTTGGATTGCAGCCCGGCGAGAGATGGTGTCGATGAAGCTCGCGCGAGCTGTCGGGGTTTCTTGGGCCATGCGGGAGGCGTACCGGTTTGCTGGAGGCATTGCGGGCCGTGGCAGCGGCGGAGCGTGCCGTACGCAGTGCTGAGCGAGCCAACATGGTCATGTGAAGCTGGCTCGGAGCAGGAGGGAGACTGGATCAATGGGTTGTCGTTGTCGGCGGTGGTGATGCTGGGAGTAGGTGCGGGAGACACTGGCTGGATCATCAATTTCCACTAGCGTAGGGTTGCTAACATAAGGCAGCTGCGATTGGCTGCTCCTTCCACCTTCGAATGGTCGCTCCTTCCACCCTCGATTTGAGAATGGAAACTTTAGAAGTACTCACAGCCTTATGCTTTATCTGTCTGGTTATTCTGATTTCTTATTACGACTTTGTAGCTCGTGGTTGGGGCAAATAGTATTGCACAGCATTACCTTTACATACATATCTCATCTTCTTTCTTCTACATACGACCATAGGACACTGAAAATCAGGCTTCCCGTTCGCTCAGCCATATGTAAGCAGTGTACCGGTAAACTAGTATCTAGCTTGCTCACGTCCAACATCTCTAAGTCGTAGTAGGAGGGAGGTCACCGCAGACCATCAGCAATTAGGCACTATCCCGGGCATCCAATGTAGAATGTCATGTATCTTAGTATAGCCAAGGTACGACATGGAGAACAAGAGCTTCTTCGTAGTCAGAGCCCTTCGTACTCGGAGCCCTACATTTCTTCATAACTACCAAACAAACGTCTTCATACACGCCTGTCTATCATCATGCTGAGATACAGATAGGAACGTCATTCACCTAAGAGCACGAGTTGCGACTGCGCTACTTGCTCTGCCTACGCCGACAGCAACACGCGCGGCATTGTCATGTGACCCTACTTCTATACCCTTTCACTCATGCAGGAATTGCGAAAGGGCTCAAACGAGGGCTAGGTCTTCTCTAGCAAGAACTGGCTATATTGCCAGAACACACAGCGTCTCTGCGGAGAGGGTGACGCTGGGAGGACTTTCTTGCGTGTTGAATAGAAAAGTCTTTGAGCAAGTCGGCAAGGTTTATATACCGGCTAGCGGAACGTTCCACTAGGCCACATGTGGTGCGCAACATCAACATCAACAAGAGGGCCCTTGGAGAAGAACTCTGCCCGTCTCACTGTGTGCGCTTCTAAAGCAGCGTGCTGATAGAAACAAAAGGTTGCTAGTGCCTTTGGGGCTGCCATTGAGTTAGTGTGCTTGAGCATTTTCCGTGCTTCTTTCTACCTGGGTCCCTTGGTATTGTATGCACGTCGCGCTGCAGCAGACGAGAAGCTAGATGCACCGCTTCACCCATCATGGCCGTCTCTTGGTGTCAAGACCCGTCACCGCTCCTTGCTGCAGTCCCAGTCGACTGAAGCCGCGTCGGAACCTCTTGCACACGCTCACGTCAAACACTCGCCTCCCTCGTTACCCCGCTGCCTCGCCGACACCATCTCTCCGCTCCCCTCCATCCTCCCGACACCCTGCCTTTGTCACTGTGAGGCACTGTTCCCATCGACGAAACATGTGCAAGCACTTTGGCGCCGAGGGCCACTCGTCCATTGACATTACCAAGGGCCGTGAGGTGCTGCCCGTCAATGTCAAGCCTATTCACTATGACTTGACGCTGGAGCCAGACTTTGCCAACTTCACCTACCAAGGCACCGTCACCATCGAGTAGGCACATGCGCATCTTGCACGACAAGACGCCCGCTGACACCACGCCAGTCTAGACGTCGTCGACGACACCACCTCCATCTCCCTCAACACCAACGAGCTCAAGATTCACTCGACCAAGGTCACGGCTGGCCAGCAAGTCATCACCGAATCGCCCAATGTCACCACCGACGACGATGCGCAGACGACCAAGGTCAGCTTCGACCAGACCATCCCCGGCGGCAGCAAGGCGAAGCTTACCATGACCTTCTCCGGCGTCCTCAACGACAACATGGCCGGTTTCTACCGCTCGTCCTTCAAGGCCGCCGACGGCTCGACCACATACATGGCGACCAGCCAGATGGAGCCCACGGATGCCAGGCGGGCGTTCCCCTGCTTCGACGAGCCAGCCCTCAAGGCCAAGTTCACCGTCACGCTCATCGCCGATGACAAGATGACCTGTCTCAGCAACATGGACGTGGCGTCGGAGAAGCGAGTCGACAGCACCATCTCGGGTGGAAAGCGCAAAGCCGTCACCTTCAATCCGACGCCCCTCATGTCAACATACCTCCTGTGCTTCATCGTCGGCGAGCTCAACTACATCGAGACGAACAACTTCCGCGTCCCTGTACGAGTCTATGCTCCCAAGGACCGAGACATTGAGCATGGCCGGTTTTCGCTCGAGCTGGCCGCAAAGACGCTGGAGTTTTACGAGAAGACCTTTGACAGTCCCTTCCCACTCCCTAAGATGGACATGGTTGCTATTCCCGACTTTAGTGCAGGTGCCATGGAGAACTGGGGCCTCGTCACCTACCGCGTTGTAGATGTGCTTATTGACGAAAAGGTCAGTGGTGCTGCTACCAAGCAGCGCGTTGCCGAGACGGTGCAGCACGAGCTCGCGCATCAATGGTTCGGCAATCTCGTAACCATGGACTTCTGGGACGGCTTGTGGCTTAACGAAGGATTCGCAACCTGGATGTCGTGGTACTCCTGCAACGTCTTCTACCCCGACTGGAAGGTCTGGGAAGGTTATGTTACGGACAACCTGGCTAGCGCACTCTCGCTCGACTCTCTACGCAGCAGTCATCCCATTGAGGTGCCTGTGAAGCGCGCAGACGAGATCAATCAGATTTTCGACGCCATCTCCTACTCCAAGGGCTCTAGTGTCATTCGCATGATTTCCAAATATGTCGGAGAGGACACCTTCATGGAGGGTATTCGCCGCTACCTTAAGAAGCACGCCTATGGCAACACGGAGACCGGCGACCTGTGGGCTGCCTTGACTGATGCCAGTGGCAAAGATGTTGGCAAGGTCATGGATATCTGGACCAAAAAGGTCGGATTCCCAGTCGTTACCGTGACCGAGGGCGCCGACTCTATCCACCTCAAGCAAAACCGCTTCCTCCGTACAGCCGACGTCAAGCCAGAAGAAGACCAGACCCTGTATCCAGTCTTCCTCGCGCTGAGGACTAAAGAAGGGGTTGACGAGGACTTGACGCTTTTCGATCGCGAAGCCGACTTCAAGCTCAAGGACCTCGACTTCTTCAAGCTTAACGCAGACCACTCTGGTCTTTACCGAACCTCATACACGCCAGAGAGATTGAGGAAACTTGGAATTTCGGCCAAGGAGGGCCTCTTGACGGTTGAGGACAGAGCTGGTATGATTGCTGATGCTGGCTCTCTGGCCGCGTCTGGCTATCAAAAGACGTCTGGCATTCTCTCGCTCCTGGACAGCTTCAAACATGAGGCAGAGTTCGTCGTTTGGGGGGAGATTACTGGTCGCATTGGTTCGCTCCGGGGCGCATGGATGTTCGAGGACCAGAAGATCAGGGATGCTCTGAAGAAGTTCCAGTTAGAGCTCAGTGCAGAGAAGGCACATGAGCTGGGATGGACGTTTGATGAAAAAGACGGCCATATCGAGCAACAATTCAAAGGTCTCATGTTCGGTGCTGCCGGTATCGCCGGAGACGAGAAGATTACCAAGGCATCATTCGACATGTTTGAGAAGTTTAAAGCAGGTGACAAGTCTGCCATCCACCCCAACATCCGCGGCAGCGTATATGCTATTGTGTTGGCGAATGGTGGGCAAGAAGAAGTAAGTCGTTGAACTGCGATATGTGGAATCTGAACTAACCTTGCTCAGTACGACGTCATTGTCAACGAGACACGAACCGCCGCCACAAGTGACGAGCGCAACTCGGCTCTTCGCGCGCTCGGTCGTGCCAAGTCGCCAGAGCTCATCCAGCGCACGCTCGCCATGGCCCTCAGTGACGAAGTCAAGGGCCAAGACATCTACCTGCCCATTGCTGCCTTGAGGTCACACGCAGAGGGCTGTCACGCGCTTTGGAAGTGGGTCAAGGACAACTGGTCGGAGCTGGAGAGAAGGCTGCCTCCTAGCTTGAGCATGCTAAGTTCGGTTGTTGCCATTACAACATCGGGCTTCACTCACCGGGAACACATTGAAGATATCCAGGCGTTCTTCAGCAGCAAGAGCACCAAGGGCTTCGATATGGCGCTGTCTCAGAGCATCGACGCCATCAGTGCCAAAGCCGCATGGCTTGAGAGAGATGCGGAGGATGTCAAGACGTGGCTGCAGGAACATAAATACCTGCAGTAGAGGCAGAGTGTTGTGTGGATTGTCATGAACTATGGCTGTACAAATAGATGGAGATGAAAAGCATATACTCCCTGCGCCATCAATCCATATTGTCCCCAACAAACACAATAAGCTTTTTTCACATTGGTAAGTCTAAGAATGACGTCAGTGTACATGCCATGAGCGGAACTGAACAAATGCACCACGACAACCTCTGCGGCGCGGAAGGTCGGCTTTCACAGAGATGTGAGTTAGTGTGACGTGAATTCATTCACCACTTCCTGGTGTAGCTTCAGATGTGTGACCATATCAGCCTCTTTCCTATGACGCTATTGTACATGATGCTCATGGCTCTTTCTTGAATTATTACCAACCGAGTCTGGGTTATGGCTCTACAGCTTCTGGTAGTCTAGCTTGCCTTCAAGCTTCTTTGACTCGGCCATCTTCCGCACTGCCTTGTTGAAGTCGTCCTGGTTGATCGAGTCTCGGTAGTCCTTGATGGCAAAGAGACCACTGTGGTGGGTCAGCTATACTGTAGTCACACGGGGAGAAGATACTTACGCTTCTGTGACAACGTTGCGTAAATCGGCGCCGTTCATGCCATCGCTCATCTTGACAATGCTCTCAAAGTCAATCTCTCCGTCCGTCACTACGCTGCCAGAGTGGATTTTGAGAATCTCCAGACGTCCTACTTCGTTGGGCAGGGGGATTTCGAGCTTGCGGTCCAGACGACCAGCGCGCAGAAGAGCAGGGTCGAGTGTGTCTGGCCGGTTTGTTGCCATGATGATCTTGGTCTGTCCTAGGTAGTCGAAGCCATCAAGCTGATTTAGCAGCTCCATGAGAGTTCGCTGAATCTCACGATCTGCCGAAGTTCCCTCGGAAAAGCGTCGTCCACCAATCGCGTCGATCTCGTCCATGAAGATGATGCAGGGCTCGTGCTCCTTTGCGTATCCAAACATCTCGCGGATCAGACGCGCCGACTCTCCAATGTATTTGTCAACAATAGCGGAGCTGACAACCTTTAGGAAGTTTGTCTCGAGACTGCTCGCCACGGCACGTGCCAATAGTGTCTTGCCAGTGCCTGGCGGTCCGTAGAGCAGCACTCCCTTTGGCGGCTTGATGCCTACTCGCAGGAACAGCTCTGGGTTCTTCAACGGCAGCTCAATCACCTCACGTAGCTCTCTAATCTGCTCGTTGAGACCACCGATACCGCCAAAGCTAACCTGGCCCGGGTCTTCGAGCGACATGTTGTAGACGAGCGGATCGACTTCGCGGGGGAGCATGCGCATTATGGTAAGAGTCGTCATATCCAAAGCCACGCGGGTGCCCTGCTTGAGCTTGGCCTTGTCGACCTTTGACCGACATCCGACGACGTAACGGGGCCCTGACGATGCCTTGACAATGACTGCGGGGAGGTTAGTGTGGCGTCTCTCTCAGTGATGCAAATGCCTACGTACATCGCTCCTCGTCTAGCTGCTTCAGCACCTCTCCTATTATCTGGCCGACGCTCTGCAGCGCCTTGATGTTGTCTTCTGATACGTCAAAGTCGTGCTGGAGGCCCTTGATGTCCAGTCGCAGCGCCTTGAGCTTGGCCTCCCATTCTCTCGACTCAAGTAGCTTGGACTTGTAAGCTTCGAGGGCGTGCTCCCGCTCTTGGTCGCCGCTTCCGCTCATGGTGAGGTTGTGCGGTGGATGTGAGTGTGGTTGTGGATGTAGTTGTGACGGTGCAGCAGGTGCGGGAGGCGGTAATGGCAAGGCGGCCGGGTTCGGTGCGGGATCAAGGTGGAGGTGGAAAGCTATGTGCAGTCAGTGATGGCGAGTTCCAGCCTTGGTCCGGGTGAAAGGTGGGAGGGCGAAGTGTCGGTGGTGATGGCGATGGTATTGGTGCTATCGCTGGTCTTGTTGCGGAATGCGGGAGACGGTCCGAGAAAGTGAGAGAGCGCGGCGCGTCGTTGGAAGCTCCGACCCTGCATCATCGAGCCTGTCTGTGACAACCGATCCGTCTACGACAAACACACTGCACCCTTCCCATGATGCAAGCCAACGGGCCCTCGTCGCCGAGCAAGGCAAAGCGCTCGCGTGCCGAAATGGAGGCTGACGGCGCCGTCTCTGCAAGAGAAGCTGCGGCCCAAGTCCAAGACGGTATTGCCATTCCGCACCTCTCACGCGCGCCAACTTTCTCACACCCACTCTAGACGATACTTCCTCCGACGACGATGACTTCGGTCCGGCCCTCCCCTCCTCGGCGCCCAAGAGGAAAAAGCGCAAGCTGCCGTACGAAAAGCTCTATATCGCTGCCCTGCCCGGCGCAAACCGCTACTCCAAATCACTTATGCATCGCGAGCAACTGTGCTTTACCACTTTGACGCCCCACACCGACTTCCTCATAACGAGCTCCGTCGACGGCGTGGTCAAGTTTTGGAAGAAGGACTTTGGCGGTATAGAGTTTGTCAAGGAGTTTAGGGCGCACAATGGCGAGATCAAGTCTGTCAACGTGAGCGCAGACGGCCGTAGCTTTGCCACTGCAGGCGCCGACAAGACGATCAAAATCTTTGACGTCGTCACCTTCGATCTCCTGGCCATGCTGACTGTCGAGTATACCCCTCGCGCGGTTTGCTGGCTGCATGGCCGAGGCGCAAGCTTTCCTCAACTCGCCGTCAGCGCCCAAGAGAATGGTTGGATCCGCATATACGATGGCAGGGGGGAGAATCCGGACCCGCTGCAAACGCTCAAGAGTGTGCACAGGGCGTCGGTCAGCATAATGGCATACAACAATGAATTCGACTGTGTCGTAAGCGTCGATCAAGGGGGTATGGTCGAGTACTGGAGACCCAATGGAAATTATGAAAAGCCAGACAACGTATGGTCGCTGAAGAGCTCCACCAACTTGTTCGAGTTCAAAAAGTCAAAATGTGTGCCCTCGTCGCTTACCATATCCCCCTCTGGGAAGCAGTTTGCCACCTTTTCCTTTCCTGATCGAAAGATCCGCGTCTTCGATTTTGCAACGGGCAAACTCTATCGGACGTACGATGAATCAGTTGAAACCATCACGAGCATGCAACAGGCCGGCACCGCTGTCCAACACCTAGAGGACATGGAGTTTGGTCGACGGATAGCCATCGAGAGAGAGCTTGACCAGCCTACTACAAGAGGTCGCATGAATGTCATATTTGATGAGACAAGTAATTTCATCCTATATGGCAGCATGTACGGAGTCAAAGTCATCAACACGCTGACCAACAAGCTCGTGAAGCTGTACGGCCAAGAAGAATCCATCCGACCGCTATGGCTGTGTCTCTATCAAGGTCAACCAGAGAAAAAAGGTGTCGTCACGGTCGAAATGGCAGCGAGCGAGAACCCACTGCTTCAAGAAGCCGAGGCGAGAGACGCCATGCTGGTCTCTACAGGTTCTGGCAAGGTCCGCTTCTACATGTACACCAATGATGCCAGCGCTACCAAGTCGACCCGTGACGTACAGAACGAGAAACCCCGTGCCGCTGGCGCCAACAAACAAAAGAATGATAAAACACTCGCAGCAACGGATACGACGGCAACACTCCACACTACCTATGGCGACATCACCATTCGCCTCTTCCCAGACGCCGCACCCAAGGCTGTGGAGAATTTCGTCACCCATGGGCGCAATAACTACTACAACAACGTCATCTTCCACCGCGTAATCCGCAAATTCATGATACAAACCGGTGACCCACTTGGCGACGGCACAGGCGGAGAGAGCATCTGGGGCAAGGAATTTGCAGACGAGTTCTCCAACTTGAAACATGACAAACCCTATACCGTGAGCATGGCAAATGCTGGGCCAAATTCGAATGGAAGCCAATTCTTCATTACAACTGAAAAGACTGTAAGTTTCCATCTCACCTCCTCTATATCTCTCTCTCTCTCTCTCTCTCTCTCTCACTCTCTCCATCAATCACTCAATGATGAGGCGACACGCTGACTGTGAATTATGTGTAGCCCTGGCTCGACAATAAACACACCATCTTTGGAAGGGCGATTGCGGGTATGGACGTTATTCACAAGATCGAAAACACCAAGGTATACAAGGAGAAGCCGGAAGAGGATATCAAGATTATCAGTGTCTCCATCTCTTGAAATCGCGGGTGATGGAACTATCAACATGGTGGCCGAGGACGAGAAGCAGTTGCTGTGTTGCCTTCAAAGTGGGGGAATTGTACAGACCCACTCACTGGTTAGCTTTGATACCTTATCGCACCCACCCATTGGCGGTTGGTGACACTCGCTGGGTACCGTCCAGTATTTCAATACATTTTTGAATCGTGTCCTCATCGGCCCTATCGGGCCGAAACCATCGCCTCAGCCGTTCGTGACCGCAAGAAGGCGAGGGCTTGCCAAATTCGTGATATCATTCGTGTGTAAAGTACCCAAGTATAGTGGCCGGCGGCCATTGGCCGCCCGAAATCAATAATCAATAACCTTATCGCACATGAAGGAATGCAAGTGTAATGGGACTGAACCAAATGACCAACTTGCAAGCATTACGCCTACCATGAAGTTGACAGATTTGATACATTAATCCATATTCATTCTTCTCCTATCGATAGTACTGCTTAGGGTTCGATACGTGTTCGTTTGCCTTATGGGCCGGTCTAAGATGAACGTAACAACTGCTCCTCAAGACGACTCAAGACATCATTCTGTGACACGACGAAACGCCGCCAAAGCCGTGCGCCTGAAGCCAGACCCGCTATATAATTCAAACAACGCCCGACAGTGAAATGGAACTGCACATCATCGCTACCCAAGTTCCTGGTATCATACGCGAATGTATGCGAGTACGCCGAAGCCCTCCATGAGGCGCCATTGTCCCCAACCAGACAGAAAGAAAGCTAAATCAAACCTATAAAAGCAAACCAGAGTGGCGTGCAGACCATCCTGTTCCTAAACGCCAGTAAATGTAAAGTTGTGTGCAAACGTGTAGCACTCTGTGCTCTGCGCAACTACTTTGCGACACCCTGAGAAGGCGAGCTGCGACCGACGGAGTGTGGTGCGGGCGCACTGGTGATGGAGGTGCGCTTTTGAGCCCTGAGTACATCAAGCTTTTTCTTCAGCGCTCGTTGGCGGCTTCTCATCTGCTCGAGAACTGTAGCAGTTAGCTGTGTATCCCTCGTAAGACATTGTAGCGGCACTTACGCTTCTGGATCGAGCGTCGGTCTTCACCATCGAGACCATTGATTTCCTCAGCATCTGCCTTGTCGTTGGGCGAATCTTCCTCTTCTTCCAGGACAGCTTGAAGCATTGTGATGGCAGTCCAGTAGTTAATATCACAGTCGGCCAGATTGTGTCCAGTAAGCTCATCAATGGCTGCCTGGCGACTCATTTCTAGGGATCGATCGTATAGCAGCTTTTCGGCCGTGACGCCAGTTGTAAGCAGAATATTCTCGGCAGAACCAACCGCAGTCGTAGAACCAGATGCCGCTGACTGATTCTGAGGATGACTGGGATGGTCTGCTGGTAGCTGCTGCTGTGCCTGTTTGAGCTTGCGTGCAACTATCTCAGATTTGACACAGCACTCGTTGAATCGGTCGCGCATCCAAGAGACTACTTGGCCAAGTTTTGCATTAGTTCGGCTTGCACCGTCAGGACCGCTGTTACGTCGAGTTCGGTTCCAGTAACTACCGGTCAAGTCCATGGCCTTGTTCAGCATTGCCAACGTTTTCACAAAAAGTACCAACGCTTCCTCAGAGATGATAAGAACAGTATCGGGCGTCAGATCATCGTCATCGTCATCGTCGTCGTCAATTACATCGCTACTAGGCTTGCGAGCAACGCCAGTGGAGCCGATACCTAGAGCCGGGTCGCTTGGTGCAACTGGGACGAGCTGGCTGTACTTGACTTCTGCGAAGCCGTAAACAACATGGCTGAGCTGCGCCAGATCTTCAATCCTTTTAACCGTACTAGTGTCTTCGTCCTTGCCCACTACTTTGCCTCCATCGCCGACCAGCAACATGCTGCTTTGCGCAGTTGGATACGCAGGAAATGCAGAATAGCCCTGTGGGGGAGATACGCCCTTCATAACAGGTGGTGACAGACCAAGCCCTCGAATGTTGACCATGTTCATAGCCTTGGACAAGGCAGAAGTAGCGGTTTCGAAACTTGGACGATACTGTCTCCGACTGTATGAAGCCGTGCGTTGGTGGGTAATGGTTGGCTTTTGTTGAATCTGGATGGCCTTGGAAGGGACTGCGCCAGTGGTCGATGTTGGGGACCCTTGTGTTGTCGAACGTCGCTTCATTGGAACTTCTCGGTGAACGAGACGATCTCGTTGTGTTTGCGGGCTATTGGCAATCTCGTCTGCGAGTGCGTCAATTTCCACACGGCGCTTCTCTACAAATACAAAGCCCTCGTCAAGCGCGTTGTCTTGTGCAGCTCGTTCTGCCGCTTCTTTCAATACATTGGCTTCCGCTCTCTGTGGGATCCGCTCGCGGTCAAAGTGCTCCTTGAGGCCGGTAGGTGTCGATGCTTGCTCATCGCGAGAATGTTTGCGCCTATGGCCGATGGCAGTGGGTGCGGCGGTCTGATCCTGCAGTGTAGCGGTACGTCCTGGTGCGGTCGCCGCGTTAGTAAGAGTGGGTCGGCGGTGTTCGCGAGTCGACGTACGTTCATCGCTAGGATCGGCCGGGACATTGTTGGCCCTTCGTGCAGAAAGGTGTTGCGGTGGAGTGCTAGAGAAGTGACCGGAAACGGGTCTAGAGCTGGGCCGTGAAGGCGGCGTTGTGCCAGGGGCTGTCGTCCTGTCTCTGGGTAATGGCGAGTATGGATTATCAGCAGCCCTTGGATCCATTTCAACAGGCGCTTTCTGTAGTCGCCTAGGTGGCTCGATTGGTGGTTCTAGTACAGAGGTTTGCATACGCTCAGAAGCTTGCATGGAGCCAGGAAGGTCTTCGTCCACCATGTCTGGAATTTCATCACGGATGACCGGGTCTGAGAAGAAATGTTCATAAGACATGCGCTCAGTTGGCTTACGCTTCAGGAGTGCGCGGATGAGAGTCTTCATGGCCCTGCTGCTGACGAGACCTTCTGGGAATCGGACCTGATCCTTGCGCTCTTCGATTTTGCGTAGCAATTCTACGTGATTGTTGGCCCTAAATGGTGGCCGAGCACACATCATTTCGAAGAGAACGGTTCCCACGGACCAGAGGTCAGCCTTTGCATCGTACTTTTCATATCGCAGGATCTCTGGTGCCATGTAGAGGGGAGAGCCGCAGAGGGTTTCGGCCAGTGAGGTAGTCGGCAGAATCCTAGCGAAGCCGAAATCAGCAATCTTGAGCATGGGCAACGAGGCAATGCCAGTGGCGGGTATCAAGGAGTTTGCGCTTGCGGCCAGAGGCATGCGTTCCAGAGTTCCACTCTGAGAGTAGAATATGGACGATGGATTGAGAAGCAGATTCTGGGGCTTCAGATCACGATGGATATAGTTCTTGGATCGCAGAAACTCGAGGGCGCTGGCCATCTGCTTGGCAAAGTGGCGTACGACGACCTCGTGGAGGCCGCCTACGGCTGGGTTGGGGTACTTTTCTATCATGCGCTGGGTTTGCGGGTGGTTCACGAGATCGGAGCGCTTCTTGATGAAGGCTGACAGGTCGCCGAGTTCACAAAACTCCATGATAATGTGCATGCGCGATGGCGTCTCGTGGCAGTCGATGAGCGACACGATGTGTGGGTGGTGCAGACTGCGCAAGATGGTGATTTCCGAGACGAGGTTGTCTTTGAGCTTCTTGTTCAGCTTGTTCATGTTGACCGACTTGATGGCGACCGACTGCCGTTTCTCCTGTACAAGGACGCAGTTAGCACTCGATGCATGCTTGAGATTGAGGGCAGCAACGTACAATGTGGATGCCACGATAGACTTCGGCGAAGCTGCCTTTGCCAATGTGATGCAAGCGCTTGAACTTGCCAATAATCTGCTCCGAGCCCGTGGCAGCGGGTGACGACGTCGACGGCGATGCACCCGACCGCCGTGGGGCGTGTGGGTTTGGGGGTGAGGCCATGGTAGGCGGCGCTGGCTGAGCAGCCGGGGCCCGGATGAGGCTGCTGGTGTTATGTAGCCAGTCGTCAGCTACCAGCGAAGATGTGGATATAGCGTGGCCGTGAGGGCGTTGGACATGGGCTATCGTCGTGGTCGGGCTATCGATAGCGCTGAGGGATGGTCGTGGTGGTGAACGCGACGGTGGCGGCAACGAGTATGCGGGCGCGATGGGCAGATGGGCGAGGAATACGTGAGATTGGGTACAAGAAAGCAGAGCGGCGGAGAGGGTTAAGAGATTAGGAGAGCGAAAGCATGCAGCAGGATAGTAGGTAGTGGTCAGTAGGCGGTAGTCTGAGGCGCGCGGGACGTCTATGGCCGCACGTGCCGATAACGCGTGCTCGCCGCTAGCTTGGAACCCCAAAACCTACCTTACAACAATCCTACGGCAACTAGGACAACGTCGACCGAACTCTGTACAATACCCTTCCAATGGCCTCCTGGACACGCTCATTGGGTTCGACGGATTTGCTTCTCATGGTCCGTGGCTGCCATGGATAAGTTGCAGAGCGTAGAGTATGGGGCATATCGCTGACCCATAGCCCCTCATTTGGCCGCCGACGTGACCTCCACCAGCACTACTTCGTCTTGCCCAACTCTGACGTAATTGTCTCGAGGCTGTAGATGCAAGTCATGCTCCCTTGCGCAAATGGCCATGTGCATGGTGTTTTAGTATTACCAGGCTATCTACTGCGTACCTGCATCCCGCCTGATGCGGCTGAGTCCGTTGCCTACAGCCTGACACCCCTCACAAGAGCCCATAGTATGACTGGCACTATCACATTGTCGTTTCCGCCTGTGAGTACCGCCTCGTTTAGGCTCGCCCCTGTTGCACATAGACCTGCCTTGCCGACCATGAGCAGTGCGTCTTGTACCCACTCGCTCGTTGTCTTCTGCCCTGCCTGGCCACTGTCCCACCCCACGTCAAGCCAGACTCTACTCACAACGAGCCCTATCGACACTGCAAATGCAAATGCCAGGGAGCCCTCGAGTGACTTGCCGCCGGCCCATGGCCACTTCCGCCGTCCGTAGCGACGGCCGATGAGAGATGCCGCGGCATCGCCCATGCCAACACAAACCACCCCTGCCACCATACTCACATCCCTATCCTTGACATCCCACCCTTGCCATGGCTCATCGCCAGCCCGTTCTATACCTGCGAGCGATAGCCAAAGCGGTATTGCGCAGCCTATGAGGAGAAAGATGTGTGATACTACTACTGGACCCCGGAGATCACGACCGTCTACGTACGGCGTGAGGAACCTAGCAATCGGTTTTGACAGTGGTGGCAGTTGCGAGGCACGAATCAGATCCAGAAGGAGAAATATCGCAAGCACCAACGCAAGGGCTAGTGCGACAAAACAAGGATCGATGAAGATGGTCGGAAGAAGCATCGCGACCATGGTGCCATGGAACACCTTTCTGCGCGTGTCGACTTCTACAACCGCGGAAAGTGAGAAGACTGCAACAAGGCCGGCAATGATAGTTCCGGCACAGTACAAACACAGCAAGAGACGCGTGTTTGCTTCGCCCACCACTAAGAAACGCACATACTCCGCAGGTGATAGATGCTGTGCGGATTCGAGCATGTCGTCATAATCCAGTCTCGTCGGTAGTGGGATCCACCAGTCCAAATTCCATTGGAACACCTCCCATCGCACGCGTGGTACATTGCCCAAGAGGTAGCTGATGGCCCATCCAAACGGTTCGTTGTGGTGGAGAGCATGTTCGCCGATAGTATACCGAATTGGTCCAAGTATTAGCGCGACTACAATCGCATAGAAGTATCCTGCGTACAACCACTTCCTCATGGTGGCTTCGGTCGGTGTGAGCGACAGGTAGGACTGCACAATTGATCTCGATCGTTTTCGACTCGAGTACTGATGCTTTGATGTATGGTCTTCAGCGGCGAGAACTGGAAGGGTGTTCCTTCGCCTGCGTCCGCTGCTATGGTTGGCTCTTTGGCCACCATTCGATTGCTGAAAGCCCGTATTTGTCGCTTCAACTGCGGATCGTGGCTCATCGCCGCCCATGCGAAGTCTGCTGTGTTTCACAGAATCTAGAATGTTGACTTTCAGACTCTTAGTCTTGTGGAGAGCATTTCCAAATGCACGATCTTCTTGGTCCGCATCACTATCACTCGCATTTCTCACCGGACCACTCCCGCCGCGCCTGGAGCCCAGGCTGTGGTTCAGGACCTGCAAGAAATTCTGTCGAGCTCGGATGACTTGGCCAGCACGCCGAAGCCTCCATCGCGGAATGCGTGCAAGTGCGACACCCCACTTCAAGATCCTGCCGCAAAGCAAGAAAACACCCAGCCCACCTAGCCACAGCAAGACAGTGAGTATGGTTGCTTGAGGAGTTTCCGAGAATAAGAGGAGGTTGATGAGCCCAATGGAAAGCAAATGCAACTCGGCTGGCAAAAGGCTCGTCGTGGTGAGATAGAACAAGGGTGGTAGTAGCGCTTGATGCAAGGGGAATAACATCACCAGAAGTTCTGGGTCTACACCTTGGTTAGGTGGGGGTAACTTGAGCTTGTATGGTGTCTGTGCAAACAGCCGAGAGGGTATATCGGTATTCTCTGAAACGATCAGGGGCATGATGGATATCAGCCAGTGCAGAGGAGAGTAGCCCAAGGTAGCGTTTCTGAAAGGAACAAGCCTGGCTGGTAAAGCGGCTAGTCCAAGCAACATGTTGGGTAGAAGGGGCTTTGACGATGAGGCAAACAGGGAGATCGCAATCAGGACGGGCAATATTGGGGGGTAGAGGATAGTGGCCGGATCGAAGGCGGCTGGTAGATGTATTTGACGGCCAAGCCGGAGTTGAGAGCGATTTCTCCATGAGTAGTACAGAAGCCGAAGCGGATATAGCCCCAAAACGCCAGCCATGACAGAACAGTGTGTCAACAGCTCTACTAGACACAGGTCAGCATACTTTGGCGCAGGCAAGGGATGAGGACTGACCTCTATGCCATGCCAGCAGTTTGGTCCAGCAGTCGCAACCACGGACAGCCAGGACGGCAATGCCCGCAAGCAATGCAGTCTCGGTCGTTCTCCTGATCAGCTCGTTGCGCCGCCGCTGGAGGTATCTCTGCCTGGCCGCCCTCGCTTCGTCGTCGCTATGGTATACGTCTCCCTTGCGTCTCGTCTTGTTGTTGCGAGCAAAGTAGCCCTCAGAGAGCTTCCTCCCCTCATCGTCAATCTGTGTGGGGGTGAGGAGGGGGCTCGCCCACGCCTCTGTGCCCAATGCCTGGGACTCACGGAGGCCCTTGTGCGGTCGCAAGGGAGGAGCAGGCAGTGCCTTGACAAGGCTGCAGCCCTCGTCGTCGGCCTCGGTGCCGCTTTCACTTGGTGATTGTGACGGCGTTTTCCTCATGGTCTTGTCTAGGGGCCGAGGCGGGGTTTGCGATTGCGATTGCGAGTGCAGAGAAACGTCGTGCACCGGATCTAGCGACCGTCTCCGTAGCTGATCTCTATGATGCAAGTACGGGTGGGGCGAACGGCGGAATCGGTCGAGTTGTTCGATGTCGTCGGGCGCAGGCGCAAACGCATCCAAGGGCGAGTCTGGCGGTGCCTTCTCTTGCGCCATCATGACCTTTGCTCTGTTGCTTGTGCCTGCACGACTACAGGGAAGTCGCGCGGCACAATGGTCAAGAGTTTATCGTGGATGCACGCACATTCAAGTCATATGAGGCGACAGTGGCCGAGGGTTGGCGGCGGTGTTTGCGCTGTGTCTGTCAGCGAACCGCTCTGCCAACTGTACGTGCGATGCAATGCGATGCAGTGCAATGCAAAAATCACTGCGAGAAGACAAATTGGCGTGTCGAGCGGCGCCGAATGCAGCGCATGTCGTGTAGAGTTGGCGATGCTCACATGTGAACACGGTACGGTCGGAAGACGCGAACCCATGCATGACGGAGGTCTTGCTTGGCGTTAGGGTCCGCAAAAAGTTTCTAGCCAAGACAATTCCTACTACACAGATCTCTTCCGCGCAGGTCAAACGGCAACCACAACCATGTCGTCGTCTTTCTTCACCACGCCGGCCTCGCAACGGAAACGGAAGCGCGGCGAAGTCGCGGCCAGCGCCCCCAAACGTCGCAACACGGACGCGCATGCTCGTCGCTCCCAGCGAGAAGAGTCCATCAGTGGCAGCGACGAATCCGACGGCGACGGCGCACCCACCTTCGACGACGACCAAGACGACGTAGACGGCGGCTCTACCACCTCTGAAGATGAGAATGAGACTGCGGCGGAAAAGCGTCTCAGGTTGGCAGAGCGCTACCTCGAGAACATTCGCAACGAAGTCGAGGACGAGGTGGGCTTCGACGCCGAGCAGATTGACAAGGACCTCATCGCTGAGCGACTAAAAGAAGACGTCGCAGAGGGAAAGGGCAAGATCTACCGGTCAATTGCCACCGAGCTCGACTTTGACCATGCATCGCATGCCACCGGCTACTCGGGGCTGCAAAAAGCCACAACAGGATGTGCCGTCAAGCTGCCGTATGCCTGGACCATCAGCAAAGATCTTGTCGTCGAGAAGTGGGAAATCGCTGACCCAAAGTCGTATGCGCCTGACCCCAGCCGACCGTCCAACTTGACGCCGCGCACCACACCAAAGAGGCTCCTCTGGCGGAAGGGAAACAAGAACAAAAAAGGCGACCGCGCCTTCCTGGGCCACACAGGCGAGATCGTGTCTATAGCCGTCTCCGACTCGGGAAAGTACCTGGCCACTGGCGACAAGCATGCTCGCTTGATCATCTGGGACGCCGACACTCTTACACCCCGTCACCTCTTCACTCGTCATCGAGACGCCGTCCTCTCTCTGTCCTTCCGAAGGGGCACCGAACAACTTTTCTCTGGTGGTGCGGACCGAGCTGTTATTGTCTGGAGCGCGCCGGAATCAGCATATATCGAGACGCTTGTCGGACATCAGGACGCTGTCATTGGTGTAGCAGGTGGGCTGGAGCTCAACCAAGAGACTTGTGTCAGTGTAGGCGCAAGAGATCGCACCGCCCGCTTGTGGAGAGTTGTCGAGGAAAACCAGCTCGTGTTCCATGGAGGCGGTACGGCTAGACAAAAGGGCCTGGACAAGTTACGCAAAGGTCGATTCGGAAAAAATGTTGATGGAGACGAAAAACAGGATGAACAGGCCAACGGTGGAACGTCCGACAATGACGATGACCCGCCCATCGCATATGCTGAGGGCTCCATCGACTGCGTGGGTCTTCTCGACGCCGGCTTGTTCGTTACAGCATCTGACAATGGTGCACTGTCGCTATGGTCTGTCAACCGGAAAAAGCCTCTCTTCACATACCCACTCACTCACGGCCGTGATCCACCGCTCTCGCCCGAGCAAATGTCCGCCAACGACGACGCCCCAACATCAGTAAAGCCCGGTCCCCGGCTTCCGCGATACGTGACTGCGCTTGCTACTGTTCCTTTTGCCGATCTCATCCTTACAGCAAGCTGGGACGGCTGGATACGCGCGTGGAAGATTACAGCGGACAAGAAGAGCATTGAGCCAGTGGGCAAAGTAGGGCGCGTACCGACGGTGGAAGACGAGTCTATGGTCAATGGCGACGCCAAGGACGGTGCTATCCTTATACGAGGTATCGTCAACGGCCTTGCGGTACAAGAGAGGGGAGATAGAGGCAAGGATGGGCTGTGCATCGTAGCCGCCGTAGGTAAAGAGCCCAGGCTGGCTCGATGGATGTCTGGGAAGGTCAAAAACGGCATTTATGTCTTCGAGGTGCCTAGAAAAGGCTTGACCAATGGTATGGCAGACGAAGACGAGGAAGATGAAGAAGAGGAAGCATAAGCGAAAAGCATCTTGCATTGTCAGGCGTTTGTGGATGCATACTAGATACCAATTCGATCACGCATTTGGTGCCGAACCTTGCTTTCGGCCTCTCATCCGAGATGGTTTCCTCCCGCCTAGCTCACATGTGGTTTGTATGCGTGTAGTGCCTTCTGGAATCGTGTCTGTGTCTCTTGTTAGGCGCGTTGCACCCATGATCTTGTCGTTGCGTTTGAATAGCGCGTGGCTCGAAAATACAAGGAGATGGGTAAGATGACCACAGATACACACATGGGCCTACTGCTTGTTCGACATCAACTGCGAATGTCTATGCAATGATACATTATCGTCAAAGGCAGAGGTATTATGCGAATACCTCCTGCAATACGCTAAGGTCTTTTGGTGTTGGAATCGAGAGCGAATCCAGTCCTGGAAGTATACATAGTATTTTGTGATACAGTTTTGCGAAAAGTAATACTGTGTAGCTTCAGGGCAAGAAGGATACTAAACTGCTGTGAAGACAATAATATTCCTGTAGTTTGCAGTACCACAAACGCAGCGACTGGAGAATCAGGTCAGCATTCCAGGCTTCTAGGCGATCTGTCTACCTGTTCACGACCCATATCGTGTGTTGTTGTAGGCGAAAAAGGTTTACGTTCTTTCCTCGAACGACGTGGGTCCAGTATGCAGCTAAGATAGGCGAACGGCACGCACCGGCCGATGTCGAGAACCCGCTCCATACGTTGGCTTTGTTCGTTGTTCCAGTTCTGTAGTGGAATGATGGATGGGCAAATACTGGACGTGGTTCATACAGCACACTGTCTTGGTACGTGAGTGCTCTGAAACACGTTAGAGGCAGCTTGTTCCACAGACATGCTCTGTCGACGGTGACGTTGTTGTCGAATAAGCAAACAGTCGTCGCTCCTCATGACTACACGTGTCAGACACCCGACTATGCCCTCGTTGGGCTGCATGAGCCGCATCGTTTGGGCTGCTAAGCGGTCAGTGAGGCCGCTGAGCTGGAACCACGTAGCCGGCTAGACAAAGGTAGCATGACTCCCAGCGATGGCAGTACTGCTGCAGGATGATGAGGTGAATTTAATAGCAATGGCAACGGGCACTGCAGATGGAGTATAGTAGAGCGGCTTCCACATCACATCGTAGACATCGCATCGCTGTCGTCATCATCAAGCATATCTACCATTGCTTCAGCCAGACTATGTCCGAGCCAGCACAATCGTTTTCTGCGCACTATTGTCTGGACTGGAGGGTTGGGCGCCGGCCTTGAAACACGAATTCCTACTATAACGATTTGACGTTAGAGACAAGACCGAAGCACGACACGACACAGTCGCCTAGTTAGGACCAAACCGTTTCGGCAGCCAGGGTTGACGCTTTTTCTGCTCTCCTGCCCTCCCCAAGACGTCGCCCGACTGTCCCGCCTGACGACAGTGTGCCGTGGATTTTAACATTGTTGTTGTTTACCCAGACGCCACTGGTTGTAGCGTACCGTTTTTGTGCTTAGGCAACCTTGGACCGCAACCCATCTCCTGCCCTGCCCCGCGTTCTCCTAACATCTTCTCGCGCCCGCACCTGTGCTCCACCTCCAATCCTCCCTTCGCCCACACCGCACCGCACCTTGCCCGCGCACCTCGGAACCCTGGACTCGGCCATTCTCTAGCAGAAGGAGGCTCGAGTGCGGTTCCGTCAGCACCACCAGCCTCATGCCGTTAGTCATAGCCCATCTCCCCCATCGTCGCGCCATGCCCCATGCTGCGTCGCGGCGCTCCGCTGTAAAGTCGCGCGCAACACACAGCACCGCGCCGTCGAGCGTCTCCATCTCTCCTCCCCAGCGCCGCTATCATGTCAAGGGCGACACTAACGTGGCCATCAGACTCCGGAAGGGAATCACAGTCAACAACCACACGGGCGCTTTCGAAGACGACGACGACTTTACCGACGAGGACTCGGCCGGCATCCAGGTAGTCTCGGCCAGCGAGGAAGAATACACCACCTCGGAGGCGACCGACGAGGAAGACGACGACGAAGACGAAGAGGGCGAGGAAGACGACGACGACGACGACGACGAGGAAGACGAAGACGACGACGAGGAAGGCTCGTGGGACTACATAGAAGACGAAATCAACCCCTCCGACTCGGCCTCGCGTCCACAAGTCGTCAGCAAGCACCACTCGGCGCCGCGGCACGCTGTCTCGCATCACGCTGTTGCACGCCACGTTATTCCCCCGCCTGCTATAGCCCCTCCACGTGGACCACGCACAAAGGCCTCGCACCGAGACCGAGCCTCTTCGCGTCACGCAGCGCCCGTCCCAGATCCTCCCTCGCGCCACGAGAGCCAAAGTCGTAGCCGCAGCCGCAGCAAACTGGAGCGCACACGCAGGTCGAGGCGGCCAAGGCCCCAATCCGTCCATCAGGACGCTCTCGAGGTCGAGGACGACGACTACCCATACGGAGCCCCGCCCCACCCAGGCCATCCTCCCGGCCATCCCAGTGCTGGCTGGGGCCACATACCCCAACATGCTCCCAACGGCTATGCGCCCAGCTTGATGTCGGATCCACGCTACCCCTACGGCGGCTTCCCGGGCGGCACACAATCGCCCCCGGGTCAGCTGGTGCCCTTCGGTCAAGAGGCACACTCGGCCTATGCTCAGAACCCCTTTGCCCCTAACGGCCAGAATCCTTTTACCCAAGGTCCCCCTTCGGCTGGCGATCCACGCGGCGGCTACTTTCCCGATTACCAGGACCCGCGCCATCAAGACCCACGCCACCAAGATCCGCGTCAATCACGCAGGGGTCATCGTAAGTCCATGCCGCCGGCGCCCCAAGCAGACATGATGCCTTATTCACCAATGGGCTACTACCCACCATACGGTGCTTCGCCCTATGGTGGCATGCCACCGCACATGTATCCGTACGGACATCCAGAGCACCACTCTCCACCCCCACAACACCCGCCTTCGCACCCTCCCTCGCACCCGCCCTCGAAGCGTCCTACACCGAAGCCCCAGCCTCCGCCTGAAGAAGAACATCATGCCCCCGCTGCACCAGCTCCGCCTCCACCCCCACCTCAGCCGGCCCAAACCCCTGCTGATCAGATGCAATTGCAGACGTTGCAGCAGCTTATGCAACAACAGCAGTTGCAACAGCAGCCCATGCAACAGCAACTCATACAGCAGCCCATGCAACAGCAGCTCATGCAGCAAATGCACCCTATGGCTATGATGGCTCAACCTCCCCCTCCGCCTCCCCCTCCCGCGCAACCTGATCCAAAGGAGGAGGGCATGCTCTCCAAGCTCGAGAAACTCTTATTGGGCAAGGAGGAAGAGGAGAGAAAGGCAGCCGAGAAAGCAAGAAGAGACGCTGAATTAGCCAAGTTCGACCGCCTCGAAAATCTGCTCATTGCCCAACAAGAGGCTAAAATTGAGAAAGAAAAGGCTAAGAAGGAGGCTGCCGAGAAGGCTGCCCAAGAAGCTGCCGAGGCAAAGAAGAGGGGTGATGAAGACAAGCTCGCCAAGCTCGAAAGCCTCATTCTTGCTCAAAAAGACGAACAACTCAAGCGTGAGGCGGCTGCAGAGGCGGCTCGAGCAGCTGACAAGGCAGCTGCAGATGCTGAGGCAACCAAGATTGCAGAAGAAAAGAAAGCCGCTGCCGAAAAAGCCAAGCTGATGCTCGAAGCAGCGCAAAAGGCGCGTGAAGAAGCTGAGAAGAAAGCTGCCGCAGAAGCCGAGGAGACCAAGAAGGCCCATGAGAAGGCTTTGGCAGAAGCCAAGGCTGCTGCGGACGACCTGGAAAAAGGAAAGAAGGCTGCTGAAGAAGAGGCCGCCAAGTTGAAACCATCCGACGCTCCAAAGGCCCCAATCAAGTTCAAGGATGCTGTTGGTCGCAAGTTCAGCTTCCCGTGGGCTCTGTGTAAAACGTGGAAGGTAAGTTGTCTGGGTAACAGGTCTCAATTTAAAGCTAACATTTGATCAGGGCATGGAAGAACTCATCAAGCAAGCTTTTCTGCATGTCGATGTGATTGGCCCTCACGTTCACGAAGGCCACTACGACCTCGTCGGACCGGACGGCGAGATCATCCTCCCCCAGGTCTGGGAAACCATGATCCAACCAGACTGGGCCATTACTATGCATATGTGGCCAATGCCTGAGCCCCCGCCACCACCCCCGGAACCGCCCAAGGAAGCGTTTCCTCCACCACCGCCCCCTCCACCGGATGCGCAAGTGTTCTTGTCCAGCCACCTTCCATTGAAAGGAAAGGGCAAGAGGGACAAGAGCCAGAAGCGCCAATCCCTCCCTCAGGCACATATCGTACAAGTGCCACCCCCTCCTCCGGGTGTCATGCCCGGTCCACCGCCCCCACCACCGCCTCCTGGACATCCTGCTGGTGGTTCCCCCCCTCCTGCAGTTGTCGTTATGCCCAGTGGCAGTGGCAGCTCCGGAAGTTCTCGCAAGAAGCCTGCGCCGTCACCTTTCTTCAGATGGGCTGCTGGCACCCAAGTCAGGAAGAAGAAATAAGCGTAGTCGCAGAGAAACCGGAAGAGGTTGACTGGATCCTCTGAGGCTGCTACGGAGTTGAGCGTCAGTGATGCTAGTAGACTCCTTCACGTTTTTGAATAGTCATGCCCCGTCCCCACTGCAGCGCTCTTCGGTTGGCCGCTTAAGCGCCGTCTCGACGCTTCTTTGTTTTTCGCGAGATATACCAGGTACTGTTGGGAAGTCGCGATACGCGCCTTGATCTTCTGTCATTTGTCACTTTTCTACTCGAGGCTTTTTGTTTTCGATTACAAGGAAAAGTTCAGATACCATGGTCGTTTTAGCGTCGTACGTTTCGTATTGCGTGTCGCTTTGGCCTCTGGACTACCCCTTCTGGTTTGGCGTCGGCGTTGCGCTTGGTTTTGATTGAAGTATATGGCTGCGATGGTCAGTGAACGCACGGACTACCGACTTATGGGACAATCGTGTGGTTGGATCGATGAGAGTTGATGATAATACGAGTAACGAATCTGGACAATGAAAGGAACGTTTGTTGAAGCCATGTTGTGTGTTGATTAAGAAATATTATACAGATCATAAAATGCCGATCAGCTTCCATCCGTTGCCCAGACATGCATTAGGATCTGGACAGGGGGTTGATGTCGCTAACTTTCCTTATCCACCTACGTCATAATCTTTGCGCCCCATCCAAGGAACAACACGATGACCGTTGACTTCGAGTTGCCGCTCCTGCAGTAGCTCAGAAACCGGATTTCGGCTTTCACTCGCTACGAAACTACTGTCGATATCTCATCAAACATCTGCATGTTCTGCTTCTTATAACGTGGAAAAGTGTTTCAATACAGTCCACGCACGAGCTTTGTATCTCTCATCAGACCATTCACTATCCTTCGTATTCAAGTGGCCCAATATGTGGAAACCAAGCCCTTTTCTTGGCATGCTCGTCGCCCTCATCATGACCGTGTTGGCCGCAGCTGTTGACGAAGCAACGACATCATACACGAGTGACAGCTCTTTTCAGGACGACTTGATGAACGTCACTAATGAGTATCGTGTGCAACACAATGCATCAAAGCTTGAGTGGAACACGACGCTATCTGACTACGCTCAGGACTGGGCAGACGGGTGCAAATTTGAGCATAGCGTACGTTACACCACCTGATCCTAGGCCAGCACGCGCTGCTGAAACCCGGAATTGATGTCTCGCTTCCAAAGCGACAACACCCACAGGTGGGAGGAGTATCAGCGGCTCGGGAACTACAATGACATGTCGACTGCGCTAATGCTAGAAACCGTGTAGGGCGGACCATACGGTGAGAATCTCGGTTCAGGATATGGCAGCGCAGAGCTTACCGTCACTGCATGGGGAAATGAAAGCACGAAGTATGATTTCAAGGCAGGGGAATTCAGGTTTGTTCAACTCTCTGTTTACGCCATATGTATACGTGCTTACTGATTTTACCAAGCGAGGAATCTGGCCACTTTACTCAACTTGTGTGGAAATCGACAACCTCAATGGGGTGCGGCCGCAAAGAATGTAATGGTGGTACCAGTGGTGGTGAGGGCGATGCTCCGGGGTGGTTTGTCGTCTGCGAGTACTGGCCTCGGGGAAATGTGGTTGGACAGTTTAAGGAGAATGTGCAGTCTACACCGCAACAGGATGCCGAGTCAAGAGCCGCGAGCACTGCGATCGGGAAAGTACTGTATGTGTGGGTCGGACTCGTCACTGGATGGATAGTCACTGTGTGGTTGTGACGACGTAGCGAAAAACGATGTATCGTTTCTCTATATGTAACACCTTACTAGCGGATACGTGAAGACAGGACGATTGGTGCCGGGCCAATAACAACAACCAAAAGGCAACTGTGACAGTAAATTGTTCACAACATGACGGGCTATCACTTCGTCGAATCGATGCAGTCGTCCTATTCCTCCATTCATGTACTGCGCCGCGAAGTACTTTGTCATATCGATCCCAGATGCATCTTGCTGCCAACATGCCGTCCCGAGAGTACCATGCATGATGTTGTGACCTACATGTAGTCTACCGTTAGGCATAAACGTATCTTCATCACGTATTTGTAGATGATTCTATGTTTGCTCGAAATCTGATCGACGACCTACAAGTCATCTACATATATTGATACAAGACGGACACTGTCTTGAGAGTATTTACTTCACACTTTCCTACTCTAGGATACCACTCTGCTTTCCTAAAAATGGCTCGCATTATCGGCTCCACAACAACTCTGAATCCGATCGATCGTCGTACCTGCTTGAGATCTCCTACTGCACCTAGGTTCAGTCGAAGACTTCGACATCAACATGATACGCAACAGACCACAGACTCTGCTACGGACAAGGTCTCAATGACCCAAAGTCCTCCTAGACGCAATGTCCAGCGAATGATCGAAGTTCGCATTTCCCGGAAAATCACCGTCCTGCCCGACCGACTGTTGGAGGAGCAACTGATGGTTCCACCTGCACCTATGTACCAGCAACTGGTTGATCTACATAGATACCGGCTAGGGTCAGCAAGATTCAGACTGTCACGGCAAATCAGAGATGAAGAGTGCTGGCGTGTGCTTCTCAACGACACTGAAGTTGTGGGCCCTCGTGGTTGTTGGATAGCTCGAGGAACAACGAGCTGGCGATATCCCTTTGGAAGTGCTTCGACCATGTACCGGGTGCACAACATCAATCGCAAGAACCTGAACCAGCATTTAGGGGGGAACCTGCTCTACACGCATGCTGCCATGAATGTTATGGGATTTAGATACGCATTGAAGTTCACCACCATCGTCGGAGATGTGCCCCAACAGTTTGAAGTGTCACATCTCTGCGGACACTCTCACTGCTATCGACCGTCCCATTTGGTGCTTGACTCCCATCGAGTAAACCTGTTGAGATCACGATGCCGTGGCTGCGGCAAGGATAAGAAGGGGATTGATTACAACCATTGTGTTCATGCCGACCTACCAGGGTCGAGTGGACGACACTGCTTTGGACACGAGCAATGTCCCGAATACTGCCCAGAGCGCTTGAAACAAAGGACTTCCGCGGCTAAAGAACAAAGAAATGGCTAGAGGATTGTTGGAAGTCATGGGCGCACTCAGTTTGGGGCTCTGGTATCACGACTGCTTAACGGCATTACTGCTTCGAACTTGGGGGATGAATACAGACTACCAGAGCGCACGAAGCTTGCGACGGGAAACAGGAGCGTTTGGAGGTAGGAAGGAATCGTCTGGTGAAGTGGGAAAAACAAGCGTTTCAAACGCTTGCAGCTCAAGAAGCAAGGTATCATTGGTTCTAATAGTGTATAAATTAGAGTCGTGTTTCAATCAGCTATAGATCGAGCTGTGAGAATGAGTGACGCAGATAGTAGGACCTCATGCCCCACCAACATCCAACTCCGCCGTGAAGTCTTTCCGTATGGTAAGGTTCTCGTACTTCTCTTGATTCTCGATCACCAAACCTTGTTCGTTGGCTAGATGCAGCAAGCAGATGAAGCAATAACTCGTCGAGATATCGGCCATGGTTTGTTTCGGATACACAGCCTGTAAGCTGTTGACGACGTCGGTAAAAGTCAATGAACCATCGACAGCTTTGTTTGCTGGATCGTCGGCGACATTGGGTTGAGGAGGCCCAGAGATCTAATATTGGTCAGCTTAGATGCTATGTGAGAGTTGGTTCCATAACTTACGCCTTCGAATCCGATACCTTTCCATAGCTCGTCCTTTAATCTTTTCACGTCCACCTTCTTTGCGACTCTTGCGTACTGGACATATTCGGGCCGGAATCGTCGGCTTTGTGTTACTAGCTGCGCACCAAACGCGTCAGTCTGCGAGCTAGGTAACATGCCGTCTATTGGTAGTGTAGCTTCGGGTGCGTCAGGCGGCGGCGAAAAGTGGTCGCGAGCGTCTGCGAAAACGTCCTCATCGTCGATAGGCCCACCAGGCATTGGCAAACCATCATCTTGGAAGAAGTCGGCATCGTAGTTGCCCTGCATGTCGTCACCCTCGCCTTCTTGACCTTGATCAGCCCAGTATGCTTCGTCGACGCGTGCTGGGTCTCCAGACTGTGCTTGTGCACGGCGTCCGCCCTTTCGGGAGTCCATACGTGCTTTGGGTTTCAAGAAAAGACGCAACAGCTGTTTCGAGTTGAAATGCTTGTCATCTGGGAGAAGATTACGCGACTTGGACTTCCATTGCGCTTTTGGTAGAGATATAGTTGAATTGGATGTTGCAGGCGTGTAGAGCATATCAGCTAGTGTCTGAGCCATGGGTGCGGCGAAATCAATCTCGAAGGGCTCCCTCTCTTTCCGTTTCGTTGCTGGTGTTGCCTTTGTAGAATGCTTGACTCGTGAGATACGCCAATGCTCAGGGCCTGCCCAGCTCTTCTTAAGAGCTTGATCGAAGTAGGTCAGAATGTTCTCCTGTTCTTGGTCACGACCGTGCATCATAGAGACGCCATATTGAGCACCAGTACCGAGTGCACCGTCGGCGCTGTCTGGCTCCTCATCCCCTTCAAGGCCCATAGTGTGAACGCGAGCCTGTGGATGTTGGATTACTTGACGAGCCCAGACCTCTCCGCCTTCGCCAAAGCCCGTTTCCGGAGGTAGGTCGAATCCGCCCATGTTCACGTCGTCGTCATCGTCGAAGCCCATAGGGTTATCGTCATCCAAAAAGAGGCCTGATCGGTTGCCCGCCTCATCTTCTTCATCTTTGGCACCGTCTTGGTTGGCAGAGTCATCGGGAGCCTTGAGAAAGGGAAGATCCATAGAACCATTTACATCACCAAGGTCGAACGTCTTCATCGAGGGACACACGTCTTGCCTGTCGAGCTGGGATAGATCGGGGAAGTACCTAGCAGCCAAGCCAGATATATCAACATCGATAGCATCGGGCGTCTGGGGCTGGTCTTGCTGCATATGGGCGTCTTCGGGCACTGGGGTAGCACGTGTGTCGTCAGCGGTGGCATCGTTGGCGTCATCGCTGCTGTCAAAGACGATCCTGCCTCTTCCGTCTATGGCCAAGTGATTGAGGAGGAGACCTTTTGCTCCGCCCTCGTCAAAGTCGGCAGAGGCTTTCTTGAAGAGCGGATCTACCGAAAACTCGAGCTCCATCTTCTTGTTCTGTAGTTGTGCAAAGGAAGACGCGAGGGTAGCTTCGGCCGACCGGGCAGCCCTCTTCTTGCGCTTCTTTTGGCCGCCCTCTCCATCCTCACCATCCTCGCCTTCGCCGTCGTCGTCGTCGTCGCCTCCATCAGCGTCATGGCCGTCTCTCCGCTTCTTGCTGGCGTTTTCTGCGAGTCCGCTGAGCAGCTTGCCCGTATCGGTGGCCACGCTGTCGACCCTGCTGGTATAGATCTTGACGCAGCCGTCGAGTGTGCAGCTCGCCTTCTGGAAGTTGACGCCGTCGCCTTCCTTGAGCAGAGACATTTCGTGGAAGTAATCGATGAGGGCGAAGTTCCACGAGTTGTTTGCATTGATTTTCTGCCCGTCACGTCAGCCTCGACCTAGTGGGTGCAGTTGTGTATGCCTACATTGTCCGTGGCCATCTTCATCCATTCCTCGAAGTTGGCCAGCAAGGGCATGACGCCGCGGTTTCCCGGCGTGACGGCGTTGCCGGTGATGTCTGGCATGTCGTCCTGGTCTTGCGAGGGCGTCTGGGGGCTGTCATGGTCGGCGCCGTGCAACGTGCGTCGTCTCGCAGGCGTGGCAGTAGCCGTCGAGGCGCGCATCGAGTTGCGCTGGGCTTCTTGCTGTGCATGGCGGCGGATGGCCTTTTCCTGTCGGTCGTCGTTGAGCGGCACCTTGATGGGCGTCTTCTGCGGCGAGGCGGCCGTGTTGTACTTGGTCGTGCGCGCCATGGTGGGTTGGGTCATGGTGATTGTGATAGCCCTGGCCGGAGCCTTGTTTGTTTGGGCGAATCCGCGCGGGGGTTAGCGCGCTACCACCATGACCTTCCGCATCAACGCGCTCCCGAGTGCAGACACCCACATTCGCAATATCACGGACGTCGGGCTATTTGCAACCCATGCCCTAAACTCTCCTTCCCCACAATCCGTTTACTACTACCTTCGTGTTTACTCGTGACGCTCTATAGCGCGGCCTCCATTTTCCGTCAATGAGGGATGAGCGGACATCCTACTGGATATGTTAGCATGACGATGCTAGGCCTGTTGGTCGCTCGACACTATATCTTAGACGTGCTTCCTCGACCCGCCATTCTTGATTGACATCTGCACTCTGATATTCCAACTTCGCCATGCGCCTTCCTAGTTTAGCAGGCCTTAGCTTGACCGCCTCAGTCGCGAGTGCGACACTTCAGATCGTCCCTGGTGCAACCTGGACAGCAGTGCGTTGCGTCGTGCGCCATCCGGAACGCTAACTGACGACATCGCTTCAGACAAACACAGGTCAGCACATTCAGGCTCACGGCGCCGGCATCATCAAGGATGGAGGAAAGTGGTATTGGTAAGAATGGTCTACGTCTAGCCTCACCCTCTCCCCATCTGACACACCGATAGGGTTGGCGAAGATAAAACCAACGGAACAGCTTTCACAAACATCAACTGCTACTCGTCCACTAACCTCGTCGAATGGAATTATGAGGGTGCACTAATCTCTCGTACTGCATCCGGCGACACAGGGCCCAATCGTGTCATCGAGAGACCAAAGGTTATGCACAACAAGCAAACAGGCAAGTATGTTCTATGGATGCACATTGACAGCGCCGACTATGGTGAGGCCAAGATCGGTATCGCTGTTGGAGACAGTGTCTGTGGAAAATACACGTATTTGCGAAGCGAGCGACCATTGGGTTTCGAGAGCAGAGATTCAGGCGTCTTCGTTGATGACGACGGCAAGGGCTATCTACTCACTGAAGATGTAGGCTTCTCTTGTTCAACCATCAGCACCCACATTACTAACAAGAATAGCGCAGCAACGGCTTACGCATCAACGCACTCTCCGATGACTATCTCAACATTACTAAGAACGTCTATGTCTGGAAAGAGAAATATGAGTCTCCAGCCGTCATCAAACACGAGGGTGTATATTTCATGTTCGCTTCGCAGCTCACCGGATGGAACCCAAACGACAACTATTATAGTACATCAACGGCCCTTTCGGGACCATGGTCTTCGTGGAAAAAGTTTGCAGACTCAGGATCAAACACGTACGCTTCTCAAACAACCTTTGTGTTGCCTGTTGGGAACGGATACGTATACATGGGCGATCGATGGCAGAGTGAGAATTTGATGAGAAGCACATACGTGTGGCTCCCACTTCAGATCTCCGGGACTACCGCCAGCATGAAGAACGCAGTCAACTGGATTCTTGACCCCAACTCTGGGGCCACTACTCCCGGCCCCGAAGAAACCTCGTACGAAGGTGAAAGCGCAAACCTTGCTAACGGTGCTAAATCTCTGACCTGCTCTTCCTGCTCAGGCTCCAAGGCAGCTGGGTACATTGGCGGCACCACGTCCGGCTCTGCCACATTTTCCAATATCCAGTCTTCAGCAACGACTCGCACGACGATGAGGATCAAGCATCTCAACGGTGACAAGAGTCAAAGGTATGCAAATGTCAGCGTGAACGGGAAAACGCAGAAACTAGCATTCCTGCCCCATGGGGGAGGTGATCCAGCCAGCTCGGTGATACACGTCGATTTGAAGCAGGGTACGAATGAAGTCAAGATCAGCGGTATCGACGGAGGTTGGGGACCAGATATTGACAGGATCTTCGTTCCAGTTAGGTGATTCATCAAAGCTTAAGAACCGTGTTTCATACTGCCCAAAGCGTTAGGCTTAGTACAAGAGGGGAGAAGATTTGACCGTGGACTCTGAAAAAGACAGTAGGAGATGCTTGGAGTACCTAGGTATGATCCCAAACATGATAACTTGAATGGAGACTGGAAAATGTTTGAATTCGCAAGTTTCCATTCAAACTTGGTGATACGAGCTGACCTGCAGCTGCTGAACGAGCGAAGGTATATATATATACAGCGTTTGCGTCGTTACATTAGGTGAAATAGGGCCCGTGAAGCAACACAAGAGACTAAGAGATGAAATACTTTGCCTTTACGCTTCGAGCAGCAGCACCCTTGGCAGCAGCTCCAGCTCCAGCCGCCGCACCACCGGCTGCCATGTTGCTCATGACAAACTTGGCGGCCTCGTTCGCATTAGCACCATATGACAAATGCGGCGGCAGGATGACAGCCTGGCCCGCACAGATAAGATCACCAGTTGCGCAGATGATCTTGGTGTTTCCGGCCGCGACTTTACCGACAGGCTTGCCGTTGTTTGGGTCACCAAAAATGACAGCGCTGGACACAAAGGCCGAGTCCTGGGCACTAAGCATGTCTGCTGCGTTATGAACCAGCTGTCCACCTTGTCTGATTGTTCCGTTAGGCTTCATAGTCCTTAAATTCTATTGGAACTGCTTGTTACTTACGAGTAGCCCGCCATAACCAGTGTAGTGTCCGGGCATTGCGCCCTGACCTGTCCAACCATCTGCGCCATGAGCTGACTGCCTCCTTTGTCACCACCAACAAGGAAGCCTGGAACATCTGCTGGGTATTGGATGCCTTGTACAGCGACGTTGGCAGCACCTCCCATCATGGCGCCGAGGGCCGTGACAAATGGCGGGCCCGCAATGCTGCCCATGTTGCCAAGTTCGGTTGTGCCACGGGCGAAAAGGACGGTCATTGGTTTGCAACCGCCGCCATTCTTTACGTCGTTCTGGGTGATTGAAGTAAGGGCGGCGAATGCGGTGGTTGGGAGGAGGAAGACGAGAGACTTCATGGCTGTAGAGGGTGTGGCTTGATTCCGTTAAGGAATTTGTATTAAGATATTACAAGTATGTGGTGAATGTAGATGAAACAAGTACGGGTATCTTGAGAAGTGAAGTAGAGATGGATGGGCTGCTGTTCATCTCATGAAGCGAATGACATGTCTTCTTATAATCTGGCCCAGCAGAATGCCATGGTTAACGCTGAACAATCAACCACCGCTTTTCAGGAGCTTGAATATGCGATGTACACATCTGTCATGTTTTCATTTGCTTTTCGAAAAGACATCAAACGTCATGCCAGACCACAAATAGTACGCATACTGGCGGTCAAGGGTGTCGTGCGACATGTTCTACGAGCCCTTCCATGTCGAATCGAGGCCATTGGGGACGGGATTAGAGTTAGAGCTACAGCCTAGTAGCCGCTATCCCGGTATACCTAGCAGGAACTGTGACAAAAACTGCCGAGGTTCACGGGTGATGCGCAGCATGGATACTCTAGATGACCGAGGCAGCGAGTTCCATCTAATGGGGCTGGGTGTGAGATGCTTGGCATTGTTTCCTATCCCTGCGATTTGATGCTTCGCTGTCCGCGTGACTTGACGTCAATGCGGCTTCAGACTGAGCTCAGGACGTCTAACGTTGTTGCCAGACTATGGGAAACGGCGAGCCAATCGCATCCGACAAAGATGTTCGGCTGAAATCACGTCTCATGACTCTGACTTCTGTCGCACCGTGTTCACATCCTGCGACTGTTTCAGCAGCCCGTTCCATCTCTTCAGATCCCGAATCGTCATGCGTTCCAGACTCAAGGCCAAGCTGCGTTCCAAACCTGCGGTCGCACAGTTTCGCGGAAATATCGGATCGCCGCTAACATGGCTCGTTCAAAAGTCTTGGTGAGCTTGTCCATGCGACATGGTGTCTGCGAAAGCATCGTGGCTATCCAGATGCGGGCGAACGAGTCACGCCTTGACGTTTGTGACGCTCACGTCACTGTGGAAAAACGCTTCTCAAGCTGATGCATCGCGCATACACTTCGGGATGATTCGAAAGGGCTACGCTGCAGAGACGCTGAGAGAGCGAAGAGAAAAGGGCTATGATGCAGAAACGCTGGAATCGCGAGGAGAAAAGGGCGACGTTGGCTACTTTGGTATTTGGCACCACCCCGCCTTCGCCCCAAGAGGAAGGTACTAGCGACTTGTGCAATATCCCAGTCCATGATCTTTTATTGTATAACTAGCTCTAGCGCTGCGCAGGAAAGGTCTTCCAGTAAACAGTTTCAGAGCTCAGGTATCGTGAGTGGACGCACATCATGCCTCTTGAAGTCCATCGCATAACCTCTGCCACCGACTTTGACGAGTTCGTCGCCATACAGATTGCTGCCTTCGCCAACGGCGGGGGTATCACTTCTCTGCTCACGCCAAATCCCATCACAGAGGAGTATGTCCAAAAGTCTGTCGGCAAGCACGTCAAGTCGTGGAGCGAAGAAAAAGATGTTATTTACCTCAAAGTCATTGACACCAATCTCGATGGGAAAATGATTGCAGTCGCCAAATGGCGCATCAACGAGCAGGAGCGAAGTGAAGAAGAAGCCAAGAAGATGTATCCGGTACCTGACGAGCAAGACAAGGGACAACAAGGCTTGCTGGACTTTATGGCCTTTCTTAGTCGAGTAAGAAAAGAATACATGGGAACAAAGCCTTTTTACTGTCAGTGTCCAGCCAAATATGCCGAGATGATCTGCTAACAAACGCTAGTTTTACACATTCTTGCAACGCACCCAGACCATCATCGGAGGGGTGCAGGGGCCATGCTGCTTGATTGGGGTACCAAGCAAGCGGATCGCGCAAGACTACCTGCCTTCTTGGAATCGTCACCAATGGGCAAGCCGTTATATGAGAGGATGGGATTTCAAGCCAAGGAGGGTAAGTCGCGGACAAATTAACTGCTTTCAGGACTGTGACTGACTTTGTGTTTTCGTCTTTGCAGTGGTAACGTGGGATCTGACACACTATGGGTTGGAAGGTACGGATTACAGCACAGTGATGCTTCGGGAGCCCGTTCCGTAGAAGTTTCTGGATTTTGTAGCACGACCAAAGCCGCGAAGGCAATAATCAGGTTTCGGGCTGTGTCGACCAGTGATGCATCTCATCTTTTACTCACACCACCCGTTCTTTCCCAAACCTAACTTTCACATCCAAGCCTCTCTTGCTCAAGTCCTTCACTCTCCTTACAAACTCCAGTTCCTTTCCACTCTGTTCTAGCATCGAATTCCTCCCTGTGTCCTCCAACACAAGTTCGTTCAAGTCTTCCATTCTGTTCAGTGCTGCGAAAAAGTGCTCCACAGTGTCTCGACTTTCTTTGCTTTCCAGATTGCTCATGGCTGGCTGCACAAGGGTAAGTGCCTTTACCTCGGAGGTAGCTGGTCCTGCGCAAGAAAAGAAAACAATTGCAGTCTGTAGGCCAAGGATCCTTATAGAAAATCTGGAGCACATATAGGAAAGGCATTCAGCCCGAATCTGGCGACTGACGCGAAAGAGAGGAAGATTCAGCACCGACACGGCAAGATGCTCCGGTTTGGTGCAATTTACGATGACAATGGAAGACAGCTCTGGGTAGATAGCCATGGCGTATATATGATTGCGTATCTCGCCTGGTAGTTCCAGAAACGCACAATCTGTCTTTTTGGGCTGCACAGAGTCAGCTGTCTGTTGTACCAAAGCGTTAGGAATTTTTTACGGGCGATGCTGACACGTTGCCGCTAGGTCGTTTGTGGCGCAACCATTTGATCATCATTGTTTCTATTGCATAGTCGCCCCTGGATGTAGTAAGACGACGACGGATCGATGCAGCGCCCCTGATGATGGAAATGCGGGCGGGTAGCGCCTTAACCCCATCAGGATAGCTCACCTTAATAATCGTCTGATGCCCAACACAGCTCTTTCATCAAACCTGCAATATCGCGCGATTGGTTAGCTATGATATAAAATTCCATTGACTACGTTATATGAACAAGTTGTTGTGGTGGAAGAATCTAATTTAGACCCATGGCTTGCCTATGTATTGTACTATTACCCTTCGTGATATCATTCGTGTGTAAGCAGTACCTACTACCCAGGTGCTTCTAGTATAGTGGCCGGCGGCCACTGGCCAGCCGAAATAAATGATAGTACTATTACCCTTTCCACTCCAGCTATGCCACATTCATGCATGTGACCACGAAAATCCAAAACAGATCTTGCAAAATACACTACGTTTACGCCTTTCTCACCTTGTAATCTTTGGGGTCGCACTGATTGGGATGTCAGGTCGACCGGTCATTCTAATTCTCTCCTTTATCAACCTCTCCGTCCTGCTTAGTGACCGCACCAGGGTGGTAGGTCCTTCGATGTCACTTCTTCCAAGATCATCCCCCTTGTTATCTCTCTTCGCATAAACTCGAATGGTATGTCCAAGTTTATGGCTTGGAGTCGGCGGCGCGAATGGAGGTGGAACGGAAGGGCTCTTTATCGCCAAAAACAACGTGTCAGCATTAGCGCTTGTCTTCAAGTGCCAATCTTGTTCAGTGTCAAGCCGGAGTGATTGTGCTGCTTGGCATGTGGGTGACTGTACGGCGATTGAGCGACCATGGACTTGTTGACTCGCGAGCTTGGAGTTATGGTTGTTACGGCGACGGTAATAGACTATCCCAAGTAGAGCTACAAGAATTGCGAGAATCACACCAGCTGCTGTAGCCAGGTATTTGCTGTTCTGATCAGACCTTGGAACCATCAGCCTATGGTTTGGAGAATAAAGGACCCATACGCACCATTGGTAGTCACTCTTTTGGATACCCTGGCTTATCTCAGTGCATGCAGGGGTCGGGACGGTTGGGTGATACACCAGGCTGGGCACGACTGTCGTTCGTACAGCCGCTGAACTCATGGTCAACGTGGAGATGAACATGTTCGTCTTCGCTGGCTTTGAATATGTACACATATTAACGTAGTAGCCGTGGATGATTTCATCATCCTCTTCATTGCATACATGTTGACAAACCACTCCACTCGTATGGAGGCTGCGCAGGTAATCGGACTGACACACGCAGTTTCTGTATGTGGACAGATCGGATATCGGAGCCACTGGTGGAACACAGTTGCCTTCAGAGATGTCCAGGATACGGCATGACCTTGCACATGCTGGTAGTAGATCATAGTCAAAAAGACTTGTGTCGTGATTCTTGCTCACTCTTGTGAAGCGATGCATGGTGAGATGTTGGTTGATCAGTGATCGGGGCGTAAGCTTGCTAGAAAGGCGTTCCTAGTCGGAGACTGTTATAAGCAGCGCGTTTCTGGAACGAACACGGTCCAACCTTTGAACAAGCTTCACTTGCTGCTCATTTCACAAAGTCCTATAAGGCCCTCACGGCCGCCTCGGCCGCCCTACTGCAACCTTTACTCTTTCTCTCTAGCTTCCATGGTTCCGCTGTAAGCACATATCTTGATTGACATGCAACTCTTCGAACAAAAACATGACGAACCCAAGTAGCGGTTCAAGAGAAGTAGTTGAGCGGGCGGAGAAAGACTTAAGTCTGACAGGCGTTCTTAACGAGCATACTTGGAGGAGTAATTCTTGGCAAGCATTTGCGGAGTTCTCGGGGGTGCCAAGATGACGTGGTGTTTGCATCGTTTGCATCCGCGCCAGAACTTTGGGGAAACAGCGACAGGGAGTCTGCCACCATTAACACCATCATAATGCTCGCACGCACACATGTATCTTCTCGGTTACTTCTGAGGGCGCTCGCACGGCCTCGTGCTACAACATGCTCTGTACTCTACCCTTTACCAGCGTGCCCTCGACGTGGAAAGCGCACAAAGGCCAGCAGACCCGATGAGACGGAGAAGGATGCGACGACTGGACCCAGGTCTGCGATACGAGACAAGCTCAAAGGCGCAAAATCCGTTTTCGAGAACGATGCGGAAACGGACAGGCTTACGCGCCCGCTGTCCGACGCCGAACTCGAACGTGATGATATGCCTGTCATCAACTGGTACGAGCAGGACTTGGACAAAGGCACGCCGCAGCGTCTCGTTGAACGCTTAGCCACACCGGAAGATCGAAAGAAAGACAAAGAGATGTACATGATGATAGAGGAATCGCAGAAGAACCCCGACTACGACGACGCAAGGCTGAACCGGCGACTCATCGACAGCCTACTGGCTAACCCAAACTTCGCCGAATTGACGGACGAGCTCAAGGATATCAAGGAAGGCATCAAGTCGAGGGAAGAGCTCCAGCAACTAGAAGAGCAGGCAGCCATCGAAGCAGGGAAAGAAAGCAAAGAGTTCAAGACTGGCCTACGGACGGCCACACTCCAAACTCTACAAGACATTGTCAGCGATCCGGATATTGGAGATGCGAAGGCCGATCTCCAAAAGTGCATCGACGAGATGCCAGATGTGGAGGAAATGGACAACCCTGATTATCAAGCCATGCTGAACAAGGCAATGGACAAGCTGGGGGCCAATGAAGCTATGCAGAAGAAGGTTGCTGCTATGAGCGAACATCTCGATAGCCCGAAATTAGAGACTGAATGGGAGGAGTACCAGAGAAACACAGAGGACGCTATCGCTGAAGCTGAGGCCCCGGATGACGATCTCACCATGTCAACGCCCGAGGACCTGCAGGATGTGGATAAACTCCTGCACCAGATGCGGGACATCATGAAGTCTCTGGGTGGCGACAGCGGCCTTGAGTCTGAACTTGATGCAGCCCTCAATGAAGACTCGTCGTCGAACCAAGATCAAGACGGTATATTCGAACGTGAGATGGACCCGCAAGAATTAGCGGAGGAAATCATGAAGTTTGCCGAGTCCAAGGCATCACAGCCCCAGCAGCTTATGGAGGACGAGGAAGATGTTCCCGCCGAGTTACAAGCCAAAGTTGACGAAATCATGAAAGATCCCAAGTTGATGGAGAAGCTCATGTACATTCAGAAGCTCATCTCAGAAAACAAGCAACAGCAAGGTGATCTTACTACTATTGCGCATGATAGTGCACCTGATCCCTACCAACTCGAAGACGACCGCACCGCTACCCTCAAAGAACGTATGGCTGCCGCGCTTCAAGATCCAGAACACGCTGCCGCCCTCCAACGACTCCGCGTTCATCTGCCCCCACCTTTTAACATCTCGCCCACGCTGAAGTCTTTCAATCAAGCCATTGAATTCGCATACATCGGCGCAAATGACGACATCCGCCGAATTCTCTGGCGCTCGTACCAAAAAGCGCGATCTTTACCTACCTTTCTCCAAAATATCAGTGACGAGGCCTGGGATATACTGTATTACTCCCAGGCGGTCACATGGGGCAGCAACCAGAACCGTGAGAACCATCTCAGAATTTTGCTAGCAGACCTCAAGAGCCTAGGGCGAGACGGTCCACCCACGCACCCTAGTTCACTCGTTAACGGGGGTGTTGAGCAGATGGACACATGAAATGCCAGAGATTTCATTATGATGTATTGCTGTACGATATGACGACATGTATATGATACCCTTTGAATACATAGGACTCCAAAGGCACTTTTCCAGAGCCATTCTTCATCCAATCTGACATTGTATTTTGTACATATTGCTAAGGGCCTACCTTTTTGCACTTATGGCATCGATGATACGCCAGGACCTACCACAAACCAATATCTGATCATCTCCAACTCCCGAGACCGTAGCTATGAACGTTAGCACTTCCGTCGACGCTGTTGCCGATTCTGACAGGTATGAGTGAGAAGGCGCAATTATCTCTTGCCTTGTTCATCGGTACTTCCCATGAAATCTTAAGTGAAAAAAAAAACGGTGCTATACTACCTTTCTACAACCCTTGACAAGTCACTCCGACACTATACGAACCTCTAAAACTCCATTCAACTGCCGTTAGCCCCTGCTCTCTCATACCAGCTCTCATGCGAGTAATCCTTCTTCGGTCCCTCAACCTCGTATCTGATCATGAATCGCTCAATCTTCGCACCGCGAAACTTGAACTCGCAGTGATTGCGGTAAGTATCCGGATCACACCAATGATAACCTTTGGCCATCCATCCAGACTTGTTGTCAACTGGCGCGTAGAACCCCCACGTGTTGAACAGTGCTCCTACACTTTTGTTGTCATCTTCAACAAACCATGCTGTGATCTCGTCGCGTGTCTCATTGTATCGATAGATGTAACGGCGAGTCGCAGGAAAAGACAGGCCAGTATCCATGGTGAATGTGCCTTGTTCGACGTACAGGTATTCGGATATGTAAGTGGTTGGATCGGTAGATTGGCGTGGGTGGAAGTGTGCTGTGCCCACAAACACGCCGCCAGGTGTGTTGGTATGTGAGTCAATTTTGCGTGTCATGTTCCACACACCTTGCATACCTGTAAACACTGCGGCGGCAACGAACCGAGCATCTTCTTGGGACGCCTGGAGTACTTTGGCAACGTCTTCGACTACTTCCTTCGCCTGGGCATTGGTACCTGCATGGTGATAGCGCGATGGAAAGGTAGGACCTGTTTGGCTGCCAAATAGCGAGTCGTCGCGCGAGACGCCTGTTCCTCGTGCAAATTCTTCAATCAAACCAACGTAATCTGCCATCCAGAACTGAGGTACCTGTAGCGGTTTCTGGTTCATCGCTTCTTGCATGCGTTTCGTGTCGTCGTATCTGTGCAACTCGGACAATAAAGACGGCAGCTGCTCAGAATCCCGCTTGGCCCAGCTTTGAGCAAGAAGTCGAGCTTGCATCTCCATCACGCCCCAATAAGGACCCTCATAGAAGCCCACAAACCCAATTGTAGGGACTCGCCGAGAGAACACCGACCCACGGGAAAGGAGATATGGTATACGTGAATTTGGTGTGGTGCTATCGTCGGCAAGAAGGCCTCTGACGCAAGGGTCAAGCCAGTCCAGATCGGCTTTGTAGCCGTTAGCTTCGATGATACCCACGACGTCGCAGATCTTGCTCTGGCTCTGTAAGCTATCAGTATCTTCGTCACTACTGAAATTAGGAGTAGTGTAATTACCGTTGGCTCTTTCCCCGACCCATGATACCAGGGCTCGTACTGCTTCAGACCAATATCTAGGGAGACACCATCACTTGCCTGCGCGACACTGTCAACCCACCCTCTTACTGGTACAATAATGCCACTTCTCACAAACTCCATGTAAGTATCTGTAATGCCAGTATATCCGGGGTGCTGTGTCTGGCTTGCGGCGTATGCGAGCTCGGCGTGTCCCACGTCACTCAAGTCGCATCCTATACTTGCTTTCAGGAATTCGTGTCCTTTAGTTGCTTTTTCGGGTGGCACTGTAGAGATGGCTGCTGAAATCTCTCCATTGCCACGGCGCGAAAGATTGTAGAGAACCAGATCCAGGGGAAGGAATCTGGGTGCTGGGTTGAAGTTTCCGTCTTGGTCCTGAGGGTCTTGAGGAAGATGACGAGGAAGACAGTAGAAGGGACGGTTGACGATGTGAAAGACCCTGCTCTCGGCATGCGTAGATGTCTTCTCATTGGGTGCGTATTTCGCGTTCGAGATTTGGAAAGCAGCCTGTGCGGCAGCTTCTGAGCCACTAATACCACCCCCAATCACGGCCACCTTTCCGGGAGAACTCGTCAACTCAGAGAGAGACCGAAACTTTGAGGAGTGCTGGATGTTCGGAAGACTCGTAGAAGGAGTGGGATCGAAGGTACCAGCTGGCTTGTTGAAGAAACCACTAGCCACAATCAATCGGTCAAACGTACGGGAGTCTAGCTGGCCGGTACCGTCGTCGCTGGTAACTTTCCAGGTACGATCTTCTTGCAGGGATGCCTCGACAACCCGCTTCCCGAGGAGCAGATTATCAGTGATGCCAAAGCCTTTTACGTATGCTTCAAGATATCGTCCCACTTGCCACGCTCTAGGGAACATGGGCGGAGCAGCTAGGGGATGCACAGCGGGTCTCGAGAGATCCAAGTCTACCGAAGTCCAAGGCAAATCGGAAAATGCAACTGTATATCTGCTCAAATTGGTCCGCATCTCTGGACTGCATTTTTCACCTGGTCCTCCATGTCCATCTCTCCACATGCCACCTACGCGGTCTGCTGCCTCATACACGGCAACCACATAGCCATGCTGTTTCAAAGTCCTCGCAGCAACTATGCCTGCAGGCCCAGCTCCTACAATGCAGACAGACTGTTCCTCTCTATGGGCAGTCATCGCCGGTTGAGCTGCGTAACGGCGAAGCGGGGGAATGACCAACGGAGATATGGGCGGGTGCCAAGCACTCAAACACGAAGTGCGGCAGCGTAGAGCTTGGGGCAGCTTTGAGAGAATGATGATTAGCAGATCTGCAGGGAGAGTGAGGTGGTGCTGAGAAGTCCGATGCTAGCCTGTGATGCGCTAGTGAGATGCCCCTCGGAGGATCAACCAATGAGAAAAAAGGTTCAGCGCAGGACATGATGGCAGATGCGGAAGGGCGATTTTGAAACAACGAAATCTATTCAGTGAGTACTCCAGAGTTGATCAGAGTCCCTTTCATGGTCTGGAACTGCGTCTTTCCATACTATGTAGGTGTTAGTGAGCGACTAGGTCATGTTGTGTGTGTGCTTTGAAAGCGGCGTACCGAAATCAGATACCGAATATGACCCTGTATCGCGATTAATTTGGATATCGAAGGCGAATGAGTGTAAGCATACGAGATCGGTAACAGAGCGATGTTGTTCAAATTCTGATCTTGCGAATTGCCGCATATCCTTCCGTGCTCCTACATCGGGTATGTTGGAGGTACTGCGGACTATGTCTCTCCACAACGCCAGCACGCGTTGCCGCTGAATGAACTATATGACAATCAGCAAGCGTTGCATAGTGTAAGTCGTGTGTTGGACAAACGTACGTGGTCCAGGCCCACAGGACTCTTTCCTCGTGCTCGCAGCCGGGACGGAGGCTTGGACGCTACCGTGGCATATCTTCGCAGCATTCCCTCGGTTGTATGTGGAACACTCGGATTAGCTGAATCTGAGAATGCGGATGTGGACACGAAAGTAGTGGATGGTCGGCTGGATGAGGCTCTTTACAGCGATGCAGGCTGACGTATCGAAACGAACAAGCTAGGCTATGATGATGCTAGTCGTCCAAGGATGCGCGTGCAGGATCGGCGCCCCGAAACGACATGCTCGAAAGGACACACAACTGGGATGAGTGACTACCGGCACTGATTCCAGAAATGGGCGTCGAGTGCACTCACGCCATGGACCCCGTGTCGCGTCTTCCCCACCAGACGCGACGCCCGACCACCAAGCCCACGCATCCGCAGTCAGCCCGATACCCACATTAATCCGTCGCAAACAACGCGAGATTCACGAAATGGCGCACGTCGTCGCACGCGTACAGGCAGTACAGACTCTGCTGCGAGAAGACGTCTACCTGAGCGAATACGGCGCGCCGCATCTGCCATGTCCGCTGTCGTTCCAGTTTGTCCCGTCGGCTTTCGACCTCACCAAGGACGAGCTCGAAGCTTGCCTCAGCCTCGTCAACAAGACTTCGGGACACGACTACAAAGCATCAAGCGTTGGCTGGAACCCGCGCAAGAAGCGAGAGGAAATGCTCGATGGCGAGATGATGTATCTCCTGGTGCGTCGCCGCCCTATCGACACGGCTGGCCAGAGTAGCATGGAGACCAGTAGCGACGACGGCATTCTTGGCTTCACCTCCTTCATGTTCACATACGACGATCCCCCGCACCAAGACCGCCAGGTCCTCTACATCTACGAGATCCATCTCGAGGAGCAGCTGCGCGGACAAGGCCTTGGACCCCGTCTTATCAAATTCATCGAGAACGCGGCACACGCATGCCAAATCAAAAAGACGATGCTTACCGTCTTCACCGCGAATAAGCGCGCAAAGAGAATGTATGAGAGCCTGGGCTACGCCAAGGATGAGTCTAGTCCAAATGATAGGGTTACGAGGAACAAGGTCATCAAGGCCGATTATCACATCATGAGCAAATCAATCGATTGAGGATATTCAATTGAAAGAAAAGTAAGATTGCTAGACAGTCTATACACAAAAGCCGAGTGCTGTGTGGTATCTTGGAACGCCAGATTGTGCAAACAAAATCATCATCCAACCAGTCAAACCCCCCTCTTCATTATCCTTCTGTTGTCCAACCTCTTACTTTCCGTTGTACCATCCATACACTATCCCCACAAGCCGCAGCACACGAAACGACCCCACTGATTTCGCTTTGTACCCTCTGGCTTCTTCCCACTCGTCTCTTCCTCCTCTTCGCCAACGACGCGAAGGAAGACTTCGTCCAGGGTGGTAGGCGAAACGGAGTAGTACTCCAAACCCAACTCATTGCGGTTGGTCTCCAGCAACTGGATAAGACCAGGAATGCCACCGAGGTCGGATGCTGAAGCAGCCGAAGATGTAGTGTTGACTTGATGAACCTCTGCTTCGGTAATCTTACCAGTTTTCGCATTTTCAGCATGTGCGGGCAATGCGCTGGATTCGGAAGAGGCGGCTTTGAGAACTTTGAATCGGAGTTGTCCGTGGCCTCCACCTCGCGAGCCCCATTTGTCAAGTTGAACACCAGGAATCTTCCTCTGGACCCATTGCTTAACAGTCTCCATCTCTTCTTCAGTGGTTTCGGGCGCAGATTTGAGAACAAGCTGTACGACCCAAGCGTCGCCGTACTGCTCTCCTAGATCACTGACAGTACCCAGGGCAAGCATCTTGCGCTTCATGATACCAACGCGGGTGGCGAGTTTGTCTGCTTCTTCCATGGAGTGAGTAGTTATCAACAAGGCGCGACCAGGTGCCGCAACTCCGAGCAAGGTACGCCACATGACTCTTTTGGCAGCTGCATCCATACCAGAGGACGGCTCGTCCAGCAGTAGAACCGATGGGTTGCCCATCAAGGCGATGCCCAAGCTGAGCTTCCTCTTGTTGCCACCCGAGAGTTTGGATGCGAGACGGTCGTGGAAGCGCCCCAGACTGGTAGCTTGGAGAATTGCCTCGACACTGGCTTTAGGATCGGGCACGCCGCGAGCGCGAGCGTAAAAATAGAGATGCTCGGTTACCGTCATGGAATCCATGGCATCGAATTGCGGACATACACCAAGATGGCCTCGTGCCGCTGCACGCTTGCTGATGATAGAGATGTCTTCGATCAAAACATCACCACCGCCGTTGATGTGTGTTGTAGGGTGTATGTCGCCACGGATGAGTGAAATGGTTGAAGACTTTCCCGCGCCATTAGGGCCAAGGAGGGCAAAGACCTGACCTTGTGGGATACCAAAAGTGATGTCGTTGACAGCATGGTTGGATCCGAAAGTCTTCTGTAGATGCAGTGCGCGCAGACTGTCTTTGCTTTGTTCAGCGCGTGTGATTTCAGCAGCGACAGCAGCAGGGACGGTGTCCACTGTCTCCTCCGAATGCTGCTGACGACTCTTCTCGCGATTAAGGAACGCTGGTCGGTATCCCGAATCCCACCATACAAGGGCAATGAAGAGTAGGATGATTTGCACGACGAGGTACAAGATAGGCCCTCCGTACACAGTCAAAGCACCGGGATAACTTGGAATTCGGTTTCCATCACACAATACGCTAAAGGAGTTTAGAGAGAGCAACTGCGTCCTTAACAAGCTTGCTGATGGCGAGATCAGCGAAACGGTCCAGTGGAAGTACTCGATATAAGAGTCGATGGCGTAAGCGGGCGCGTAAGTTAGAATGGCCATGTAACCAATAAAGTAAATGAGATAGAGTGACACCATGCCACCAGCAGCAAAGGCAAAGGCTGCCAGTTGCGATGTAACGACGATGGATATCAAGTAGGCGAAAAGAGTTGCACAAAGACCATAGAGGAAGAAAACCACGAAAAGGTAGCCTGGTGCATACCATGCGTCGGAAGCCTACGGTATTGTCAGCTGCAAATGTTTATACAAAACGTAAGCAAGAACTTACTGCTACAAAGATGCCTGTGGTGACAGCAGAGATGACAAGCACGAACAAGAAGTCGAACGCAGTATACGCCAGCCACAGTGGTACAGCCCGAATACCATTGCTGTAGTGCAGCGCTCGCACGTTCCTCAGTCGCTCCTGTGTGGGGTATAAGGCAAACAGCGCAGGGTAGACACACATGGCCAGACCAAAATACAGAATCAGCTGGAGTGTGTCGCCCATGTTGGGAGCGAACGGCACAGCGAATTGCTGATACTGCGTTGAGATGGTGGTGTTCGTTAGGATGTTGTCAAGGGTATTTAATGTGACGAGGCCGCCGACGACACCGCCATTTGCGAGGTACGCCATGACTGGCGGACCATTCTCGTTCAAGAAGAAGCCGCCCGGTGTAATGTTGCGGAACCGTGTGTTGACGAAGTCATTGAACTGGTCAAGTGTGTCCACGACGTAGAAGCTGTCCTCGGGAATGCCTGTCCGTTGGATTATGGTATCAATAGCAGGGCCAACGGTACTCCTCGGACCGATGGGAATGAGAGGAATGTCGTCCACGTTGGAAAGTGAGAAGATGGTAGGGTCATTGGCGCTGGCTCCTGGGTCACAGCCCACAGCCTCGTAATCTTTCAAGAAGAGAGTGACCAAACCAGCGGCAACAATTGGGAGGAGCAGAGCAAAGATGTATGGCCAGAAGTTGCGCTTCACGATGGTCATACGCTTTTGTACGAGGATGAGCATCTGCTTGAACAGACCAGTACCACGGCCTTTGCCCATCTCCAATCTCTTGTCAGTATCAGAATTGTGGTCTGAAGGAACCTCTAGGTCTTTGTCTGATGCTGTTCTTCCAGTTTGTTCCCCGTGATCGGCATCCATGAGGTTGTATTCCTTTACCTCCTCAGCGTTGGCAAGGAAGACATCTTCTAGCGTCGGGCCAACGATGTCGTAATTCTTAACCCCATGATCTCTAAGAACATCGACGAATCTGGTAGCGGGCAGCGCGTTCTCGAACTGATACTGAACCATGCCCTCAGAGGGTGCAGGCTTCTTGATGGCGTCTACCGGAGGTTTGATCGGAGCGTCCTTGGGATACGTGACGTGATATCCGGCACCCACTTCATGCTTGAGCTGGACCGAAGTACCCTTGGTTTTGAGTACACCACGAGAGAGAATGGCAACGTAGTCGGCGAGAACATCTGCCTCGTCAAGGAAATGCGTAGTAAGCAGAAAGGTGCGGTCGCCACGCTCAGCAAGTAGAATTTCCCAGATTTTCCTTCTTGAAAGTGGATCCAAACCAGACGAAACCTCATCAACACAGCAGACCTTTGACCCTCCAGTGAACATCATAGCAAGCTGAAGCTTCCGTTTCTGGCCACCAGAGAGCGTGCTCGACTGCGCCTTGATTTTGTGTCCCAAATCACAAGCGCGGATAAGGTCTTCAATGGTCTCTTTTGTATCATAAGTTCCAGTCGACTTGAGCTGATTGAAGATGCGGACATGCTCGTAGACATTTAACTCATCCCACATGACATTCTTTTGCGGGCACAGTCCAAGACCTCCAGTACCATCAATCTCAATGGCTCCACTGGTGATCGAGTTGAGACCAGCGATGGCATCCAGGGTGGTAGACTTTCCACTACCGTTGGCGCCCAGTAGGACCATGATCTGACCTTTACGCGCTTTGATGCTAAAATTATCCACGGCGATGACTGTCTCTGGAGCCTTTACTCCGAACTTGGTGAGAACGTTTCTGCGGAACCAACTTGGAGTCCAATGCTTTGAAAAGTTTGTCAGAATAATGTTGTGATCCTGCGAGGAAGTCGTAGTCTTCCTGTCAGCCGACACGGTACCATACAGCCAGCGCTCGACAAGGGCTCCTAAGAAGGGGTATACGATAGTTTGGATGATGGCGAAGATGCAAAACACGATGCCGGGAGTGGTCCAAATATGGTCTTCATAATCCGGTGCGGCTCCTACAAGGTTCATACCAATAAGCTGTCTCTCAAAGCGGGCAACGCAAATAATGAAAAAGACGTAGTTGATGGATGGAAACAGCAAGCTCAGGACATATACAGCACCCGTGCTGAAGGGTCCAGCGACTTGGGCAATAATGGCCAGCAGGATGGGGACAATGACAATGGTGATACCAGATAGTTGGGCTTTGCGGAAAAAGGCGGCTCCGAAGATGGAGAAACTGGTCAAGGACAGGCCAGCGAGAATATGGAATATTACCAATATGGCAGCATTGGATGTTTTGAAAGCCAATGCCCAGACGATAGCTCCCATGATGACCCAGCCTGGAAAGTAAATGATATCAAATGCAATGTGCATTGACAAAAGGCGGGCAAACTGCGTATGCCATGCTTTTTTGGCGGGAGACATTGCCTCTACAAGCTGAGATATGCCACGTTCTCTTTCTTCTGCCATTTGGCCCGTTAGTTGGTAAGTCACACCGCATACGCCAATGTACAGAGCGACGCCCATGATGTTGATGAGCGCACCCATGTACAGCGTCCTGATGCGATCGTCATATTCCTGCTGCGTACGCTCTGTGTATGGATACTCATCAATGTCGGGAACAGTCGCCGAGCCGTCAACGGAGGCGATGGCCTGGTCGATGGCGCGTTGGAAGGGCAAAATATAGATCTGAACGTCGTTGTCGTCCTGGTCCACGTAGATCTCCTCTCCCAGTGCTCCGTCCGATCTGATAGTGTAGTTCCAGCTCTGGCCTTGGCCTTGGCTCGGACTGGAATGGAAGGACACGGCACCATAACACGTACTGGCGCCGCGCAAAGAGCTCTCGCACGTGGAGAGGAGTTGTACGTCTTGCTGGATTGTGATGGGTTGTAGGCCGGCATCACGGACCTGAGTCGAGAGCTGTCCAATGACCTGTTCGATATCGCCACCTGTGTATCCGTTGTCGACGAAGACGACCTTGTCGCGGCCGCCCGTGGCAGCACTGAGCGCGTTGGGGAAGGAGCGTATGAGGGACGGGGTGCCGATGCCGTACTCGGAGGGTGGGACGAAGAAGTTCTTTGCGTAGGTAATGAAGAACATCTGCACACGCCTGGTCAGCCATGGCCCTGCCGTTGACATGTAGGTGAACATACAAATATGATGGGAGCCCAGAAAGCGCGCACGCTCGTGAAGAACCAGTGGCGAACGAAGACAACGAGCAGCGTCTTCTTGGTGAGGATCCATGTCTGGCTCACGATTGCGCCTGCCATGGTCGCGGCCGTTGCCCGCGGTGGGCGCGCTGAGGGTGCAGGTCTAGGATCGAGTTGTTCACGTGGCGCCCAAGTCGTATGTCCTGAGTGTAACTACTTTGAGAGGATAAAGGCAACCAGAAAAGACAAAAGAGCGATGCAGACAGGTAAAAAGAGGGTGTTGGTTAATACCTAGGTAGCGAACCATGGATGGCAAATACCTCATCAATGTCCTCCATCCGTACCCAGCGTATACGGCACGACGCCGAGCAGACAATGTCTTGTCGGACGTCTTCGACTACCGCATCCCCTGTCCATTCCCTCACGCCATGGTCCACATCGGGCGCTGGCGAGGCGCATGGCGGATTGATGTTGTGCCGGTGGGGCATAGGGAAACGAATGACACAGCATGGCGTTCAAAAGCCCTAAACTCCCTGCCAACGGCCCGGCTTACCTCACTCTGCTCCAAAGAGCTGGGGCAACGCCTGTCACGGAAACCGCCAGATCTCACCTTTATTTCGACGTCCGTCATGGTCATGACCACGATTGCGCGTCGACATAGATACTGGCCTGACTCGAAGCGCTGCCCGCTTCGCTTCCACAGGCCTACGCCAACATGCCTCGGCAGCGACCTGATTTGCCCAGACAACGCCCAGTCGCCGAGTCCTAGTCATCATCGAATGCGTCTTCGGTGTCCTAGAGATCGCGATGCCGAAGAAAATGACAAGCCTCGCGTGCACACCCCTGCATCGCTGCGCCTCCCAGGCCTAATTCCCGTCGCGTCATCGATTCCAAGCTTCTGTGCGAAGCGCGAAGACGATCATCCAATGAGCTGGGATCAGACGGGCCGACATGGCTTTCTTCTACCACAGACGTCTAGAAGCATTATGAAGAAATCTAACAGAAGCGTGTTTAGTTCGTGTTTGCTCTTGGCGCACCATTCGAGTCGGCGCTTGCACTTTCCGTACTCCACAGTAACGAACAATACCCTTCTTTGCCCTATATATTGCGAGCGACTGCCCTTGACACATGGCATACCCCCGAGTATCGTCGGTAGCGAATTACACAACCGACGACTGCTCAGGTATCGTTACAGGGTCTAACATAGAAGCACAAACGTCTTTGTTCTACGGACTGAAGGAATGAGGATTCTACTTATCCTTTGCATAGTGATATCTGTTCTTGGTAGCTGGGTGACGCTCAACTAGCTCCGGAGTGCGTCCAAGGATGGATCCGTCCAGCACGTGTGCTTCTTGCTTCTTCAAGGGGCTACTGTCAGCAGCTGGTCTTTTCCAGTGTCTCTTGTATGCTTACACACGGTTCCTCTGTCGTTCCGGCTCGCCTGTCAATGTGCTTCAGCCCATGAAACGGATTCCTCTATGACCCGCTAGCAGAAGGACAGGTTGTCCAGCACAAAAGGAAAGCAAAGAAGCGGAGCAACTGCGTTGGAACACACGAACGACATGCTACAACTACAGATAATGTTGCGTCTGACCGGTGGTGATAGTGGAAGAGAGAAGAGGCGCTCGACGCTGACGCTGACGCTGACGTTTGACAGATCGAAAGTTTGGCCGGCTCTCCTTCCAGTCCATGGCACAATGACTGCCTGCCTTGACAATGCCCCGCTCCAAGAGCATCGATGTTGACATCGACGACAGTAGCAGCGAACGCGCTGCTACATGACATAATGACTTGAAGATCTTCTGATCGAGTGGGCTCTTGACTTGACTGTGACGGTGGGAGTCGGGGGGGGGGGGTGGTTGGCATGGGCCGCCCTATCGCGAGTCTCAAACTTAGGCAGCTAGTTGTTCCTTTGATTGAGTGGGCTCTTGACTTAGCAGTGACGATGGCAATTGGTCTTTGGAAGATCCTAGAGTTGCTCTATTGAACTTTCTTGCTTGTCAAGTCGTTTGAGGGCGTTTCCGAGAGATAATAACTTGTCCGTCATCTCCTGACTTACTGTTGGCGATAGTGGTCAGTTCTCTTAACTATTTGGGGTTCATTTGATGGCCATGACAGCTCTTGAATGGATGGCACTTGATCTTTTAGATTTTAGAGTTGGGTCATTAAACTTCCTTGCACGTTCGAGTCGGTTGAGTACCCTTCCGCAATGTCATGAGTCATCTGTCAGCTAACAGTCTCCAGAGCAACTAACCATCATTCCCTGCTACGTCGAACTGCACCCGTGTCGTAAGCTTGTCTGTCACTTCTAAATAGACATGTCACAACGATAGCACCATTGTCAATGGCAAGGTTAGTCACCGAATGTGCAGTTATTGTTGTACTAATAACATGCAGACGCTTAGACCATATCAAAGCAAGCGACCACCACGTACTCACTTACCCCACGCTCATCGAAGACTCTTCCTTCTTAGCTGTGATTACTACTCGCTTACTTCTTACACTTATACGCTCGACCGCTCAATTACTCAATCTTTACTATATCGACCACCCGACTTACAATGCCTGGCCCTAGGCAACGCCACCAAAACAGTGAGACGGGTAGATCCATTCAACGTGCCCACAAAGAGCGTATCGCTCGTCGCGCAGCAGAACGTGAGGCAACACAACAAGCTCGCGGTCGCGGTAGCGGTCAGCGGCAGCAAGATTTCCCCTCAGGTCAAGGTCAAGACTATCAGCAGCAAGGCTATCTACAAGATCAGAGTCGTGGCCGGCAGCAGTGCGATCAAGGCCATCAGCAGCAGGGCATTCAGCCAAGTCAAGGTCAAGGCCAGTATCCAGACTCAGGCTGTTCACAAGGTCAGGGCCAACAATTCAACATTAAACTGTCTGATGCATACTGACTTGGACAAAGCAGCACGTGATGTCACTCATTCGCCTCGAAGTTCCCCACCACTTCCATAGCCAGTAAATATCGGGCCTAGTGCTCCTGATCGATATCTGTACCCCGGTACGGCTTTCCAGGTCCTAAATCCCAGCTACACGCAACGGTCGTTACCAGAGCCAGCCTCCGCTCCCCGTCAGCCACCCAAGACACCCTCACCGCCTGTAGTAGCATTTCCGCCGGGGATTGAAGCTGTAAGTAGATCCTTTGATGTACCTCAATGAGGGCTATACTCTCATTGGTCTATGTTCATAGGTGAATGACAGATCCTTGAATAGTAATTGTTTGGGAGGTCATGAGTGCTACAGACTTCGGAAAGCAATGGGATGTATATTTCTTATTTTATTGAATGGCAGTGTGACAAAAGAAGCCGTTCAGTATAGCATATACAATACATTGAAGAACAGCAAAGGAGGTAGAGGTTTTGAGACAAACGGAACTGATATCGAACCTATTTCAAGCCGTGTGTGCTAGCCCTAAAACGTGTTCCTTACCCTGCGTGAAGCCATGTCTTGAGAATGGAATCGTAAATTTGGTGTGTAGTTGCGTACTCTAAAGATGTTGGTTAAGTGCTAGAATGGCAGCCATACTCTTGTGCGTAGAAAAACATGTTGTTCTGCGCCCAGAATATATATTGTTCCATTTTTTGCGGCATATGATGTGTTGACAAATGCTCACGGGTCAGAAACAGTAATGTACTTCGTGTTTGTACGACCAAAGTAAGCTTCCTCGTCATCATCTAGCTTCCTTCCTGGCGTAATCATTCCCTCCGGCTCTTCGGCGTATGCCGTCGGATAAGCGCTGTCATCGAACTCCTCTTCTACCGGAAATTCGTTTACGAGACTGGCCAACTCCCAATCGCCACTGATATAACTGTCCATGCTGAAACGCTCCTTGCGGTATTCAGTCCAATCCGGTTCGTTGTTTACCTCCTCTTCTGCATCTTCTCCGGTCTCCCAAAGGTCTTGCTCAATTCCACTCAGAAAATCCCAAACATTCGCCAGTAGCTCTTCGTGTGGTAGAAAATAGCTCAGTGACTCGTTGTCCTGTCCAGTCCAGTCACTCCATGCTTCCAGTATCTCCAGACGAGGAAACTGCGCTGCAAGTGGTTGTGCCCATAACCGGACAAGCTCTTCTTCAACGAGCGGATCAACCACAGAGCTATATTGGGAATTCGATGAAACGGTGTACGCATCACTAACGATCGATAGGATTGACTGAGGACGTGCGAAGGCGACGTGCGTCAGGAACTGGAAGAGCGGACTATCCGAAGCTCCACTACCGGAGAGATCCTCTTGATCCACACAAGCGCTTCTTTCGTGACCATCAGGTGTTATGGAAGGCGCTCGAAGCGCGTCTTCGATTTGAGAATAATCGTCAAGCGCGGTTTCGAAGGCTTTCTGATGCGGGAGACCCCGTTGTGTCTGTAGATCCGGAAGATGGAGTGCAACTTTCATGCGCAAGGTTTCAAGCAGGGGACAGTATTTACCGAGGCTCGGTAGCGCGGTAGATTCCAGATCGATTGCGCTTTGTGGATGAAGCTTCATGCTGAGGCTCAAAAGTTGCGGCAACTTCCTACAAAATGCTTCAAAGTGGAGGCTCGAGATCAAAGACCCATTTATTGCACTAGGTTCCGAGGCAAGAAGGTCGACATGTTGCAATTTGGGACAGCCATTGGCAAGGTTCACCAAAGCCTCACCGTGAAGGAGTGGATGTGATACGGCCGATGGAAAGTTCTGCGCGAGTGCGCCAACGTTGACTCGCATTGATCGAAGTTCACCGCATTGCGCCATCTGAGCTAGTATGTGATCAAGAACATTCAAATCCCAATCCTGCTGTACTCGCTCTGGTATTCTAGCAATGTCTAGTTGTACTTGTTCTACAAGTGGGAGGTGAGGAAGAAGTGCAACGGCCAACTCAGGATAGCACTTGAGGTGGAGCTGCCTGAGCGAAGAGAAAGGGGAAACAAGCGCAAGGGGACCCGATAAGTATGGCAATAGTTGCAGGCCAGGGTCGAGGTCGATGTGTAGAGCTTCCAGGCCTGGTCGTTTACTTAAATGTCTGAACAGCATATCCTTGCCGGAATAGCTAGCGTTCATCAATCGCACGTTCGTGATGCTGGGCACGGTGTCGATCACATCTACCAGGTTTTGATAAGACACAGTATCTTCAAAACAGAAGACATCTGGACCAAAGGTAATGCTAGAGAGATTGGTACATGCGGAAAAGGCTGGAAGAACAGTGCCAGCGACGTAATGCGAATTACCAGATTGCGATCCAAGGAATTCCAGTTGTGTAAGGCCTGCGTGCAGCATAGTGTTGATTGCTTTTGAATGCGTCGCCCAGTCTATTTCCAGCTCCAGTACCTCGATTTTTGGCCAATATAAGCCTTCGAGGTATGCAAGATCTCCGCCACCGTCTGTAGGTCCCAATACGAACAGCCTCTCGACTTTGTTCGCATACCATTGTCTTCGGTCGAAGGTCATGTCCTGCAGAGCCGGAAGGTGCGGGTAGCGTCTCCACAAGATAGATGTACCTTCGTTTGCCCAGATTTTGTTGACCATGATTGAGGGTACCAACGTGGGCCGAAACTCGAGAAGTTCAACCGGCTGGTCGGGTCCCTGCTGTCTACGGTCCTTGTACTTCATGCCGGACAGAAAATGTAGAATCAGTCTCACGATACGAGGATCCGCGGCAGCCTTGGCTGCGGCAGCCATGATTGCGCAAAGACGAAGGAAAAGCAGCAAAAGAGCGACTCGAAGGAATGAAGTAACAGAGTAAAATGTGGATGGAGAGAGCGCAAGGACAGTTACCTAGGGCGGCAGAGGCTGTGGGTAGACAGTCATCCTGTTTTGGACCTGGTCGCTTTTCTTGCAGCCGGGCAAAGCGAAATTCCGCCCGCTCGCCACGGCTGATCGCCAGGGGGCTACGGAAGCCTGAGAGCCTGTCATTACGCGTCTCCGCGAAGGCGATTGTGAACTGTATAATTCCCATGTCGATAGGAAGTCACGTTCGGATTCCAATGGAGGGCGTTCTTGGGCGCTTTCCTCGTGAAGCTTGGAAGCCGCCAGCTTAGTCAACCTTGCAAGCGCGTTGGCCTTCCAGCATGACGGGCCGGACGACCGCCGGAGCTGTGTTACCACCGCAGAGCCGCCTGGTCGAGTTTACTGATCGCATACAGACACCGTTCGTGCAAAATGTGGCGCAGATGTCAGCTTTGCACGGAGTTAACGCCGTTGCTATCGGGGACATTACGCCCGTTAATCACAACTGACTATGATGGTAGCGCTTACGCTTGAGCACGCAGGCATATACAACAGACGACTCTGGAACCACGATCAGACAGCACATCGGACGAAGAAGCGCAGTTACCATGCATCTCATACTTACTGGAGCGACAGGGCTGATTGGCGCGTCTGTGCTCGACAATATGCTTGCACAGGAGAGCATTAGTCGTATCTCGATCCTGAGCAGACGGCCTGTCAAGATGGCCGAAGGACATGCCAAGGCGAAAGTCATCATTCATACAGACTTCAACAGCTACGACAAAGTCTTACTGGAAGATCTGAAGGATGCACAGGGTTGCGTGTGGGCCTTGGGCGTGTCACAGAATGCTGTCAGCAAGGAGTGAGCTGTTCCTATAAACTGCTATAGAGGCCTTATGCTAACATGCTTGCTCAGGCAGTATGTCGAGATAACGCACGATTATGCCATGGCTGCTGCGCGCGCCTTCTCTACCATGCACCCAGACTCGCCCTTTACGTTTGTCCATGTCTCAGGCGAGGGCGCCACGCAGGCGCCAGGCACCTTCACATCGCTCTACGCACGGGTCAAAGGACAGGTAGAGTCGGAGCTGCTCGACTTGGGCAAATCGAAGCCCATGTTCAGGGTGTACAACGTCAGGCCAGGGGGTGTGGACTGGACAAAGCATACGGCGATCCATCCGTTCATACCGCCGCAGGCTGCGTGGAAGAAGGCGATGATAGCGCCAATGAATCTAGTCTACAAGGCTATGATGACGCCAGCGAAGGAGATGGGGGGCGTCATGACGGAGCTGGCCATGTCGCGGGGCGAAGGGTTAGAGGGCAAGGACATTGGCATGGAGGGGCGGCTGGTCTCCAATGTAGCCCTCAGACGTATGGCGGGGCTGTAGAGGTGATGTTGGCTGATAGAGGGCTAGACACGATGAAGTTGATATGCTTGATGCGACGGTACCTGAGCATCCGACTGTGCACGTGGGAACGCTGTCTGTGCGTGGGCGATGACGGCAGTGAGACCCTGGTTCGCCGGGTGGGGGCGCGTCCGAGGCCCAAGGAACGCGTCGCCGCATCTTTCTCCCCACAGCTCCCAGCCATCGCCTCATTTCTTTCTGGCGCGACTGCAAGTTTGACACGCCATACGATCAACCGCCTGCCTGCCTTCTCTGCTCGACTGTCTCTCCAGAAATCTTCTCCGCCATGGATTTCGACGAGGCGCCCCCGTCGTCACCACCGCTCGCGTGCACCACCATGGACCTCCCACCCAACCCCTTCTTTGAGCGCAAATATACTGCCTTCACTACCAAGTCAAGCTCGCCGCCCCCCGTGTTTTCCAGCGATGACTCTCGCGAATCTGTCGATGTGAGCAACTACGAATCCCCTCGTATCCACAAGAACAAACGCAAGGGCGCGTGGTGGGACAGTCGCGAGTCTGCCCACACGACCCCAGAGGTGAAGAAGACGAAATTCGAGCGCAACTTTGACTCTGGCATCTACATGCTCAGCGATGCCACCAACAGCTCCGAGGAACTACCTCCGCCCCAGTACATGTCGCCTTACAACATGAGGAGCAAGATGCCGCTCAAGCGCGCCCCCAATCCAAATGCCTCTGATGACCAAGACATGAACATGGACAGTACCAGTGCTCCAACAGCGGAGCAAGCCTTCGTTCAGCAGATGGACCATGGCATTGCGCGGAACCAGGAATCCTATGACTTTGACGGCCAGGGCCTCGAGGACAGCGATATTAGGCACATCGGCAACCTCAAAACCGTCATTAGCGACCCGCCCGTCCACGACACCGAGCTCCCCACGGCGGGGCAGTACCGATCTCTCCTCCCCAAACTCCAGATCCACCTCAGTAAGAACAAGCTCTGTCGACTGGTTCCATCTCTGTTCGACCTTGCAGATCTCACTGGTCTCTACCTGCGTCAGAATGAGATTGAAGAGCTTCCGCAACAAATCAGCCGTTTATCTAAACTCGAAACCTTGGACGTGTCTCTCAACAAGCTAAAGTACCTCCCCTTTGACGTCATCTCTCTTCTCTCTCCACATGGGAACATGACCCGCCTCACTCTCATGGGAAAAGATCTACTCCAGCCCATGTCTTCTCACAGATTCGCAGTCGCCGACTACCAGAAGCAAGAGCAAGCGTCTCTTCATCACACCGACTCGCTGCCACTCGATGAGGTGCGGCAAGACGCAAGCAGTCAACTTGCGCACTTGTACCAAACTCTGGCGACTTGCAAAGACCGCGACCAAGCAGTCTGGCGGATCCGTTATTTCGAGTCCTGGACAAACTCTTTCGGTGGCGTAGATGATACCAGGGAATGCAATGTTGAACAAGACGTTGGTTTCTATCCACACCATCCCTCTCTGCCCTTAGATGCTATGAACGATAGCCAAGTGCTAGCCCACGCACCACGGTATATTGCCAGGACACTAGTGTCGTACTATGACCAGAGTGGCAACGTTCTCAAAGGATCTCCGCGGCTTCCTTGTTCCAACGAAGAAGAATATCCCGTCATTGTCGAAACCAACCAAGGTACATACGGCGTTCCTTCTTCACCTTGGTTCACCCCTCCGTCTACAAGCAGAATGTCCTCTCTCGTCACAGCTAGCTTATACAGGGGACTCAAATCTACGAACATTGGTACCATCCGTGCGTTCCTCGATTCAGATTTCCTCCCCGTCGTGGAAGCCATCCTCTCGCAAGCAGAGGAGAATGCCGCTGACGGGCATGGTATGTTCCGCAGATGCCATACTTGTCACAAGGAGTACATTGTGGCACGCGCCGAGTGGATTGAGTTTTGGAGTCGGGGAGGCAAATTCGTTCCATTGAAAGCCAGCGTGTGCTCCTGGGGCTGTGTACCTGTAAGCATGGTGCAGAGACCGCAGAAAGAGTTGGCGTGGTGAAGTCAGGAAGTAACTAGCGGACATGAAGAGCAGCACAGTAAGATGCACATGGTAGTTTGGGGTCAGCCGGCTGTACGAGAGGTTTCACTTTGGCTGTCTCTATGATCCCGGCCCGTTCGTCACCTTGCCATCTTGACCATTCTAAGATGATGTAATCTGCCATACCTTCCGTCCACCTTCCGTCGCCTTCTACTCTACTACCTTTCCTCCATACCCGTCTCGTCAGCCAGATTTGCGCGCTAATGCACTTTGCTTCTACGCTCGATAGAGCAAAAGCGAAGATTCCGGATGCTGGGCGAGGTGCGCTAAGTCGCATCGGAATCTGGAATTTGTATTCGTGACCACAAGAGGGCAATCCGTCATCTCCCCCCCCCTCTCAAGCTGTATTCAACAGGGTCTATATCATTTCGTGTGTGCTCATTGACCTGGCACGCGAACCCCGAGCTCGAGACCACAACGCAAAAAACTGGCATCCATATCCCAACAACTCAATCTAGAACGTCCGGCGCATGATTCCTTGGTATGCTCCTCTGTAACTCCACATCCTACGAATAGATACATCTACACTGCGGTCGCACTTTCATCTGGTGGACTGGAATCAGAACAGAGTGGCCTAGTGGATGAAAGAGACAGGTTGTGTTGATCGACGGCAAGAGAGGGAACTATCACTTTGAACGTGGGGCGGAGATCTCTGAGGCGGGGCTGTTTCCCATCCCCGAGGCTGTCTAGGATGCGGCATGTCGAAGTGGGGTCTACTCGAGCATGTCGTTTTGTACACTACGATCCGGTTACCAATAATGCCTAGTGATCGGTGACCCTTCGGTCAAAGTCATAATTAAGAGGATAATAGGCTTTCAAGTTCGTTCTGAGTAGTAATTATCAACTCCACCATTTATGAGAAATTGACGCGAGAAGACATGTCCGCGCTGCCGCCTCCTGTTGTAGTTAGGCCGCGTGCTAATCCTGGGCGAGTTTAGATTGATTTGGTCGGAGAATCGCGATAACAACACGCCGTCTGAGTGGGCATCTTTCAGGTATCACCACTCTCTGTATCTCATACCCCGGACTCGTACGTGCACGTAAAAGGGACTAGCCGCGTAGCCATTGCTTTGTCAAACATACACCATGGTTCCAAGTGTAATTGTCGCGTCTTCCAGTACCGCGCAGCACATCTACATTTGCCCGGTCAATACAGTGCTGGATGCAAGACAACCGCAGATAGACATGTAATCCCGAAAATCTCTCTAAAGAGCTTAGTTTCCCCCTACAGTGTGAACGAAGAAGCTTATCAGCTCTTGCAATCGCTTGCCATCCTGCTTATCGGCGCCTATCTTCAGCCCTCGTTCAAACCCTTGCCGGTCTCGACTCAATCCGCCGAACCACCGTTCGCAACATGACGTGAGCGGCTGGAGAAGACCATATCGACGTTTCAGCTGGAGCTCATCTTGCCTGGCTTCGGTGCATTCGCGTTGGCACTACGCACGTTAGGAGGACAAGCCTTCCTTGGGTTGCACGGCTACCGGCCATGGCATGCTGACAAGGGTTGCTTGAGCCTACCGCATGGATTGCTCCTATCTCGGCTGCATGTACATGAACGGAGTTCTTAAGCCCTGCGTCGCCGCGCGATGGATCCCTGGCGTGCTTTGAGCATTCCACGACATCGAAAACTGATTCTTGGTGAAGTGATTGACAACGCAGACATGTCTGAGAAAAAGGTCGAGGAGTCGACTGTCGGAGAACGGAATGTGGACTATGGCATCGGCAATGTGCGAAACTCGCACGCGGCAAGTCGTAGGAAGAGTTCCGCTGTTGATCCGGCCATCATTGCAGGAGAGATATTTGATGAGCGTTATGAGACCACGCATCGGGGTCTAAAGTCAAGGTAAGCCGCTGGCTGTTCTCCATGTGATGTGATTTGGTTCGCTGATATAGGACAGACATGCCCAAATGATTGCTTTGGGTGGTACAATAGGCACTGGTCTCTTTGTTGGCTCAGGCCAAACCCTCGCTCGCGGCGGTCCAGCCTTTATCCTGTCCACATATATCGCCATGTCCTTCTTGATCTTTTGTACTGTTGCAGGTATCATCGAAGTCGCCGCCTATCTCCCAACTCCTGGGTCTTCTATGAACCTCTTCGGATACCGCTATGTCTCCCGCTCAATGGGCTTTGGACTCGGATGGCTATACTTTTACTCTCTCGGGATCCTGGTACCCTACGAGATTACAGCGGCTGGATTGGTCATTGAGTATTGGAACCCACCCGTGAACATTGCAGTGTGGATCACGATTATGATCATTGTCATCGTCGGGCTGAATTGCTTCCCGGTCAAGTTTTACGGCGAGACGGAGTTTTGGTTCGCGGGAACAAAGGTTGTGATGATTTTGGGACTGCTTATCTTGTCTTTCGTCCTGTTCTGGGGCGGTGGTCCCAAGCACGACCGTCTCGGTTTCAGATACTGGAAGAACCCTGGCGCGGCAAATACATATCTAGAAGAGGGTAATGCGGGGCGGTTTGTGGCACTGCTATCTACCATGGTACTTTCTGCCGTAAGTGAATAGCTCCACAAGGTCTAGTTCAGCTTCACTAATCCCTGTTTAGTTCCCGTTTACATTTGCCCCCGAGCTTCTTGTAGCAACAGGTGGTGAGATGCAGTCACCGCGGCGGAACCTGCCTACTGCTGCACGCCGGTATATCTACCGTCTTCTTTTCTTCTACGTTGGCAGTGTGCTTGCAATCGGTGTTATCTGTCCCTCAAATGATCCCATTATTACCTCTGGGGGGTCTGGTGCCGGTTCGTCACCGTTCGTCGCAGGCATCAAGAACGCCGGTATTCCGTAAGTGGCCCTGTACGAACTGAATGTGGCTCGTTCACTGACCTCGTATACACGCATTTAGAGTACTCGACAGCATTATCAACGCCGGTATCATCATAAGTGCTTGGTCATCAGGAAACTCTTTCCTCTTCCTCTCCTCGCGCTCCCTATATGCGCTTGCGCTTTCTGGTAACGCACCCTCCATCTTCAAATCATGCACCAAGTCTGGTGTGCCATATTGGGCTGTTACAGCGTCTTCACTCTTCTGTGCCCTAGCATACCTGAACGTAGGCAGCGAGAGCGCCGTTGTCTTTAACTGGTTCGTCAACTTGACAAACACGTCTGGCTTCATCTCGTGGATCTGCTGCGGCATCATCTTTTTGCGTTTCCGGAAAGCTTGTGAAGCGCAAAACATCACCGATCTGCCATATCGTTCACCAGTCAGCAAGTGGGGAGCTTGGTGCGTTATCGTTAGCTTCACCTTCCTGTGTTTGATCAATGGATTTGATGTCTTCTGGCCTGAGAAGTGGGACGTCAGCTCTTTCTTCACTGCATACGTTGGTATTCCCATGTTCTTTTTGTTCTATGGAGGACACCGGATCTGGGCCTGGAGCGATACCTGGGCTTATGATCCAGCGGAGGTGGACATGAAGACAGGCTTGGATCAGGTTCTCGCTGAGGAAGTACCAGCAAGAACGGCGAAAGGGCCGTGGTGGAAGAAGATTACATTGATCTGGCAGTAGAAAAGGAAAGAGGATTGATGAAGCTGTGAAGCAAAAGTAGGCAATTCCCGATCACCAAGGATCTTCAACAAATATTCATTACTCCATACTACTCACAACTTATGCATTTCTTTCTAATCCTGAGGTAAATCCGCTGATCCTATTCTCATAATTGAGTATATTCGAGAGGTGTTGACCGATCTTTATCAATTTGTTTCGTATTACTGGCCGAGAGAGTTGCAAGTCATAGCCCTGGATTTCTCAAGACTTCGAAACTGTGAGAGTTCGGAAATGGAGGGCGGCACCTTGGAGGGGGGGTTTTGTCTAGTACCGAATGGGACTAGAGTCTGGGAGTGGTGCGTCATATCTAGGTGGCTTGACAATTGATTGCGAAAGCCCAACAAGAACCTACGAACGCGCCCACAATGGCATCATCGCATTGGCAGCATCACGTTTGCACTAAGGCTATCAGGCGCTGAACTAATTCAAAATACCTTCGCGTTAACGAACTCACTAAATGCTCAGTCCTCCTCATCTTCCTTCTTCCGTTGACGGTTCAGCTCATCAATGACCTTTTTGCCGCATGCCAAAACCTCCAGTGTCCGACTCTTATTATCGTGATCCCTCGTCTCCGGGACCAAGAAATATGTCGTCACAGCACCCGCTACCATGAACGCGCTCATAACTTGTAAGATGTGCCCGAAGTTCTGGCGTTCCCATCTGAAATCGTCCTGGTCTTTAGACTTGTTGGATTGGAAAGCATACGCCAGAAAGATCTGCACTACCCAAGACCCAAGTTTTCCACTAGCAGCAGCTATCCCGTGGCAGGTACACCGATATCTTGTGGGGAAGATCTCAGCAGGAATGATGAATGTCGTCACATTCGGCCCTAGGTTGAAGGCGATGTGACTGATCACATACAGTACCATCAGTCCTGATCGACTGCTGTCGAGCAAATTCGTCCAAGCGCTTCCGGTTACGATGAAGAGTACGAAAAGAACCAGGAACCCCCAGAACTGGATCACTTTCGGTGACACATACTTGACAATCTTGATCATCAGCAGACCGCCCACAGCTGTCCCTGTGGAAACCATCACCAGGGTATATTTGCTGTTATCGCTCAGCGTCTGGTACACAGATGATTCATCTTTGATACCACCCGGCCAGATGTGTCTGACGATTTCTGGTGAGGAAAGACCCAGCCCATAGACTGCCCCAAAGTCAGTAAGTCTGCCGTAGCGGCTTAGTGGTCTACTCACATGCGAAATCGAGAAACAGCCAAGCCAACGATGTTCCCAGTAGATACTGCCAATTCTTTTCGGCAATGAAAAACTGTTTTGCATCGGCCCATGAGGCGAGTGGAGGGGAAAGCTCTGGATCTCCTGGAGAAAGCTGGGTCTGCGGTGCTCCAGTGGTACAAAGATGCACGTCACTGAGTCGGTGCTCAGATTCACTATCGCTCTCAACCTCCTCGTCAGGTGCAATCACTGAAGAAGTAGTCGAATGCCTCGAAGCAGGCCTTCGGCTCTCCGATGAAGCAGGCACATTCAATAATTCGACCTCGCCATGTTCCGGGTTTGCTTCGGGCGCGCCGAAAAAGTTCGCGGTGTCCTCAAGAGTACCTTTCGTGTTTTGCAAGATGTCCAGTGTGTACCTTGGGCTTTCTGGGATTGTAAATCGAAATACGAGAGCAATGAGGGCCGGCACAACGCCAATGCCGATGACAAGTCTCCACAGCCGATCGATAGCTCGAAAACACTCCAGGTCGGTAGGTTGACAAGATCCTACATTGTTCTTGATCCAGGGCTTGTACGCTTCTACTGCAGCAAGCGAAAGGACATTGGCGAGTAGTTGTCCAACAGGCTGGGCAAAGAAGACCCAGCTCAGCATGCGCGCACGGTGCTTGCGAGGAGCGAACTCCGCAGTGATAACCTATTTCACGATCAGTAAAGCGACGATCACGCTCGATATCGATACCTACAGCACTCAAAGGGTAGTCAGCCCCGATACCAATGCCTCCGTAATGTCAGTATTATCAAGAATCAATGAGCCAGGTCACTCTTTCTTACCCATAATCGCTCGCCAGGTGATTAGCCACCCTCCAATCGCCATGCTATTCTTTTCTCCATTCGAACTCATGAGTAGCAACATTGTACCGACGATGATGATGACCAACTCGAGCCCATACATCTTGCGTCGGCCCAGAAGATCTGCTGCGAAGCCGAATCCTATCTGACCTACCATTGTACCCGCAAGTGTTGAACACATCATGGCCGTCTTGACCGAGGACGGCACCGAGGGTATACCACCTTCGTCGTGGTTAGGCCAGTAGACGTATCCTAACATAGGAGTAACGACATTCAAGGCGAAGAGCCCGAACGCATCTGTTAGGAAGCCGATGCCAGCGACTACCACTACCCAGACCTGGAAGGGTGCTGAATCGATTGTTGCGAGCGTCCATCGCCGACGCCTTATCTCCTGTCACTAAGATCAGCAAGACACCCACAATCAGTGAGTTCATTGCGTGTGAACAGGAATAACCCACGGGAATGCCGCTCCCGCCTGCGGTCAAGTCCTCTATACCGATATGGTGGCCCTTGATTGGTCGTGTGATCCAGTTCCGAAGACCCATCGTCGCGTTAATGATGAACCTCTTTTATAACAGGTAGTCGCACTCCAACGCGTATGCTTCGGCAAAATCTCTTGTGTTGCGTTGTTTATTGTACACAATCCTCTCGGGGCAGCGCAGGTCATATTGAGGGCGTACAAAGCTTCAGCCTCCACTACGATGCGCATCACCGAAGCCACTCCTAGAAGCTCATGCACAGCCCGAGGCAACACAATAAACCGGTCAACAAAAGGGGGTGCATTGGAATTGGCGCTACTCATGGGTTCTTCCTCATCGCGTCCGATCTTGTTTTCTTCGCCGAAGTCAGACTTGGTGGCGTTTGTTGCTGCGGAACAACCGCGGCATAGCCCTTGCATGTCAACCTTACAGGTCATCTGAGATTACCACTGATGGCTGATTGAGGATGTCATCTGCGACTCGTCATGTTTAGGGCGGCTGCCAGCGCAAGAATGAACACACAGTAGCGGTGGACGGTGTGGACTTTGGGCTTGTTAGAATGTCTGTAAGATGGAATCATAACCTTGCCTTCAATATTCTGAGTGGAAGCCGCGCGGTCCTGGATGATGATGGTTGGCTAATCTGGGTATCTGGTAGTCGACGATGGCCGTTCGCTTCCCCACGTGGTGATCTTCGCATCCTCATTGAACGTCAAAAGCCGCCATACCGCTTTCGGTGAACCATCCTGATACCGCCACATGCACGAATACGAGCTGTATGCCGCTCTTGAATAAGACCACGGCTATATGTAGTGCTTCCGACGTTGGAAGGCTTGAGAAATGCGCGTGTCTAGGCTCTAGTAGCATGTCAGATAATATGCTAAGCCACTCCAGATGTCGCAGCGGTCTGCCTTTGGGTTAGCCAAGTTATGCACATGTCGGGAAGCTGGATGTAAGCTTGAGAGATTCTTACTACAACCCCGTTTGATTCTCTCAGAGGCTTGAACTTCTGTTGATTGTTGCCTCCACTGTGTACTAGCAGTCCCACAACGCATGGTCAGTCACTAAATATCCTGTGTTGCGCTCGAGCGCGGCGCAAGCGAACCGAAATGTCTTTTGGATGTAGTCCATCTGATGTGTTGAAGCTGTTGGAGATCTCGACTCGTGTATACCTTGCTTTCAAAGGTATGTTCAGCTACGACACTGCATCAGTATCTTTCAGGGATCAGCTTGCTAACCCCTACATTTAGATGCAAATGAGAATTCAGAAGCTCAAGTTAGTGGGCTTGTGAAAGAGTTCACCACCTTCCATACTTGTCTCGAACAGCTAGGCGAATTGATGAAACAATATGGCCAACCAATGCCATTTCCTGTCAAAGATTTCGAAGACACGCTGAAGAAGTGTGAAAAGACCCTGGAACCATACGCTGATCATCTCGTCGATAGGAAGATGTCCGTTAAGAAGTTCATCTTCACTATCCGCTATATAGGTATGGAAAAAGAAATCGATGGATTGAGGAAACAGATCAGCGGTCACTACCAAGCTCTCAACATGTGCATCTCATTTCTCCAGTTGTAAGTGTCATGCGCACTCAGCGCTTAGGACTTAGTCGCTGACCGCCACTAGGCGGCTTCATCTCGAAGCAACAAAGCAAACTCAACGTCTTCTCGATGCCGCGCCATCTCGTACAGTAAACATGGGTCGCCGCTCATACTCCACTCACAGTCTTGGAATTCCCAGCAACCATACGCCATTAGCGCTTGCGCCTCCTGATGAACACCCATTATTCAGCGAATGGAAGATTTTTGATAGATGGCTACAAAGCGAGGATGAACGCATAGCTCAAGAAGCGGGATCGTCACGGCCCCTATCGCTAGGTGATATACCCGCTTCTGTACCGAGCGGCGATGTTCAAACCGCTGCAGTGCTGTATCAACTTAGGCGACAGGTTGACGATGCGATACTCATTGAAGAAAATCGCGCGAAGCGGGCTACTGCCGAGAAACGAACACACCTGATCCCGAGCGACACGATGAAGCAGGAGGTCCGCGATATGCCACCAGCACCACCACGAGTGTATACCCTCAAGACAAACCATTCTGGTGACTTTACGGAGTTTGGCCAAGAACTGATGAGTGACTCGACAGCCACCATCCGTCCCAGCCTGAGCATACGACCATCGTCCCCAGATTATTTTGGCTCGTTCAACTGGACACAGTCGCCGACATCAAAGTCTCTTTGTTCAGGCCGAACTGCGTCTATTTCTACAACAAGAAGTAGCGAATGCTATTCGGCAGGTACTACCCCAGAAAAACCGCTATCTCCCACGCTGCAGCGCAGTCTTTCGCGCACATCGCTGGCCACCATGGCATTAGGTGACGCTGCACTCGATTGGAAGCGCGTCTGTCGCAATGTGCAGGTTGAACGAAAGTCTTTAAAGTACGGGCCCGAGAACCGTGAATGCGAAGTTCGGTGGCGATATCGAGAAGATACTGGCATCTCGCTACGAGCAGTATATTATTCTAGCCAAGATGGAAAACAACGCATTTGGACTGAACAGCATTTCCCTGCCACCGGTCCATCGATACCATTGACTACCACGTACGCTGACGGTGCAGTGTCTATTGATTTTCCGCGTGGTTCGTTCGGGAGACTTTACAAACAGTACATTGACATTAAATATACATTTGTGGGTCACGAATCAGCGGACAAGTTCCAAACCTTATTATACACCAACAACGGCGTCGATCCTGCCGAACTTAAATTCGATCGACCTATCCTGGCCATATCATCAAATAAAAATCCGACTGAATGTCGTAACAAGAATCTGCGATTATGGCGGCGCGTTGAGACGCAGCTGGTAGATGGCGAGCTCATCACATCCGAGGTTCTGGTGGTGCTATTCTACACAAGTGCGTTGGAAGAAGATAAAGGTCACTGGGTTGAGGAGCCACATTACGCGTTCGAGTGGCTTGCAGATTCTATCTACAAGAAAGAAAGCGACAGGCTTACTCTTGTCTTTTCAAAAGACCCATCGCGTTGGGCGACCGATAAGTTGTTCAAACGCCGCAAGTCATCGACCCGGTCCGAGTCCGAGCCTGTGAACTCTTCTCTCTTCGAAAGAAAACGAAACGACTCTATGGAGATGGCAGAAGCGCGATTAGAAAGTGGGGTCTCAGGGTCACTGAACGGCTCGCTCAAGTCGCAGAGGAACATATTTGGAAATGGCAGTGGATTTTCGAGAGCAGGCAACCTAAATCGGTTTGGGTATTCGGAATTTGACATCAAGTTTCAAGGTAAGAAGGATAGAAGGGCATTTTTAGATGTCTGGAAGCAACACGTGAAGCCGTTAGTTGCGGCTCCATGATACCACGTTACAGAAAGGGAGACATTAGCGGGGTGTACTGTACTATGGAAGAAGAAGCGCAGCGCGTGATCAGGTTGGCGAGAACGACGGTGTAAGCTGCCAATATAGGCTAATATACGCAAAACACTTTGATGCCAATAGCTGGATGGTAATGAGTGAGAGTCTTTCTATAAAGCCTTTTGTAGCAGTTCCGTTAGATGTCACATTATTTTGTTTGTCTATGGGGCACTTGAACAACCTCGTGAAATAAAATAAATTTGAGTATAGAGGAGCAATGCTCTACCCGATCTCACCCATGGTGGCTGGTAAGAAGACAGGATCCGTAAAGTTCTTTTCGCTGCGCGCTCATCGTACCCAAAACGACGCTTTGCGCTACATTATGCAATGATAAAGATTGCGTGTCGGCTTATGGTCTGTTTCAAATGATACGGCGATAAAACAATCGCGACTAGATGAAAAACCAGAATTTTTTTATTTAAAGACATTAGTATAGACGGTTGGAATTATGTCTCGTTTGTCTACTTCTATTCTGTGTATTTTCGGCATCGATCTAAAGTAGCAAAAGATGGTGACCATACCGATAGGAGTGCGCACGATATCTGAACACATCGTTAGTGCGGGATAGACCTCGTCATGACCCATACGCTGCATGCGTGTTACGTATTCACCTCCTTGGCAGCCAGAGGCGTAGAATCGCAGGTAATTTAGTACACATGAAGCCATTGCCAGCGTTTGGCGTAGTGCCTGTTGGAAACGAGAGCTACTCAAATGTTGAGGACGAAAGACTGTAAAGCCAGGGCCTGGACCTTGCTTGATGCAGCACAGCTACGCCACAACTTGACGCATCCGCAACAGGTTTGTACTGCATGTGCGTATGCGAAGAGGCGTTTCTGAGGAGGGGCACAATCCCTGTTAAGCGAAGCGATGCGTACATGACTAGATATAGGATCAATGCTAGAAAATCGAACAAGCTAACCATGCGAGACTATGCACATCATTTGGAGAGCAACAGGTTGGATAGACAAGAAAGAAAGTATAGTAATAGTGTTTGAGAAATGAAAATGATTATGGACAGTTCAGAAACAACAAAGTAGTGCAAGCCTGATAGCATGCAAATCTCCACCTTGAAGCAGATCAAGCACAAGTCGTATTGGCAGACATCTTGCCAAACTCATCAACGTTCGTAACAGCACCTTTATCGTCGTATTCGATCCTAACTTGCTGGTTGCTCGAGACAGACGGATCGCCGACGAGGTAGTTAAGTGGCTCAAATCGCATGGCAGAATGCGCAGAGCTGAACATTGTGTTTGGCAAATCGCCAGTATGCGGGAGGTGGTGCATGCCAAGGTTGAACCAGAGTACTCTGTGTCTTGTTAGTAAGGTGTTATATATCATTGTCCGCGATACTGATAAGGAATGGGATTACGAACAAGTCTTCCTGCTCCAAAGTCTCCTCATCGAAGAAGGATGCAAAATCTACCAAGGGATCATCTTTGTTGAACTGGTTGTTAGCATCCGCAGCCCTCGGCTCCGTCTCCTTTTGTTGAGTAACGTAAAAGTCGTGCGTCACAAAGGCACCCGACTTGCCAGTGTTCGTCGAGTTTGTTTGTGTAAGATGGATTGTACCGGCAGCTCTCTTGATTCTGTAGCCCGGGTATTCGCCGTACGGATTCGGGGTATCCCTGTTCACAATGGCGTACAATGTGTTATCATTCTCCGCCCAGTTGATCTTGGAATCTCTCTCGTTGGCTACCCATAATCGCTCGGCTTTAAAAGTGTTGTATACTCGACCTTGACTCCAAGGATATGTCGTGGAAGTTGGCACAAATTGCAGTTTCTGCACACTGTTCTTCCTTCCATTGATATCCAAGTCCACCTTGAATGTGAGGGTGTGGTCATGTGAGCTACCTGAGAGAAAGTCATGGATGTGGAAGCCGTACTCCGGTTGTTCCTCCCAATAGGCAGCGGCAATATATCCAGAAAAGCGAGAGGATACTTCGATGCCTCCGTCGTAGAAGAAGCTGTAGTCGATCATGAAGTCGTAGTTGCCTACTGTGGCTACGGTACGCATGGTGAATTGAATATTCTTTGCTACACTGGTGTGTGGTGCGGATGGTGAGAAAGAGTGGCGGCGGATCGGGTAGCCAGCATCAAACTCAAATATGCATATAGCATCCGCTTGGGTCTTGAGTGTATCGCCTTCGGTCCATGTCGCAGGTAGATATGTCGCATGACTAGGGCAATCGTACCCCTTGATAAGAGGCTGTAGCGTCGAGCCCATACCACTTGTAGTGTCGAAGAATGTTGCTTGCGATTGGAAAGGATCGGTTCCGGAGTAGGATGTTAGAGCTTCTTGCAGAGACAACTCGTAAATGATACGTCGGCCTTTGTATTTGATGTCGAACAGCGAAAGGCCAAGATCCTGGGAGACAGCATGGTAGAATGTAAAATCCATCCAAGATATGTATCCCTCTTCAGCATCAATCTTGAATCGCTGGTCTCCTTGGGCAATAGACGCTGGTGGTGGTAGATGGTCCAAGGGCATGGGCGTTCCCTGCCTGTCAGTGGACGTCCAGTTACCCAGTACATTCGGTGGTGGTTTCTGGTAATCGGGCTGGTTGATTGCGGCACGGAACTCGTCAGTACTGGCGTAAAACTTTCCGTACGAGTACCAGCCAACAGCTTTCCAATTGTCCGAATTTTGTCCAGTCAAATCGAACTTTACAGCAAAACCGAGCGGCTCCACTGTAACACTGCTAAGTTTGGTACCTGGATCCTGAAAGGCCGCCGCCCAGGAAATTATTCGGCCTTCTTCGTCCCAGAAGGGACTACCGAGCCGGAGACCAATGCTACCTGTAAAGAAAGTCTAGACATATAAGCTTCTGCTGTCACCCAGTGCGTATGTCTTCTAACTTACAGTGTTGAACAGTTGCATTGAGATATCCTCGACTTCTGTCGAGAACCTCGTGAAGAAACTTGATGCTTCATTAGGTGAGTACAAAGGGTGCATGGGAGTCCGTCCTGGTTGAGAGTTTTGGAAAGGAAATGTCAATGGTTCGACCGCAGTGGCATTCGTTGCTGGTAGCGGCCCTACCATATACTCTTGCCAGTATTTGTCCGTCGAATTGGTGGTACCGCTTTGAATAGTTGCTCGCGCATAACGCCTTGGTGCGGTGGCATTGTTGTCGAGAAAGGGTAGAGTGTCCGTCTTGTTGGGATGAAGAAGGGCAAGCTGTACGCTGAGATGGTGTTAGTAGGCACAATGATGTTCTGGATTGCCAGACTCACACAAAGTTATCTCGGCTGGATCCTGTGTTGCCTGTCAAGCTCATTCTCTCTTGCAGAAGCTCATTGATACTGGCAGCTTCTTCTTCGGACAATGCCTTCCATGGGTTCTCGTACGGCGCGCTCACTGTGGGTTGGCGATCGTTTGTCGGCGTATCTTGTGCCGTCGCGAGAGAGGCCAAGACGGCAGCACCAAACGTTAGAGACGAAGCCCACTTCATGTTGACTCGGAACGAAAGTAAACGAGCGTGCAGATTCCGAAATGCAGGTCTCTGCGGATTATATGCCCGTCTGTTGGCCCATGCCTATACGGTAGCACAATACCCCTAAGGGCGTTTGTGCAGTCATCACACCATAGCTGGCTCGCATCCTTAGCGATGAGGAGCTATGCCCCAGACATCGGTTCTGTTGAGTAGGCTGAAAAAACAATTTCGCGGTGTTGCTTTGATGCACGCCGTGCGCTTGGAAGGACATGATCGGCGGCACGGTTCTCTTCTGCATATGTGCAAGGGGGATTCAGCTCCACCTCCCAGCGATGTGCATCCAAGCGCCTTCGTTACATAATACAGCCGCTCTGACAGACCTCGAGGCAAAAAAGTACAAGTAACTGCACTGCACCGACAAAAGAACGTCTTAGGTTAGCAAGAAAGTGTGGTTGTATCATAATTGAAGTGTCGCGCACGGTTGGCGACTCAGGGGCGGAGCATCCCTTCCGAAAGCTTGGTACGGCAATGCACCCCGCAAGAAACAATAACAGGCGAAAGTGATTCAGCAAACAAGCTTTTCATGGCTACCTGTCGGTTCCAAGGTTTGGTCGCCGATGCTACCTACGTGCTTCTGGAACTCTGCAAATAGAACAGCCTGCGTTTCCACGCATTCCCCAACAGCTGAAGATCGCCCCCGTCTCGTCATTCGCCAGGCCATCTAGGTACGTCGTTCCAGATCGTGACGGTCCGTCGTTGCCTTCTCTAGTCGCCCACTTTTTGCTTGCGTTTTCCATTCTAAGTCTTGTCGTTGTCACTACTGCTGATGCTGTTGTTACTGCAATCCTTGTTACACTCACATATACTCTACGCAGGTTGACGGTCGTTGTTCTTCCAAGGTTGGATCTGAACTTCCAGGGCCTTTCCTACCAATATCGCAATTTCCGGAGCTTGAGCTTCTGACTTCATCGCCATGAATATCTCTGAATTTCATCTCATCTCGTTGTCATGGCCATGCATGCCCTCTCATTCTTCGCTACAAACTTTTCTAGGGCCAAAGGGACAGTATAAGCAGGATTGCGAAGATCAGCTTCGAAAGCGATATCATGTGTTCTGTGGGCGGCTGAGTATAGACTTGTAGTCAACCAAACCGGGTCTTGCTCAGGACCTGGATCTCAATAGCGTTGGTGATGGGATCCGCGTATGGGATGAGGATGCGTTCTTCAATCTTACCTAGGTAGTAGCCTGCAGCGCAATCTTTAGGTCGGTCTGGCAGATATTGGGGAAGACCATGGACGACTTGCTGTACGGAGCGAATCACTCTGCTTGGTGAGCTACCTCAGGCATAGACTGAATCGCCCGGCCGCGCTCTGCATCGGAGGTGGCCTCGCCCATTTCCTAGAAGAACCGAGCGCGCATTGTCTCACGAGTAGCGTCGTAAGACGGCATTACCGTGTATCAAGGGGTAGTGTGCTGATCTTGGCTTGCGACAACCTGAATAAACAAATATCGGAGAGAATTGATCGTGGTGGCAGTCGGTACGAGGGTGGCGTCCAAGTGGATCGCAGGATTGACAGAGGTAAGACGGTATTAGCGAGGGAGCAAACAGACTCACCGCTCTACTTGCTTGTACATGAGAGAAGGACTAAGACATATGGCGCTCGCGAGTGAACTGCTTCTCTTGTTTCCTGTATTCTTCCGATATCCGGCGCTGCAAGCAGGAATGTTATGATGGTCAATACATTCATTCCAAGTTCCTACTAAGCGAATACAGTTTACGTCTTATGTAGATGACCTTCCTGTCCTACTTGGCTGCCACTTTTTCGGTGCATCTCTTGGTGCCGCACTTGTGTTCGAGCAATCTCTAGCCTGCAATGCTTTTGCCAGATGGCCACTCACACATTCGCCGGGGGTCCGTCGCCTGCGTATATGTACAACGTGCATAGTACCCCAGTATACAAGTCCTGCTCGCTGAACAGAGAATATATTGCTATTAGAACGATTACGTAATCTTTCCAGCGGAAAGGCCCAATCATGATAGAAGTTGATGAGTTGTTCTGGTGTGGTAGTTGGAGAGCGGCGTCACACCAGAGATATTCGATACATGGCCAGAGCATTCCTAGAACTACAGCTAGAGCTGTCATGCGCAATCTTTTTTACGACAAGCTGACTTGTTTCACGTTCAGTAGCCATTTTTCGTTCTTCACTTCGAGGTCACGATCGCCACACCGCTCGACTTCTCAAAGAACGATCGCATACTCAGGAAAGATGGCAGCAGTGACATGTCTGACGTACATCGAACGATAGTCTACAGATAGCGATCGCAGCAAATCTCTAGAGCGTGGTCCAAGCCATTCGATATGAGCGCAAGTTGAGTTCAACACCAGCAGTCCAAGCATCTATGTCTAGAACATAATCAGCGGCATCAACGATCCACGATTGTTCCGATGCTTAGACATTGGACTGAATCGAAAACGTCTGGAAATCATTTGTGTATCCCTTCCCATGTACTTCAACTGGTCCGACCATAAAGCCAACTCATGCATACCTGTTGCAAAGTACAATTTGCGTAATAACTTTGATAGCCTCTCTATCTCACGCGACACGTAATAAAACTCCGGACCATGTTGATCGAAACCGTGCTTGTAGTAGTGATGGATACATTCGTATGCCTCCTGGACGTGGTCGAAATATGGTGGTGCTACCATTCTCAGCTCAAAGAGGCCCTCTTCCAAGCTCAGCTACACATTGTTAGGCGGGCGTAATCAGAAAAGGCTAAGGGGGTAGCATGTAGCGTACAATATTGTCATGAGTAACACAAAACTCGCAGCATGGACCTGCTGCGAGCTCTGAGAAGGCCCACCCTGGAGGTCGCAGGCTCCGAGACGATCGAGGATTGGTATAGCGCGCATGTGAATCTAAGAAATCAAAGCCGTTCGACCACCACGGGTATGTCTGATATGGCATTTCGTGTTCTCTTTGTTGATGATGCCCAACACACCAGGCTGTGAAATGATGAAAAGGCAGTGCGAAGACAGCGGTGAAGTAGGACAGTTGACTATGATATGGCTACTGTGTGCGAAGGACCTTATACTGCTGGTCATTGTGCTTGCTCACATCGCACGCTTAAAAAAAGCCCTGCTTCTTGCACCACCACAAGGATTGGCAGAGGGAAAAGGCAACCCGATTGTACCACGCAAACGAAGTGGCAGTGGTGAGACAGTAGTCATGCTCTGCACGTCAGTCCAGGATCAGTAGATGTGGACCAGGCGTTGAAGAGTGACATGATGTTGGAGAGTTGTTACGAGGCGCAGGGGTTTCGCAGCAAACAGCTTGACAGGCGCGTGACAAGATGGGTTAGAAGACTTTTGGTGCGGGACGCGCACAGACCACCACTTTACGCGTCGCGCGTGCTTCGTGTGCCGCTCAGCTCCTTCCATGATTGACGCTCTCACATTCTCGGCAATTGCAACGCACCCCTCGCACCTTCCCACAGCATACCCAAGATGGCCTCTACCGTTCTCGGCAAGAGGACTCGCAGCTCTGCACGTATAGAAGCTTCAGGTACGAGCCACGGCGGCTCTGGTCGCGGTTCCTCGGACAACACGTCCCTAACGCGCTCTACAGAGTCAAAATTAAACATCGCAACGCGCGCAAAGCGGAGGACTCAGTTCGTTATACACGACGAAGGGGAGATTGAGAATCCCTTCGTCACTCCCAAGAAGCAGAATGTGCGCGACGAGGATGCAATGGACGTGGATGAGCCCGAGGAGAAGGCGTCGATAAAACGCGGAAGGAAGACGGGCACAACTCCCGCAAAGTATGCCTCGCAATGCACACGACTCCCCACTTCAGCAGCCAAGGAGAACTCCCCGCAGAAGGCGCTTGTGGACATCCCAGAAAACTTTGCGCCTACTCCTTCGACACCGAGACATCGTGACGCGCTTGCCGGCAAAGTTGCCGTCACACCCAGGCACCGACTCATCATTCCCGGTCGACCTTTGACACCGCGCACACCACACACCCCAGGCACTCCACGAAACACAGGACCGACAATCTACAATGAAGCGCGTCAGGTGTTTGCAAGAGGCTCTGCCCCAACTGCATTGTTTGGTCGCGAAAACGAAAGGAAGGAACTCGATACCTTCATCACAACACGAACCAAGACCAAGACATCGGGCTGCATATACGTCTCCGGTCCGCCAGGCACAGGCAAGAGCGCTTTTGTCAACGATGTCTGTCGTGCAGTCTCGTCGGATGAAGCCGTTAGGACCGGATACATCAATTGTATGAGCGTCAAGAACGCCACAGATCTCTACAGAACCCTTCTAGAGGAGTTCATCGACATCACTGAGATCGCAGAGGGCGACGAGATGGATGCACTTAGGACTGTTTTCATGCAACGGAAGACATCTTACGTCGTTACGCTCGATGAAGTGGACCATCTGCTGGACTTGGACATTGAGCTCTTCTACAACATCTTCGAGTGGTCGTTACAGAAAGAATCCGGGCTTGTGCTAGTTGGCATTGCGAACGCGCTGGATCTCACGGATCGGTTCCTCCCGCGACTCAAGGCTCGCGGTCTCAAGCCGCAACTACTGCCGTTCCTCCCATACAACGCCACACAAATATCCTCTGTCATCACCTCAAAACTGAAGGCCCTTCTCCCACCAGGCTCAACCCAACTACCATTCATCCACCCAACCGCCATCATATTCCTCTCCAAGAAAGTAGCCGCCCAATCCGGCGACCTACGCAAAGCCTTCGACATCTGCCGGCGGGCAATCGACCTCATCGAAGCCGACACGCGCGACCAACACTTGAAAAAAGCCACAGAAATCACACCATCACCCACGCCCTCGCCCTCAAAGACCCCTCTAGTTGAAAAGGTCAACCTCTCCTGCTCAGCCGTGCGCTCACCCACCAAAACCAAAGACCTGAACAGCATCATCGCCGCCTCCCTGGGCTCCCTCACTGTCGAAACCGCACCCCGCGCCACCATTGCCCACATGGCCAAGATCACAGCAGCAGTATTCAGCAACGGCACAAGTCAACGTCTGCGAAACCTGAACCTCCAACAAAAAGCCGTCCTCTGCTCGCTCTCCGCCATTGAAAAAAGGAAGCGTGCCACCGCTGCCGACAGCATTCTAGCTACACCGTCGAGATCCCACACTACATCTCCTACCATCAAAGAACTTTTCGAAGCCTACACCGCGCTGTGTAAGCGAGAGAACATTCTACATCCTCTTACGAGCACCGAGTTCAGGGATATTGTAGGCAGTTTGGAGACACTGTCGCTTGTTTCTGCGGTGGAGGGTAAAGCTGGGTCGCTGGATGTTGGCGCTGGCACGCCTAGTCGCAGGGGGAGGGGTAAAGCTTTTCCTGGGGTTGTTGTTGAGGATCGCAGGGTTGCTAGCGTTGTTGGAGAGAAGGAGTTGGCGGATTCACTCGTGGGGCCTGGAGCTGGCATCCTCAAGGGTATCCTGGAGGAAAACTGAAAAGACGCTGTTGTTGTGCTTTTGGATCTGGTCGCATGGAATGGGGCTTGATTACGGATCATATTGTGACATCCTCGATTGAGGCTCTGTGTTTGTCTACTTGTTTTGCGAAGCGTGGCGCCAAAGTTTTTGCGCCTGCATCATCGCTCGTGTTATGAGCAATAGTCCTTTTAGCGTAGCATAGCCGACTTCATTCAGGGGCATAACAGCTGTACACCAAATATGCAGTACGATTTCAACACGATGCACTTTGATATGACAGTGATTCCCAAGATTCATCAATGGGTTAAAGACCGAACTTTTGTGCTTTTGCATCCTTTCATGTCTCAGAGGTTATGGTATCATTCATCTTCATCCCATCCATGCAGATCCGTGTATTCCAGTCTCCAAGACACAGGTCCTCAGACCTTGACGCCCCCTCCTTCCACGGCATCCTCTTTGCTCGCCTGGCTCTCTCCTTGTTGATCCGCTGCACCCTTCCCACCCTCTTCCTCCTCCTTATCCTGCCTCAACGTACTTGTCGGGACCTCACTCTCCATGCCCGCCTTGCGAAACACAGCCTGCATCCAACACCTATACATTTTCAACCTCCTTTGCCTATTAACCAGCATACGTCTATCAACGCCAATGTGCGCAACCTCAAAACCCGGTCTGGGGGTCTCGGGATCATTAACGTCATCATGACTCTGCTCTCTCGTCTGCGAATCCGGATCATGGAGCGACAGACTCTCAATCTTATCCGCGATGACGCCTTCAGCCTCTGTCTGGGATATTGTTGTATCCGCCACGTTGCCAACCGTCGTATCGCGTTTCCTGGCTGCTCCGCCCCAAATGTCCTCGAGCTCAGACTGCTCAAAGAAGTAAACTCGCGTGCCGTCGCCGCGGACGTAGAAGTTTTCTTCCATGTACCGGCCTTTTTTGAAGCGTACCTGAGCTAGATCGCCACGTCCGTAGTCGCGGAACAAGACCTGGCCGCCCGGCTTAAGGACCCGCCAGATATTGCGGACGGCTTGGTCCCATTGCTTGGGATTCAGGGCACTGAAGATGAATATCATAAGTACGACATCCACGCTGCCTTCTGTCAGTCCTGGAGGGAGACCGCCGTTATCAGAGTCGGGCGATGCGGCTACGTCCCACACGTCGGCTTGTATGCGTTCCGGGTCGTAGAGCTCGTGGTTACGTATGAGCTCGACTGCCTTCTTGGAGAAATCGCATGCGTGTATCTTCAGCCTCTTGTTTTGGCTCCTCTGCAGGATGGGAAACGCACTGTTGCCCGCTCCAGCGCCGACTTCCAACAAGGTAGCCTCTGGTCCGTCTTCTGCACCCAGCTCCTCTAGTATCGGAAATTCCTGCGCCAGCCATTTGCGGTTCTTGAAGAAGTTTGTCTTGTTGTTCTTGTAAAATTGGTTCCACCACTTCTCGGGATGGTCGTTGTAACGTTTGCGATCAAACTCGGAAACGGGCTCTTGCCGTTGTTTGGAATATTGTTCTTCGGAGAAGGCAAGGTAGTTGGAGTCGACGGTTACGTGGTCCCAGGCATTGAATTCGAAGATGTTGTCGCCTTCCTCAAGGTAGCGCGATCCGAATGCGAATGGATCACTGCGCTTTTGGTTGTTGCCAGGGTCGTGGGAGCGAGAGGGAGGCGCGCGGACAGGCTGTAGAGAAGCAGGTACTCCGTAAGCGTCGTTCTCGGGGCCTTGTTGCGTGGGTGGAGATGCGGCGTCGGAGGCTTCTGGTGGTGGCGTGGAAGTCGAAGTATGCGGTATAGGATCGACTGTGACTGCGAAGCGCATATGTTCCATTGCTTTGGATAATTGCTGTTTAGGCTGTGGCTTTCTTGACATGGTGTTGTCCGTCTGAAATCTGGAGTCGCCACTATCCTGAGGACTTGGGCCGTTCATGGCGTCTGTGTTTGCGCTTTCCATGGCATCCGTTTTCGCAGCCATGGCCGACTTTTGTTAGAGTCGCGTACGCGGGGCATGGGGATAATTCATGGAGGGGAAATTTCAGCCGCTAATGTCGAGAGGAGTTTAGCGGCCGCGGTCCCTGACAGCGTCATTGCAGAGCCGCATCTCCTAGCGGCGCGCGCCCACATTCAACTGAAGGTTGATGCGCTCATCGATTCTAGGCTCTCGGAAAACCTTAGGTATCATGTCGCGGTGACACTCTCAATACAACCTCCGCTGTCCACTGCTATAGATCCACAATGGCATCCTTGCGATCTGCTCGCCCATCGGTGCACCGCTACACGCGTCTTCCCCAGCGCCTCCCCCAACGGCGAACCTTCCTCCCCAACCCTTTCGAAGCACTAAACTCCGCCCTCCCATCTTCGTCCTCGCCACCTCAAATCCTGACCGCCGTGCGAACTCTCCCTTACCCCTCGGACCCTGTCTACTCCATCATAGCTGACGTACCCAACTACCAAAACTTCCTGCCCTACTGTCAACGCAGCGACATAACCAAGTGGTCGGCACCAGATAAAGTTCATGGCCGGCGGTGGCCGTCAGAAGGCATCTTGACGAGCGGCTTTGGTGGCATAACCGAGAGTTTTGTGAGTAGGGTGTATTGCATACCGGGACGCTATGTGGAAAGTGTAGGCGGGAACACGGAAACGAGCTTGAAGATTGACGATATCGCCCATCACTTGGACGGGGAGAAGCAAGGAACAGAGAGGAAACAAGGCGAAAATGGTTTGCTTACCCATCTACGGAGTACGTGGACTGTTGAGTCTATCCAGAACGACCAAACACAGGTTAGTTTGGCGGTAGAGTTTGCTTTTGCAAATCCCATGTATGCAGCCTTGAGTGGGGGCGTCGCGCCCAAGGTGGCAGAATTCATGATCAAGGCTTTCGAACAGAGGGTGCAAGAGCTGTTGAACAACAACCCGGACATGGCAAAAGCGAGTTTAGCGGAGCTGGATGGCAGTCGATTGAAGAGGTAGCACACATGGTCTTCATCAGAGGGCTACAGCAAATCCAAACGAACGGACAAACAATCATGTTCGGTCTGAGTGTGCATCAATCGCAATAACATTCTTCGTCCACTACTTCATGCTCTCGAAATACTTCTTGAATCGCGGCTCGCGCTCCAGATCACATCGCAGCACCGCGTCATAACAGCTCATCAGCAGCTGCGGGAACTTGACCGTCCAATATCTCAGATAGCCACTCGGCAATGGCCCCACCTTGGCCTTGATTGCATCCTCCATATCCTCGTAGTGGTTTTTCTTGTTCCTGAGCGCTCTCAACAGATCCAGCATCTTATCGCCCGTATACTTGCGCTGTTTTCCGAGCGAGTTGATGAAACTCTGGTCAAGTTTGGCGAGGAAGTTGCGTCTATGATCCAGTACGTCTTCCGAATATTCTTCCAGTACTGCCAGGTGTTCCGATGGCGGGTCTCTGGGTTCACGTTCCCAATGATCCGAGCAGTCGCACAGGAAATCAAGGCGTTTCTGATCGTCCCAGAAAAAGGGATGGTTCATGACTTGCAAGGCGTTGGGGCGGTCTTCGGGCCTGGGTCGTAGCATCCAATGGATGAGACGATGGGGCTCTACGGAATCCGCACCGAGAAGCAGGCGATCGAGATTGGACTTCTCTTTTTTGATGTTGTATTCGCGGATCTGCATCCAGCCTTCTTCGTCATCGAAAGGATGGCAGCCACCGGTGAGGACGTAGTAGAAAACACAGCCCAGAGAAAATATGTCAACGGCTCGCTTGACGCCTTGCGCAACCGGGTCTGTGGAGCTTGATGAATCGCGAGAGAAGCCTTGCGAGCTGCCGTTGGCCAACTCCTTCGGTTGCGAGATAAGCTCAGGCGCTTTCCAGCCAACCGTGCCTGCGTTGCCAGTCGTTCCGACAAGAGTACTGACGTTGTCAGGCAGCGTCTTACAGAGTCCGAAATCAGATATCACTAGCCGTACATCGTCCTTGGAGGTGATCAACGGCTGTGCAATCAGTATGTTCTGGGGTTTGATGTCGCGGTGAATGATGCGAAGATGGTGAAGGTGATTCAATCCAGCAGCGAGTTGGTACAGACAAGCTGCAGCTTTCCCGCTGATCTTGTTCACCAACTGCTGGTGGCTTGCAGAAAGTTCCTCTCCTGGACGACCGTCTTTGTAAAGGTCAAACAGACTAGCTTGGCAGAGTTCGACGGCGATATATAAGAAGTTTTCATCCCTCTCATCGTCAAAGTATCGAATAACGTTCGGGTGCGGGTCGCTGTTCTGTAATAGCTTCACCTCTTGCTCTGCCAGTCCAAAGTACTGTGGTAACATGCGTTTGACAGCCACCTTGACTTCCTGCAAAGAGAATTAGTATGAGATACTCATCGAGAATGCGTGGAAACCGTCATTGCTGGACGACCGACATGCTCAATCGTAACAGATTGACTTGTTCAACGTACCTTCCATTTACCCTCAAAGACAAACGTTCCTCCACTTCCGTTGCCAAGAAGACGATCTTGGTCGATCGTCAACTTGCCGATCCGTTTGATCTCGGAGACATTCTGTACATCACCACCACTCACAGTAAGTTCATCGGGTTGCAGGCGAGGCCCAACCTCGAGTTGCTTAGCTGCATCCACGATGCGATTTACCTCGTCTTCTTCTTTCTGTTGATTCTTGCTGAGCTTACGTCCACCACGTCTACCCCGATGTGCTTTCTTCTTCTTAGGAGTCGCGGGCGCGGCGGATGAGTCCTGCGAAATGTCGTCGATACTGCTAGTCATGGGTTGAGCATCCGCGTTGAGTGTGGAACCAGTCAAGGTAGGTTCGTCTTCACTAGGAGAGCCACGTTCGACCGTCGTGGTTCTAGAGAGAGGTGAAAGATCTTCATCCTCGTCATCGGGGACGTTGAAAGTCACTTTCTTCTCCTTGACTTCCTCAGCAACAGGGGCGACGATATCAGCCTCTACTACGTTTTCTACATTTGGCTTCTCAGGGACGACGTCCTCGCTAACAGACACTGTCAGAGGTTCCTGTTTTACAGGTTGATTGATTTCCGGCTCGGTAGAGGCAGACAGTGGAGTCGGTGACAGAGTGGCCTTGGCTGGATGCAAAAGTCTGTTGAGGTAGCTCAAGGAGGACTGTCGTACTGTTGGCTTCACAGTAGCTCCCAAAACGACAACAGCAATCATAAAAGAAACAAAGAGTGTGATGGATGCTTTTGCCGTCTGCGTTTGAGGCGGCCCTTCAATCGTTTGCTGTTGAGGGTTTTCATGAGGTGATGTCACAGGCGGATTAGACACAACTTGATCGTTCAAGGTTGGAGAGTAAGTCGTGGCGGCGATGCCTGGCAGTTGTGCCTGCTGGCTGGGGATCCTGTAGTCCAGCCTGTGGACACCAATAAGACTTCTCCTGTCCGGCAACACGTAGGCTGAGTCCCAGTCGTATGATACCTGGTTCTGCTTGTAGCAAGCTGCGTCGGGTGCGCCGTCGGTGACTGCGGGGTAATTGACTTCTGAAAGAGCATACCAAGCCCCCGATTCGGTCGTGTTGAGCAGGACGTGGTTAGCCTTGTCATCCGAGAAGATGGGGCCGGCTGGTTGTGGGAGCAAAACAAGGGGCGGCTCGTTTGACTGATCGTTCAGAGGTCGAGCGACGTCAAAGACACGTGCTACCGGGTAAGGCAGACGTTGCCTGTAGAGAGGACGCTGGTGCGATCTCGGTCGCTTGTAGTCAAAGGCAATGACTTCGCCGTTGTACATGGTATAAATGTACTGCTTGTCCAGGGTCTGATCGTACTGGGACTGCAAATCCTTGTCCCGGCTGTTTGGATTCCACTCTGCATATTTGAGCGTGCATATATGCTCGTTGGTCTTCTTGTTGTGGATGGTGATGGTGTACTGGGTCTGGCCAATGTCGATGATGCCACGGCAATCGCGTTCTCGAGTGCTGAAGAAGTTCTTGGAGTCGGGAGCGCAGCTATCGTCGTAGGGGAAGTTGCCGCCCGGAGTGAAGCTCTGCTTGACAATGCCCGAGGCGGCGTCGACGAGAAGCATGAATGTCTTCTTCTCGACGTTGTAGACGACAGGGAGCTCCGGGTCGTCGCTGGAGTAGGGTGCACTTTCGGCGAGCTGCTTGACTGTGACACCCAGGTGCTGTAGCTGGGGGTGGGGGCCTGGAGTGAGGAGATAGAGAGCTCCGTCCTCTCTAGGCTCGACGATCCACACAAAGGGCTGGTGGTGGGGGCTGGTCTTGTCTTGGGAGACGTTGTAGATGGTCTCCAACATGGGCCGTCCGCTCAGCTCCCAGATCTCCTCTCCGTTGTATCGGTCGCGTGCGTGGATATGGCCATCGACGGTCGCCAAGAGAACAAAGTCCTCAACTTCCCAATCCTGCAGAGAGCGCGCACTGGGGATGAGGCCTCCCGAGGCAGCGTATCTGGCAGGATGGGCTCTGACAGCACTGATGGCTGGAGCAGAAGGAACTTTGGTAGCTACGGCGCGCACATTCTGGTCGTTCAAGGGCGTGTAGGCATGACGTCTGTGGGCGTCGCCTACAGTGTCTTTGAGGCTGGGGTGTCCGTGGTGGGGTTTGATTGTGTTTGCATGCTGCACGTGCACCTTGGCGTAGGGAGACGTGTTGCCGACATGGTGGTCGAGTGGTTGCTGCTGCTGAGCTGCCACAAGCGTGATGATGAGAAGGGCGAGCGTGGTGAGCGTCGAGCCAGCACCGGGTGGCCGGCGCGGACGCGGCATGGCGGGTCGGTCGTGCGTCGATGAGTGGGAAGCCTAGGGAAGGCGGCGAGAGCAGGGGTGATGGAGCATCAGTGGGAGGTGATGAGGTTTGGGCGGAAGAAGAAGAAGGCCTGTGGCAGCAGTGATTTTGGCCTCGATATTAACCTGCGGGGGCTGCTGCAACTGTCTGGGCGTGCGCCGTAAACTGGGGGTCTCGCCGGGGCCTCGTCAGCCAGCCCGCCCACTAAACTCTTTGCCGACACGCCCGCCTGTTTCCCTTGTTTTAGCACCAACCTTGGCCCGTCGTCTTCTTACCAAGTCCGACTGCCATTCGAGACACCAACATGAAACAGATGATGTGAGCACTGCTTCTTCACTCCACATTGACACGACCAAAGGAAAAGCCTCGTCTTCATCACGTTCGTCTGGATGCATGCATGTCTTTCATAGTATACACTCTATCTAGTGTCCAAATCCTTGACGACATCATGCTTGCTCGTCCCACCCTTACATGCGCTCACGTCTCCGTGGTGCGCTTCGGATGATGTTGTCTACTCGCAGCAGCAACTAGAGTCGTGTTAGTTCCTTGCTCGAATCATGCGTATTGGGTAGACTTACCTCTGCAGCCTCTGATGCTGACGACACCACCGCGCGCTTCAGCTTGTAGCTCTCAATGACGCCAAGCTCCCTCATGTCCGTAATGCCACCTCCAGGGGACAAGAGATCCAGACCTGAGCTGGTCAAGCCCGAGTAGACAGCTTTCCGGAGACGTGTAACCAGGTCGCTCGAGTCGAAACCAGCGTTGTCGGCCAAGATGGTGGGTAGTTGTTGGAGCGCCTTGGAGAAGGACTCGACAGCGATAGCCTTCTTGCCAGCCACGTTTTGTGCCGCTTCCGCTACGGCCTTTGCCATGTTCATCTCGGCGCAGCCACCACCCAGCGTTGTCCTTGGCTCTTTGATCGTCTGTGACAGAACGGCAAGTGCGTCGTGTAGCGATCGCTCGGCCTCGTCGAGAAGTTGCTCGGTTGCACCGCGGAGGACGATGGTGCATGCCCGCCCGGCATTGATGCCCGAGAATCTGATCAACACATCCTCTCCGATGATGACCTCTTCGACTAGATCGCAGTGGCCAAGCTTGACGTTTTCTGGGTGGTCAAAGGTCGAAGTGATCTCTCCACCAGTGACTAGGGCTAGGCGCTCAATGCCGTCAAAATCGGCATGCTCGATGGAGCAGATGCCAGCATCCGCGAAGAGTTGCTCTGGCCAGTTGTAGATGAGCTGTCGGTTGACGAAACAGTTGATGCCGTGTGCCTTGATGCGCTCAACCTTGGCCTTCATCTTCTCGCGCTCAGCCTTCTCCAGCTCAGCGAGCTTGCCTGTCGAGTCGACCTTGACCCGTGCACCGAAGATCTTGATCTTGTCTGTGTCCATGGCTGTGTTGGCAACCAGAATCTTTGCGTTTTCTATCCGCTTTGGTTGGTTCACACCGAACTTCTTGTCCAGGATGAATCCCTCGTCCAGGTACGAGTCCTTCAACTTTCCGCCAGCCTTTTTGATGATCTGAATGTGCGTGAGGTCGGTCGATCCCCCCAGCTTGAGGACGGCGTCGACGGCAAGTTTCGCAAACTGTTGTCGGTCCTGCGAGAGCACTTTTGAGCTCAGAGTTGTTCGGGCAATGGCCTCGAGATCTTTCCTGAAAGCCTGCTCGTCGCTGCTGTGGTCCACGGCGATCTTCTCCAGGGCTTTGAGAGCCGCAGAACTTGCTATCCTGTAGCCCTCAATGATAGTCTGGGGGTGGATCTTCTGGTCGACCAGCTTCTCGGCCTCTCGCAGCAGTTCGGCGGCAAGGACAGTGACTGATGTCGTTCCGTCGCCGACCTCGTCATCTTGGACTTTTGAGATGTTGACCAAGACTTTGGCAGCGGCGTTGTCGAGGGCAATCGCTTTGAGGATGGTAGCGCCGTCGTTTGTGACCATGATCTCGCCGGTAGAACTGGAGACATGTCAGTGCAGGCATCATATGGCGGGGCAGGAGGCGGCACCTACGCAGACTGTAATATCTTGTCCATGCCCTTGGGGCCCAGTGTGCTCTTGACCAAGTCTCCGACGGCGATGGCTCCTACAAAGGCCGAGAGACGCGCATTCTCGCCCTTCTCCTCTGTGACATCCTCCGCAAAGATCTGGGTGGGGTTGGACTGCGTGCGAGTGAGTGCTTTTGTTGCTTTTGCAGCGAGGCGTGCGACATACCATCTTGGACGCACTCGTAAACAGGCAAAGAGGGGTATCTCGGAAGGTGTGGGGTTGTTGGTTTGTGGTGCCTGAACGCGACTTTTTTCTCGACCTGCCCGCGTTGAAGCTGTGTTTGCCGTGTTTGCGCCCGGAGCTTCCCCGGCCAATGGTTCCACCGGCGCCCGTGACCTTTTGGAGGCCTACAACTTTCGCTGCCTCACCACTCCAATTGCGCGAGCAGCTGTATTCGACCTGGACTTGTAGCTCCTTCCAGCTGCCACTCGACTGCCGTATCCTCGCAACACTTTTCCCTGCGCAAAATGTCCAAGCGACCGGCGCTAGAACCTCTCGAGGAAATGTACGACGCGCCGTCTCCAGCACCAAAGCGCGCCAAGGTCGAAGATGAAGACATGGAGAGCCCTCAGCCCCATGGCGCGACTAGCAATGGTCATCTCATGTCACCGCGCGAGCAAGACCGAGGCAAAGTAGACATCACAGGCGCATACGACGAGGAGCATGCCCAGCTTGAAGAAGCCGGCGCATTAAACGACGACGATGACGAGCCCGCAATCGCTGCGCCGAAACGCCAGACCGCCCCAGAGGCCGGCTACACAGACCTATACCTTGATACGATAAATCGCAAAGTCCTCGACTTCGACTTTGAGAAACTATGTTCCGTTACCCTCTCCAACATTAACGTGTATGCCTGTCTAGTATGCGGCAAATACTACCAAGGTCGCGGCCCTAAATCGCAGGCATACTTCCACGCGCTGGAGGAGGGCCATCACGTATACGTCAACATGGAGACAAAGAAGGTCTATGTGCTCCCAGAGGGCTACGAAGTGACGTCCAAGTCGTTGGACGACATCAAGTTCGTTGTGGATCCGCGTATGAACAAAGAAGAGGTTGCGAAGCTAGACAAGGAGCCCAAGGTATCATGGGACCTCTCCAATCGAGAGTATATCCCAGGTTTCGTTGGTATGAACAACATCAAAGCGAACGATTACTTCAATGTTGTGATACAAGCTCTATCTCATGTTTCTCCTTTGCGGAACTATTTCATGCTAGAAGATTTGTCGACTCGACCGCAGCTCGCACAGCGCTTTAGCACCCTCGTCCGCAAGATTTGGAACCCACGGGCCTTCAAAACCCACGTCTCACCCCATGAACTCCTCCAAGAGATAGCTCTTCGATCATCAAAACGTTTTACTCTCTCTGACCAGTCAGATCCCGTCGACTTCCTCTCATGGTTCCTCAACAATCTTCACCTAGCAGTCGGCGGCTCGCGAACAAAACCCAACAGCAGCATAATCCAGAAAGTGTTCCAAGGCACGCTGAAGATCGAGCAACAAGAAATTACTGCGCGTGCTGATGCCGGCGATCGTCTCCGCTTCGAAGACGCCGCCGTTCAAACCGAGATATCACGTTTCCTCGTGCTAACCCTCGACCTACCCGCAGCCCCTCTGTTCCAAGACGCCCTCGAGAAGAACATCATCCCACAGGTCCCTCTTGTCAATATCCTTTCAAAATACAACGGCGTGACTCCACAAGAAAAGTCAAAGAACCGCGTTCGCTACCGCCTCCTACACCCCTTACCTCCTTACCTCCTCTTTAACATCAAGCGCTTCTCCAAGAACAAATTTGTCTCGGAACGGAATCCAACCATCGTCACGTTTCCCGTACACTCTCTTGACATGTCACCGTACGTCGAGCCGAGCCAAGACTACCCTCCCGGCGAGCCTATCTGGTATGATCTTGTAGCCAACATCACTCACGAGGCGGTTAAGAAAAAGGATGATAGTGTCGAAGGTGAGCAGGAAAGCAAGGTTTGGAGAGTGCAGGTCAAGGATCGAGCGAGAGAGGAGTGGTACGGTATTCAAGATTTATATGTTGAAAAGGAGAGGGCTGAGACATTGTTTACCAAAGAAGCATATCTCATGGTTTGGGAGAGGAGAAAGGGGCAGAAACCAAAGGGGCGGTAGGCAGAGGAAGTGGTGGCGGTCTTGTGTGAGTATTTTAGGGAGCACAATTGGAATATCGTCTTGTCGAGGAATCAATACAATGACTTCCTGCGCTAGGATTTAGTATCGCAGATGAAGAATGTCAGCCCCCAGTCATTCGCAGCACTCCTCACATGGAATATTGCTACTCCAGATCTGACCCGACCACATCAATTTCGAAATATCTTGAAGCTTAACACTCAGCCAAAATCTACCCGACAGAACCCACAAGCTAGCCGGATAGACTTTTTCTTGAGATACGTGCTGCTGTCAGGCATCATTTATCATAGCAGAACCGCTCTCATACCACGTTTCTAAAGTCAACAAGAGGGCGAACGAGAGGAAGTCAAAATCTACCTTTAGGCCGTTTATATCCATCTCTATACACGCACACATGCCGTTTCGCACTTGCCATCCCCACCTGTTCCTGAGTATCTCATGCAACCAAACAAAAACAAAAACAAAAGGGGTGAAAGAACAACTCTCACCACATGATTCCCTTCCATTCGAACTGGCCGTCGATGTTCCTCCACTTGCCCTCCTGCACAGCACTTCCCCACCCCATCATAACAGCCAGCAATCTACAACTCGTACTACTAACTGTGCAAACCACCGTATCCGCCTTGCTCAACACACTCAAGTCGAGCAGATATGCGCGCCCAACAAGCTCCCTCAGCTTCATTGCACTCTCAGGAACAGCAGAATTTTCCTCATTGACCTTCTTCATGTCCTCGGCGTTGCCAACAGGTTGTCCCAAAGAAAAGAAGACGTCGCGATAGAAGCCGCCTTCCCACCCCGTAATCTCGTCGATCCACGTGTTCTTCTTCGGCTGGGATTGCGCGGCTTCGAGAGCGGCTTTTGTGGCGAGGACAATGCGGTCTTGTGCACGAACACTGTTAGGACCTAGTTCGGGGGAGTCATAGACGAGGGGGTCGTCAGAGGCGAGTATCATTTTCGAAGTTGTATGGCGGGGGGTGAGAGAGTCGGTAGAGAAGGAAGAGAAGGGAGAAGAGAGTAGACTGCGTTTGGCCATTTTCTTCTTTAGTCCGCCTTCGACAAGATCGATGTAGAGATCGCGGGCTGTGTCGACGTAGCGGGCTAGCGGGATGTAGTCCTTTTGGTACTGGTATTCCATGGGGTGCTTGTCGCCGTGGCGGACGTGCATGGCGATGCTGAGGCCGCCTTCGCTCTTAACTTCACCGTACATTTCTAGCGCTCGTTGGAGGACGTAGGTTTCGTCGTCTGAGCGAAGTTTAAAGAGGGCCTCATAGCCTGTTCGGGCGAGGTTGAAGATTTTCGATTGGCGTTGCACACCCATTTTTGTTGGATCCTCCCATTCGTCTGTAAAAGCATGTCCAAAGGTGGATTTCAACGTCGCTCCGCTGACGACGATGTGTCGGGCAGTGTGAGGACAGGGGACGATATGAGATGGGGGAGGAGGGAGACAGTTTGCGGAAGGGGGAGGCTGGAAGTAAGAGGAGTACTTGCCATACGGCCTGGCGGTAGTGTCAGTGTCAATCATCCGGTAGTCAGAAATGTAGATACATACCAACGAGTGTCATCAACGAAAAAGGCGCGCTTCTCGGCTTTCGCCAAACCATACGACATCCACAGACGCATCAGCGTGTTGCCAAAACCTGCGTCCTCCGTTTCCATGACATATGTCAAAGTCCTGTCACAGACCTTGAGTCCTTCCGTAGAGATACCATCCCGGATAGCCTCGTCCTCTACGAAGCTTTTGGGTCTTCCAGCAGCCTTGGATGGTGGCAACAGTCCTTGTTGTTCCGCTTCCTGGACATCAATGTAATATTGGTCTTGTTGATAGTAGTTCAACATTCTCTTCGCAAAGCCAGCCGAAGCCTTCGCTTCCTGCCTGATTTCTTTCGAGACTTCCATAGATTGATGGCAGATATCACGGTACTGCGCCGGACGAAGCGGGAATTCATAGTCGGATGGTATGGATACAGTCCACCTCATCTTTCCCTTTGCGTCCTGCAGCGCAAGGGCGACAGGTTCATGAGGTAACTGACTGCCACCAACCATCTCCCATTCTTCTTCGTTGCCATCCTCATAAGTGGCCGCTCCTTGCGAGTTGGCATATATCTGCCTCAACACAATCCATAGTAGGAACGCTACACCGCAGCAGCCTATCAGTATTCGCTTGACCAATTTTGAATGACTCGGCTGTGTAGTCTTCTTTCCATGCTTTGGCAGCAGACTAGGAAGGCTCGGACTCGGTGGTGGGGATCTCGCAAGTAGGCCACGTCTCGAAGGGACCGTGGGAGAGAGGAAAGCACTAGAGGTAGCAGACTGAGGTGGCGGGCTCAGTTGTGAATAGTGCGCTGTCGACTGTATAGACAGGTTCGGATTCCGTCTAACATGCATCTTGGAAAGCTTCTTCGCAGCCTGGTTTAGCATGTCGAATGCGAGACACCTGGTAGACTGATGTGATGGGCGTGCGCGTCGTCACCGCTCGTGGAAAGAGGGAGAATGTAGGGTACGGCCAAGTCGAACGGCTTTCTGCAGTGCACAGTGCTACAGTGATGACGAAGCTGTAATGCCGATATATGCAGGTAGGTAAACGTCACCTCTGACCCTGCAGAGAACGCTCCAACAAGCAAGTAAAGATGTAATAGTAGTCAAAGGAGGGGACGTAGGCACCGCCTATCAAACAAGCAAAACAGGTACAAGAAAAATAAAGTACAAGAATGTATAACTCAATCCCCTCGTTCGTCCAAGATACGAATCAAAGGAAGAAGGAGTAGAAGGACGTTCAAGAAGCCGTTCGAAATGGCGGGCAAGGCTAAGGCGTGTCTTGAAGAGAAGGCCCCTCCTGGTGCACGACGAGTTTCACAACCAGAAACAATCCGATGTCCGAGCAGGATCCCGCCGTAAAATGATCTCCATCAAGGAGCGCCCGAGAGTCCCTTGCACAGCGGATAAAGCCAGTAAGCGGCCCAAGGGTATAGAAGCGACGACTCGAGAAGCGCTGCGGAGACCAAGATAGGATCGAAGGTAAGATTGCAGAGATCGCACTTGCTTGATCCAGGAAGGTTACAGCGAGAATGCGGAAGGCGCAGGAGGGGACCTCATTTTGTCGCATGGGCGCAGGCCAGGGCGTCGTTGTTTCAGAATGCCCCTCTAGTGCAACGTTGTTGACGCACTGGTGCTTAGTCGACTGACCGCGCTCCGGCGCTAAACGCCTTTGATGCTAGAATTGAACAGCCAAAACCACATGACAGTAACACCACACCAATGGTGGCTTGGGATCTTTACAAAGGTAGGCGGCTGATTCGTTTGCTGCAAGTTTAGGGTAAAGGGCATGTAGTCAGATGTATATGCACACGTATTAAAGGAAGTTTGCTATTTGAGAATGTCATGCTAGACATGCAGTAAGACGGCAGCTGGCAATCAACCTTAAGATCCCGAGGCACGGCAAGTAGGCTCTGCTGTGCCGTACACCACGTACTATAAACAACTTCGGAGTATCTATAAATTGCTAGCATGTTGACTCCCTGGAATCCTACGAGAGACGACCATGTAAAAAGTACCTAGGTTAGATAGCAGCTGTATGGTCTCCTTCAGGATCCCGAGGCACGACAAGTTTGTGCCCCACACCACGTAATATGAACAAACCTCGGAGTACATATCTGCAAATTGCTAGCATGTTAGCGTCTCAAAACCCTGCAGATGACGGTGCTCACAATCACTAAGGTAGCGCTTATCGTATTGCGTATAGACCTCGAGACGTTGTGCAACCAAGTTGTCTACACATCAATACGGCTTGTTAAAATCAGATCACACAAAAACACACAATCTCGTCGAGAACAAGGTGTGAAAGCCTTCATCCATAGCTCCCACATTGTATTCATTAGCGCGAAAAGAACACATTTCAACGACAAGCTATGTAAAAGATGGGGTGGGGGGTTTGGGTATCAGATCGAAAGTCCCTCGGTCGGCACAGGGGAAGAAGATGAAGAGAATAGAAAACAAGAAGAAAAAAAGTAGTAGTGTACAAAATCCCCTTCCGCCAGGAGGGCTCGCCATATCGCAAATGTGAATTAAACAAGCAGCAGCAGTAGCAGCAGCAGCCAGAAAGCCGCCCCCCTTGGATATAACCCATGTGCGTAACATAAAAATCCCATGTACGGCTATTTGCGCCGAATTTTCCTACCAGTCCATGTGCCTGGTGGCTCAAATCATTACTCCGTTTCCCCGATTAAACGCCTGTCGCTAATGTCTTGTCCCTTTGTGAATGAACATGTTATTTGCTGGATGGGATTGGGAAAAGTGCAAGTACGATGCCACACCCGCGCGCCGCTCGTTGCTGACGTTCTCGCCTCATCCTCATTACTGTACTTCGTTTCATACCCGGTTGAACTGGTTCGTTTGTTCGTCTAAGCAAGAATTCGTCCCTGACTCTCACCGTCTTCTGCGTTGGGTAAGATCATGGTCCTTCGGTGACTGGTCTGAGACTGCTTCGCCTGGCAGTCTTTTCAACGCGACCAGTAATCATCTCGTCTAGCATACGCGTCATCTCCTCGATATTCTTGGTAGAGCCGTTGGTAACTGGAGGGGGTAGGAAGGGCGTCTTTACACTGAGTGCAGGCGACGTTGGACCTTTCGGTAAACTAATTCCGCTACCATCACTGCCGCTGCGCTGATAACCCGAGGTGCGCCGGCTGCCTGGTGACTCGCTGCCCATCTCATGTGCAGTGTCGTTCTTCTTGCGAGCTGATGTGAGGGCGCTGATCATGCGCTCCTTATCCTCAAGTTGTGCGCGCAGGTTGACGATCTCGTTGTCTCTCTCGGCAAGAGCCGCGATCATACCACCCTCCTCACTATTTGTGAGCTTGTGTGACAATGACATGGAAACACGAGAGTGGCTCGATCGCCGAGCGTGCAACAGGCGCTTTTCAAGGGTAGCGATGTAACGGTTCTTATCCGCAAGATCAGCCTGTAGTGCTTGGATCTGCACTGTCTGACTCGCACTACCGTCTCCGTTCTCCCCAACCGAATCGTCTTCCTCAGAGCCGTCCATGTGGAGGTGTGGTGTGCTTTGTCTTTTACCGGGAACCTCGAGGGTAGCATGGCTAGCAGAAGAACGAATAGAGCTTGGGCGCATATCGTGGTGGTTGGTGCTCATGATGGAGCCTCGCTGGAAGCTCATTGAAGAGAATGATCGGCCATTGTTGACACCGATAGACTTGGAGCTCAAAATCAGCCTATTGAGATGCTCGATCCGCTCCTTTAGGGCAGTCCGGGCTAGTTGCATCTCAAGCATCTGCTCTTCATGCCGCTGCTTGTCTTCCAGTTCGCGCGCCTTTTCTTCCTCTTTGTCTCTTTTCAGCTCGTCATCTTCTTCCTCCTTGGGTTCTTTGTTTTTGCCTTCAGCGAGCTGCTTCTTGAGTTCTTCAATTTCCAGGCGGTAGCGGTCTAGAAGCGCTCGACTTCCTGCGTCCCCACCAGCACCCATAGATTCGTCGGCCTTCTTGGCGTGGCTGACAATGTTGTTCTTGGCTCTGGAAGCGAATTTGAGAGTATTCAGCGTCTCACCTGTGTGGCTGTTCACAGCAGCAGGACTACCACTGGCTCCGATCTGGATTGTACAGAGAATGCTGACCAGCGAGTTACCGGAGAGGGCAGGTTGAAGAAGTCGGGTCAGTTTGCTATCTCGGTATGGCAAATGTTTGTCGCCCTTGCCCTTGTCCTTCTCAGACTTGTCTTTATCGGAAGCCAACCGGCCAATGACTGTACCCAAAGTAAGCAAACTCTTGTTGATATGGGAACCCTCAGTCCGCCTTTCTTTGTTATCAGCCGCCTTTTCAGAACCAGCCAAATCGATTAAACTGAGCGTCGAGACACGGACACCACCAGGGACAATGGCTGACCGTTTGTCGCCATTTACCGCTGGGCCGGGAGCGCGCTCTCTACTCTCAACAACAATCTGGACCACGGCGTGACTTCGGGAACTGCGCGCGTTGAACTGGGTACCTGCCACCTTTCTTGAGTTGTCACCTCGTGCAATAACCCTCAGGAGTTGCGTCGGGCTCTGCACAATTTCCTCCTTTAGTGGCGACGCATAGACGCCACGTTTGCTGTCCTCGCGAAGCTTGATCTCTTCGACGGGCCCAGTCTGGCCGTTCATGCCTACAACGGGTCCCGCTAGCAGGTCGATGATCTTCTCATTGTAGATTTCAATGTAACTGACTCTAAGAAGAAACTCTCGCTGAGGCGTCTCACGAATGTAAGAGAAGATATCGGTGATGGCGAGTGGTATGACACCAGGATTTGTTGCGGTTCCTTGCATAGAAAACGTCTTGCCGGTTCCAGTCATTCCGTAGGCGAAGACGGTGCCGTGGTAGCCCTCCATGACCCTCCGGACAAGTCGTTTGGCTGCAGCATCGTATACGCGGGCGTTGTTGTCTTGGGTATCGAATACGTTGTCTATGTCAGACCAAATTAGCTCCAGCTCAGTCCCCCTTCACCTCGCTATGCAACCATACCATATATGTAGTCTCCGCCCTCTTTGCCTTTGTAGGCTATCAGTGCGCGCTTATTGTTGACCTCCCACTCCAAGTCGTGTTTGTTGTCTTTGGCCCCAGCATCAGGCCGTACCCGAACGCTGACGATGACATTGCCTTTGCCGTCCTTGTGTACCTTGCCATCTGCGCGTCCGTCTTCCCCTTCCTCGAATGTGGTTGCGCTGGTTGCGTACGATCCCTGGGGCGAAGAGTTGCGGCTCTGCGGTGGTGAGGGAAGACTAAGGTGGGCTGTCTCTACTGTGACGGAATCTGCGCTTCCATTGAGTAGACTGGGGGGTGACAGGGGCGATTTCGGTAGTAAACCTCGCGCTCCTCCAATATTAGAGCTTCGCGGCTTCTTGAGGCTGTTATTCCTGGAAGGCGTTTGACCCTTGGATATTGACGACACTCTCCGATCGACCATGTCTCCTCCAGGCGTCGAACTCGTCGACAGCGGACTGGTTGGATTCGATCGCCCACCATGTCTGGGTGGTTGCGGAAAGGAACCGATGCTGACTGTCTTGCGCAGCGACTTTCCAACGGGCAGCGATCCGGCGGCACCTGCCTCGGGTGGGAATGACGGCACGGACGGCGATGTGAGGTGCTTGGAAGTTGGCCTGTAGGGTAGCGACGACGAAGACACAGCGCGTGTATTGGCGGCGCCTGGGAGCAACGAGGCTCGCGTCGTCGGACCGACATTGGAGCTTCTTTGCTTGGGGACGGGCAGCGAGGGCAAGGGACCGGTGGGAGGAGCAATCGACGGCCGCGAGGGGCGAGGCAGCGAGTTGGCCGACATGGTGATGGGGGTGGCGCGTATGTTCGAGTGCTACTGCAGGCTGGAAGGGTGCTGGCGCTGCAGTGTTTGGCCCGATTGCCTTTGTTTTTCCAGGTGGCCTATGCCACAGTGCACATGTCCGGCGTGGCCCTCCAGTAGTCGTGACGGGAATTCGAACAGGCCGGGGAAGCAGTCTGAGCTGGCTGTGTATTGCGGGGAGGGGAGAGGCAGGCTTGGTTGGGTGTGCGTCAGTCTCAGACAGACAGGCAGGGACCTGGATGCGGGAAGCAAGCGCGAATGTAATGCAGCGGAGACGGGTAGGTGCAGTGGAGACTGCCGTTCGACGCAAGAGGCTGGAGCGCGCTCTGGCAGACGTCGAGGGCGTCGAGGGCGTCGAGGGCGGAAGCGAGGGTGAAGATGCGATACAACAACACTCGGCGTGTCTGGGTAAGAGGTCGGCAGCAGTGTGCTGGCGTGGTGGGGAAAAAGGAGCGGTGATGGGATGGATGGTAGGATGGTGGCCGCCGAAAAGCCCAAGCGTGGATATCCCCTGGGACTCGGTGCATGTGCAGGGGCCCGACAAAGGAACGACCGACGAAAACTCCGTGCAAAGCAAAGAACGAGTGGGAGGCGGCAAATCGCTCTCGACGGCTGCGCTGTGGGGACGGCTGAAGAAATCAGACACAGGACCCTCTCCCGACCCTGAGAAAGGGTGGAAAAGGGGTTCAATCGTCAACTCTTGGTGGGTTCAACTTGTTCCCCCCATGTTGCCTCTACACACCAAAGACGTTAGCCCTCCGCCAGCCTCAGTCCAAGCGTACATATCCGCACCCACAGCTGCTATCTGCAGACCCTTGCCCGGCTCTGTTCGCGTAGCATTCCGGCTATATACCATTGTCCTATGGCACCAGTCCTCTGACCACCTTTGCCTAACCCTCTGCGCGCCATCTGGCCTTGCACCAGCGCGCCGTGCGCACTGCTACTCTATCTGAATCTCACGGTTTTTCTGGTAGCGACGTTTCTGTAGTGACGGCTTGCGTCAACGGTATTTGTAAAGCCCCAGAGGCGATCCCTGCTGATCCGCCCCTGCACAGGCAATCATGCCGACCATCCTTCGCTTCTCTGCCCCTGCGGCATGCCATTGCTCTACTACAGAACCATTCGCAATCTCCGTGTCACAAAGCCTTTGTTGACCAAACCTCGACGTCGCATCTCGCTCCCCCAATCAGTCGTGCTAGTTGCGTTGCATAGCGCCAGCCTCGTGAGACGAACGCATTGGCGCTGGCGGGAGGACCGCCACATTGCACGTGCTGCCGCGTTTGCCTTCCGAGTCACCATCATGTCTTGCAAACGTCTGCCGGCAATCTTCCTCTGTGCGCATGCCCCAACAAACATGATCGATCCGCTCAAACGTCTGTCCACTTGACTCGAGACCGAGTATGGCCCATAGCGGCGGTGACCAATAAAAAGCCAACCCACTGGAATCGTAGGGACGCTGCTGTGCACTGCTTACTACTTCTTCTTCTTCTTCTTCGGAGCATTCTCCATGCCGGCAGTCGAGTCTAGTTGCTCGTGAAACGCGCAAAGGTACCACCCTACGGCCATTGCATCGGGTGTTAGCGAGCATGTAGACTTCAGGAACGTCCCGCCTGAGTGGTAAGTCCAAGTGCAATGCAAGAGCATGTCACTGGTGCTGACGCTGTATACGAAGCGAGCGACTCGCCTATAGCGTACCCCATCCGAAGACACTCTGTCCAAACTTTGTAATGGCCTGATATTGCATTCCCCACAAACTGAGATCGATAGCCAACTCGAGTGCACCACAGAGCGCTACGCGGGAGAGCTGGGTGCCAATGTTCCGCCAGCTCAAATCGCCATGGAGCTCTAGTGGATTCACAATGCGATGTGACCCCGCGTATCCGCCTTGGCTGGCTAGATGGTGTGAAGCAATCATTCGCAAAGTAACCATCCTAAACGGAAGCATGGCAAGACCGACAAGCTGAGCTCTCACCATTGCACTGATCATCTGCGCAGGCTCACACGAAAGTTGGGATACGCGGTGGTATACATGGCCGTCTATTGAGCGTGCTCGGTCCCGCGGCTCCACAGCTGCATCATCTCGCGAGGAACCCGAGGCTTCTGTAACACGAGTGTGAGTGGAAAGTATCCTAGGTGGTAGGCGGACTTCCATCTCTACGATACCTTCCCTTGAAGTAATGCGTATTCGCGGATCGTTCTCGTTTTGCTCGGATTCTGTTGGTGATCCCGGTGGAGTTGTGGATCGTATCAAATCTTGGAACGCATCTATTGGGATTGTGATTACATCTGCGTCGAGCGGCTCTGTGACAGGCTGGTCTTGGGACTGGAGCACGGGAAGATGCAGCGGGGTAGCGTTGATGACTTGAGTACCACCGACTTCTATTGTCTGGCCATTGTTTGAAGCAGCCGTGGTTGCAAGCTCGATGGTCCGCTTCTGTTGTGTGTTTGGAGAGGAACTTGGAAGAGCCCAGCCGAGCATTGCAAGTAGGCTGTGAATGGCGTTGCGAATAAGGGTTGGTGACTCCCGCCGCAACCCGAGCACAGTCAAAGCACGGTCTTTTCCGTTAACATCTCGGCTGGGTACGTCAGGCTTGTCAGGGCGGATGACGGCTGTCTCGACTGCTTCATAGACACAGGCATAAATCCAGCGTTCAATGGCATGTTCAGCACACAAAAGGACAAGGGGTGAAGTCAGCACTGCTCCAATACATTCCGTGATGGAACTGGACGCATCGTATCGCACAGAAAATGGTAGCAGAGGCGATGAGCTTGAAAAGGGAATGAGACATGTCCATGTTGGCAGTAGTGGGCGAGCGGGCACCAGACCAAGGCGCTGCAAAGCAGCGTGGTAAAAGAAGGGGTAGCACAGAACCTCGAGGCCCAGACGAAGACTAACGGGGTTAACGAGAAGTAGGAAGGCGAAGGTGAGACCTACCTAGACTTGATGGCTTTCTTGGCTCGTCGGAAGAAGTGGCGGGTCTTTGGGCTGGCACGTGTCGCATACAGCATACGCTCGACGGGCTGATAGACAAAAGTGCTGTACACGATGGCCTGGATGTTCATGGTCGCAAAGACGCGAGAGAAGAAGCCAGCATAGACAATCGAAGTACCAGAGAGGGCACGCTCCGAGGCTGCGATGTGGCTGAAGGCAAGGGCATGGGGATAGCGAAATGTCAGGATCCTCTCCCTGATTGAGCCTATCCACCACGTGCAAAGGTTCTCGGTAAGGGTAGTCGCCAGCGCAATGGCGTTTCCAACCGTATCCTCGGCTTCGAGCAGCTCGAGACGCTCTACGCTGGACCCTGGGAAGGCGTCGGCGGGAGAGTGTCTGCGCTCGACGACGCCGACAGACGCGAGCACATCGTTTTGGGCGCCTCTGAGTTTCTTGCCATACTGGTGGGAGCGGGGGTTGATGGGGTTGCCGCGCTCGTCGTAGAGCTGGACGTAGTTGTTGGCCGTGGCCTCGTGGTAACGTTGTGGAATCTCGGACTGGGACGATTCGAGCTGGACGTATTCGGTCGACTGCGAGGCGGATTGGGTGGGCTCAAAGGCAGACCGTCCCTAGCAAGCGTGTCAGACATGTCCTTGAGCATTGCGCGGGCTGGCGGCGTGTGTACGAAAGCGATCTTGTCCAGGTAGGCTTGCCGGCCCATGGTGGTGCTGACAAGGTTCCGCTTGGATCAGGTGGACGCAGTAGAACAAGGTGGCTGCATCTTGAACAATACAATATAGGCGCATGCTCCAGAAGCCGAGTTGGCGGTCGGAGGGACACGCGCCGGCGCCAAACGTCAGCGCGCGTGGCTTGCGACTGCCGTTATCGATAAACTTTTTTCCTCGAGCACTTTGCGACACTTCCCTCACCTCTCTCGGCAAAGACGCGACGCTACCAAGTCCGCAATCCACCATGTCGGCCCAAAGAGCTGCCGTCAAGACGACGTACGACGTCGCTCGCACCCTGCAGCCAATCTACTCGGGAGGCAGCTTGGCCCTCAGCGGAGACGGGCGCATTCTGGCCGCGAGCCTGGGCGAGGACGTCCTTCTTTCCGACCTCACCAACGGCCAGGAGCTGGCCAGGGTCGAGGGAGACGGCGAGGCAATCACGGCCCTGGCCCTGACCCCGTCCGCATCTCATCTCGTAGTGTGCTCGCGCTCCCTCTCCATGCGCCTCTTCGCCCTCAGGCCCTCCGACACCGACGACGAAGCCATCGAGCTCGACCTTCTCCGAACACTACGCCCGCACACGTCTCCTGTCGTCACACTAGCCACAGACCGCACGGGCACGCTGATAGCCACCGGCGGCGCCGACGGCGTGGTCAAGATCTGGGACATTGTCGGTGGCTACACGACACACACTTTCCACGGCCATGGCGGAGTCGTCTCGGCCCTGCACTTCTTCGAGGTAGAGGTAGCCGAGCGTGACGACGCCTCGGAAAACAACAAAAAGAGAAAGAGGAAGTCGCGGCAGGAAGGCGCCGAGTCGGATCAAGCTCAGGGCGAGACTCAGATACAGTTTCGGTTGGCCTCTGGTGCCGAAGACGGCAAAATACGGATATGGGATCTTCACAAGAGAAAGAGCGCTGCTGTCCTCGACTCGCACGTCTCCGTCGTTCGCTCGTTACAGTACTCGCCGCAAGAGAAGGTCCTTCTGTCTGGCAGCAGAGACAAGACGTTGATTGTCTGGGACTCACACAAGTGGAAGGCGCAACGCACCATTGCCGCTCTGGAGGGCATCGAGAGCGCAGGCTTCATCGCAGACGGCAAGATTCTGTACTCTGGTGGAGAGAACGGCCGACTACGACTCTGGTCAGCCTCCAGTGGAAGAGAGCTCACCCGAGAGCAAGAGCCTGGATCCGAGACGGATGAGATTGTCAACATCCTCCACTATCCTTTATTGCCCTACTTGATCTCGGTCCACGCTGACCAAGTGCTCAACTTCTACTCCCTCAAAACGGCAGAGTCACTCGTCGTAGAAGAAACCATCGACCCGCTGCCCATCTTCCGCCGCGTTTCCGGAACCCACGACGAGGTCATTGACATCGCCTACGTTGGCCGAGACAAGTCCCTATTGGCACTCAACACCAACTCAGAGGATATTCGGATAATCACACTCAACGAATCCGACGCAGAAGACGCGACCCAAGGCAAATACTTTGGTGCCGATGTCGGACTGCTAAAAGGACACGAAGACATTGTCATCTGCCTAGATGTAGATTGGTCAGGCCACTGGCTTGTCACAGGTGCCAAAGACAACACAGCACGGTTATGGCGTCTCGACCCCGCTAACGAATCGTATACCTGTGCTGCAGTCCTCACAGGTCATGCCGAGTCGCTTGGAGCGATTGCACTGCCGCACACCATACCCCAGGAATCATCAGCCGCATTCACAGACCCCTTATCACACCCACCAGCGTATATTGTGACCGGCTCTCAAGATAGGACAGTCAAGCGTTGGGACACCACCAAAGAGATGAAGGGTAAACTGCGAGCCAAATACACCCGTAAAGCACACGACAAAGATATCAATGCC